TGGATGGATGCACTTTTATCATGGATGGATGCACTTTTATGATGGATAGATGCACTTTTATGATGGATAGATGCACTTTTATCATGGATGGATGCACTTTTATCATGGATGGATGCACTTTTATCATGGATAGATGCACTTTTATCATGGATAGATGCACTTTTATCATGGATGGATGTAGGGCTGGGCGATATGGCCCAAAAAAATTATCACGATATTTTTTTTTATATCAGTCGATATCGATAATTATCACGATAAATGTCAAATCTTTATTTCTTTCAAGTTTAAAGGCAGATTTTTGCTCCTAAGTGAAAGTTGTATAAACCAGAGCGTTAATTGTGGTTTTAACTCTTTATTGTCAGAACATATCATGACAAACACTTGACAAACAGGTGAACATTTCACAAATCTGAGGTAGAACATTCAAACATTTGTCATTTTTCCTTAACAAAATTAATATCTGAATAGAAAAATATTTCTTCAGCAGTTTGCAGTGCAGCCTGCAATATTCAAATTACATGTTTTGTCTCGAAATGCATATTTGACAGTGAGTTGACAGTAAATCGGCATCCTAACTCAAGCTAATACTACTCTGTTAAATTTATGTTCATTAACAAAAACAGTAACATCTGTTAAAAAAAAAAAATTAACAACCACATTTTTATTTGGTAAAATGTAATATTCTGACTGTTTGACTTTTATTAAAATTAACCATTGGTCATCCAGTATCATGCATTTAGATCATGATAACCACAGATAAAACCAGGCATAGCCTAACGTTATAAATTAGTACCTCACTATCATGGCAAAATGTAACTTTATGGTTTCTATGGTATTTGTATGAAAAACAGTAGCCTAACAGTTAAATACATTATTAAATACTATAATTATATTCCATTAGACATTTAATACATTGTCTACATTAATAATATTATACAATTCAATATGTATCCCACATTTCATGGTGCAGTTAATATTACTAGGCTAACCTTACAGTAAATCCATGGTAGGCTAAATGGATTCAGTATCAATTCAGATTCTGACTGTATCGTTGCGCGCAGTGTTTCTCCTGTTTGTCAGCGGTGTTTCATCTGCCTTTAAACATTTGTGTTCTTCGCTGAACTCTAGCACTTCTCACTGGATCTCGTGAGCGAGACGATCAGAGTAAACGCGTCTGCTCTAGTGAGCTCGCGCTGCCGTTTGGACTTTGAGCCGAGCGGATAAACAGTCCGTGAGCGCGCGAGGTTCAAATGAGTTTCGTTCCGCTTTTGGCGCACAAACATTATCGAACATTTATCGACCTCTTGATATCGTTTTATCGAGAAAAATTATATCGCGATAATTATCGTTATCGTTTTATCGCCCAGCCCTAGATGGATGCACTTTTATCATGGATAGATGCACTTTTATCATGGATAGATGCACTTTTATCATGGATAGATACACTTTTATCATGGATAGATGCACTTTTATCATGGATAGATGCACTTTTATCATGGATGGATGCACTTTTATCATGGATAGATGCACTTTTATCATGGATAGATGCACTTTTATCATGGATAGATGCACTTTTATCATGGATGGATGCACTTTTATCATGGATGGATGCACTTTTATCATGGATGGATGCACTTTTATCATGGATAGATGCACTTTTATCATGGACAGATGCACTTTTATGATGGATGCACTTTTATCATGAATAGATGCACTTTTATCATGGATAGATGCACTTTTATCATGGATAGATGCACTTTTATCATGGATAGATACACTTTTATCATGGATAGATACACTTTTATCATGGATAGATGCACTTTTATCATGGATAGATGCACTTTTATCATGGACAGATGCACTTTTATCATGGATAGATGCACTTTTATCATGGATAGATGCACTTTTATCATGGATAGATGCACTTTTATCATGGATAGATGCACTTTTATCATGGATGGATGCACTTTTATCATGGATGGATGCACTTTTATCATGGATAGATGCACTTTTATCATGGATAGATGCACTTTTATCATGGACAGATGCACTTTTATGATGGATGCACTTTTATCATGGATAGATGCACTTTTATCATGGATGGATGCACTTTTATCATGGATAGATACACTTTTATCATGGATAGATACACTTTTATCATGGATAGATGCACTTTTATCATGGATAGATGCACTTTTATCATGGACAGATGCACTTTTATGATGGATGCACTTTTATCATGGATAGATGCACTTTTATCATGGATGGATGCACTTTTATCATGGATAGATGCACTTTTATCATGGATGGATGCACTTTTATCATGGATAGATGCACTTTTATCATGGATAGATGCACTTTTATCATGGATGGATGCACTTTTATGATGGATAGATGCACTTTTATGATGGATAGATGCACTTTTATCATGGATGGATGCACTTTTATCATGGATGGATGCACTTTTATCATGGATGGATGCACTTTTATCATGGATAGATGCACTTTTATCATGGATGGATGTAGGGCTGGGCGATATGGCCCAAAAAAATTATCACGATATTTTTTTTTATATCAGTCGATATCGATAATTATCACGATAAATGTCAAATCTTTATTTCTTTCAAGTTTAAAGGCAGATTTTTGCTCCTAAGTGAAAGTTGTATAAACCAGAGCGTTAATTGTGGTTTTAACTCTTTATTGTCAGAACATATCATGACAAACACTTGACAAACAGGTGAACATTTCACAAATCTGAGGTAGAACATTCAAACATTTGTCATTTTTCCTTAACAAAATTAATATCTGAATAGAAAAATATTTCTTCAGCAGTTTGCAGTGCAGCCTGCAATATTCAAATTACATGTTTTGTCTCGAAATGCATATTTGACAGTGAGTTGACAGTAAATCGGCATCCTAACTCAAGCTAATACTACTCTGTTAAATTTATGTTCATTAACAAAAACAGTAACATCTGTTAAAAAAAAAAAATTAACAACCACATTTTTATTTGGTAAAATGTAATATTCTGACTGTTTAACTTTTATTAAAATTAACCATTGGTCATCCAGTATCATGCATTTAGATCATGATAACCACAGATAAAACCAGGCATAGCCTAACGTTATAAATTAGTACCTCACTATCATGGCAAAATGTAACTTTATGGTTTCTATGGTATTTGTATGAAAAACAGTAGCCTAACAGTTAAATACATTATTAAATACTATAATTATATTCCATTAGACATTTAATACATTGTCTACATTAATAATATTATACAATTCAATATGTATCCCACATTTCATGGTGCAGTTAATATTACTAGGCTAACCTTACAGTAAATCCATGGTAGGCTAAATGGATTCAGTATCAATTCAGATTCTGACTGTATCGTTGCGCGCAGTGTTTCTCCTGTTTGTCAGCGGTGTTTCATCTGCCTTTAAACATTTGTGTTCTTCGCTGAACTCTAGCACTTCTCACTGGATCTCGTGAGCGAGACGATCAGAGTAAACGCGTCTGCTCTAGTGAGCTCGCGCTGCCGTTTGGACTTTGAGCCGAGCGGATAAACAGTCCGTGAGCGCGCGAGGTTCAAATGAGTTTCGTTCCGCTTTTGGCGCACAAACATTATCGAACATTTATCGACCTCTTGATATCGTTTTATCGAGAAAAATTATATCGCGATAATTATCGTTATCGTTTTATCGCCCAGCCCTAGATGGATGCACTTTTATCATGGATAGATGCACTTTTATCATGGATAGATGCACTTTTATCATGGATAGATGCATTTTTATCATGGATGGATGCACTTTTATCATGGATAGATGCACTTTTATCATGGATGGATGCACTTTTATGGAGTTAAAAACAGAAACCGTCATTCACTGCCATTATAAAGCTTGGAAGAGCCAGGACATTTATTAATATAACTCAGATTGTATTCGTCTGAGAGAAGAAAGTCATATACGCCTAGGATGGCATGAGGTTGAGTAAATCATGGGCTAATTTTAAAGTGAACAACTCCTTTAAGTGAAAGTCCCCCTGTGTTGAAAATCAAGCTTTTAATGTTGTTTATATGTCTATGTGGTGTTTTTAATATGCTTTTAGACAAACCATGTGTACCGTAAATTCTTAAGTCAACAGCATTGCTGAGTATTTTCTCCTTAAAACTGCAATGAACCAAAGACAGTCTCAAAAACACGGTTTGCAATCGCTGGTGTTTCTGACGTCACAAACTACCTTGTAACCAATCAGATCAACATGCGATTGTCATTAACAGTGAACTAGACAGTCTCGAGAGAGGACAGGTTATCCTGCTATATTTTTTAGCAATATTTTAACTATAGTAGATTTAGCAATATAGCGGGAGCGGGTGTATGATGTATATTACGATGTTATGATGAACTACATGCCTTTCTCCACTGACATTCTGAGTTGTTCAAAGCGTTTCTGATGATTGTTAGAAGGAAGACTAAGATGACGAACGGGAACATGGTTTGTGTAACATTAGCAACACATTATTAACTGTTTGATAACATTGTCAAGCAAAAGGCTATTAATTACCGTTATGTGTCCGACGTAAAGAGCGATACCATTGTGCAGCGTTTACCTCAGTGAGTTGGCCGAGTGGATCTCTGAGCTGGTGTGAGTGGAGGCTAATTAGCATATTCATAGTTATGGATTCATGGAAATGAGGCAAGGGCGTCGAGTTACATTCAAGCTATTGAAAGGCATGAAGACATTTTTTTCACAGGAAAAAACGTTTTAAGTCATTTTGTTGATCAAAGATGAGTTTTAAATTTTTAAATTTAAATTAAATTTTTTTCAGTGTTTTAAGACATGAAAGTAAATGTAATTAGGCTTTATATTTAATTTTAAATCATTTAAATAATTTCAAATGTTCAGTTTAGCCTGATTTTTGTTGAACATAATAATTTATCACACTACATGTACATTTGACAGCCCTAGCCTTTATATGTGTGTGCATATCTTACCAGTTGGTGTTTGAGGGGGCGTTCAACAGTCCTCACGGAGGAGACGTGCTTCTCGATGACATTTCCTTCTCTCCAGAGTTCTGTCACGCAGGCACAGGTATGCTTGAACACCTCGAAGCTCAATTCAATACCCCAATAACCAATTCCTACATGACCATTTCAAAATATGTGTTTTCACAGAGCCAACATTTGATCCATCTATTGCAAACTGTGACTTTGAGTCAGGATATTGTCAGTATGTCCAGACACTGATGGGTAGTCCACTGTGGAGGAGAGTGTCTGTCAAGCCCAACATCTACAACGCTGGAGACCATACGACAGGAGCAGGTACAGCCGCTTATAATCTACACTACCAGTCAAAGGTCTGGGGTCAGTTATATATATATATATATATATATATATATATACACTCACCGGCCACTTTATTAGGTACCCCATGCTAGTAACGGGTTGGACCCCCTTTTGCCTTCAGAACTGCCTCAATTCTTCGTGGCATAGATTCAACAAGGTGCTGGAAGCATTCCTCAGGGAGTTTGGTCCATATTGACATGATGGCATCACACAGTTGCCGCAGATTTGTCGGCTGCACATCCATGATGCGAATCTCCCGTTCCACCACATCCCAAAGATGCTCTATTGGGTTGAGATCTGGTGACTGTGGAGGCCATTTTAGTACAGTGAACTCATTGTCATGTTCAAGAAACCAATTTGAAATGATTAGAGCTTTGTGACATGGTGGAAGTAGCCATCAGAGGATGGGTACATGATGGCCATAAAGGGATGGACATGGTCAGAAACAATGCTCAGGTAGGCCGTGGCATTTAAACGATGCCCAATTGGCACTAAGGGGCCTAAAGTGTGCCAGGAAAACATCCCCCACACCATTACACCACCACCACCAGCCTGCACAGTGGTAACAAGGCATGATGGTTCCATGTTCTCATTCTGTTTACGCCAAATTCTGACTCTAACATCTGAATGTCTCAACAGAAATCGAGACTCATCAGACCAGGCAACATTTTTCCAGTCTTCAACTGTTCAATTTTGGTGAGCTCTTGCAAATTGTAGCCTCTTTTTCCTATTTGTAGTGGAGATGAGTGGTACCCGGTGGAGTCTTCTGCTGTTGTAGCCCATCCGCCTCAAGGTTGTGCGTGTTGTGGCTTCACAAATGCTTTGCTGCATACCTCGGTTGTAACGAGTGGTTATTTCAGTCACTGTTGCCCTTCTATCAGCTCGAACCAGTCTGGCCATTCTCCTCTGACCTCTGGCATCAACAAGGCATTTCCGCCCACAGAACTGCCGCTCACTGGATGTTTTTTTCTTTTTCGGACCATTCTCTGTAAACCCTAGAGATGGTTGTGCGTGAAAATCCCAGTAGATTAGCAGTTTCTGAAATACTCAGACCAGCCCTTCTGGCACCAACAATCATGCCACGTTCAAAGTCACTCAAATCAACTTTCTTCCCCATACTGATGCCCGGTTTGAACTGCAGGAGATTGTCTTGACCATGTCTACATGCCTAAATGCACTGAGTTGCCGCCATGTGATTGGCTGCTTAGAAATTAAGTGTTAACGAGCAGTTGGACAGGTGTACCTAATAAAGTGGCCGGTGAGTGTATATAAAATGATAGTGTATACAATACATTAATGATTAAGACATTGTAAATCATGAAAGGGCTAAAAATAGTTGTACTTTCTGAACAGGATCCTTTTTGTTGGCAAACTCTCGCTCCAGTTTACAGTCTGGACACATCAGCCGTTTGCTTGGCCCGCCACTGCCAGGGAATCAGAAATACTGCCTGAAGTTCTTCTACTCCCTGCGAGGTCTTAGTGGAACAGATCAAGTCCTCTCCGCGTATCTGTATTACAGAGACGGTACTAAACAAGAGCAAATATGGAGCCAGAATGAGAAGATAAGAAATGTTTGGATTGCAGTTGAACTGACCATTCAAAGTCAGAAGAATGCTCAGGTAAGATACGTCTGTAGTTCACCTCTCTTGCTACTGCTTGTCTACTTGGTATATGTATTTTAAAAACATATATCAGCACGCTAGCTGCAAAGCTAACAGATATGGACTACTAACTGTGCGCTAAAGTCAGACACAATTATTTTTCCACCAATTCAAACATCACAATTGTTCATGAGACATGCAAGACATCAGTTTCTGAAGATGGTGTCATGATATACACTATTATTGGTTGATGGATTTCTCTTGTGAATAAGAAGCGCACTTGATTGGATTGAATGTGCACTTGTAGTGTGCTTCAAATCTTAAAAGTATATTTTTAAAAACTGTACTTGATTTCAATGAACATTTCACCGGGTCTTTAAGAGACATGCTGATTCTCAGACACACTTTTGGCCCTCTGCTCTAGCATCTGTTAGCAAGACATGGGTTTATGCCTCACATGACTTTTATTACAGCAAGATCCAGATTTAGAGAAATAAACCTTTATAACATCTGGAAAAATAAGACGGTCTGAGGATTATTCATACTGTCCACTGACCCATACCATCAGTTTTGCTTTATACTTTTTAAATATTATTTATTTAAATGTAGATGTACACTGTATTTATTTTCAGATTTGTTATTTTATTGTTAATCTTAATTATGTGTTTTTTTCTACATCTGGGTGGTGAAGGTGGTTTTCATCAGCACATGCAAAAATGTTTGGAGTTGTGGTTCTGTTGGTCTCGATGACATTAAAGTCACCCTTGGGGATTGCGCACTGTTAGGTAAAAAAGCTTCATTTATTTACAAAACTCTGTGCATGGGAGTCGTGAATCATCATTGTGAATCTTACAGTTGATTCCTTGATATTTTTGTTACAGCATCTTCTCTGTCAGTCCCGTCTCACTGTGACTTTGAGACTGGTCTCTGTGGATACACTCAGGATAAGGAAGGAGACTCAGGCGACTGGATGCTGGCCAGAGGACCCACACCAACATCTTACACTGGTCCGAGAGGAGACCACACCACTGGAGGGGGTGAGCTTCAAACCGTCCCTGAAGACACTTTAAACACTCGTCACTTGCACTTGAAAAAATAAAGGTTGCAAAAGAGGGCTTTTCACAGTGATGCCATAGAAGAACTTTTTTTAGTTCACCTCAAAATGAAAATTTCCTGATAATTTACTCACCCAAATGCCATCCAAGATGTTCATGTATTTCTTTCTTCAGTGGAAAAGAAATTAAGTTTTTTGAGGAAAACATTTCAGGATTTTTCTCCACACAATGGACTTAAATTGCGACCAACATGTTGAAGTCCAAATCAATGCAGCTTCAAACGGCTCTGCACGATCCCAGCTGAGGAATAGGGTCTTATCTACGAAACCATCGGTCATTTAAAAAAAGAAAAGAAACATTTATATACTTTTTAACCACAATTGTTCATCTTGTGCTGGTCTGCGACGCGCCAGGGATTACGTCATGAAATGTGTAAAGTTGTCTAAATCCTCCTTTTGAGGTGGGACTACTTTCTTGGCGGATGCTGATCATGCTCCATGCAGACATTACTTTGCAGATAGTTACAGTGTGTCATAGATTCTCACATGTGAAAGTTATCAGGCGTACCGGCTTTACCTGCTCATGGCAAGAGTTTAAATGTTGGATGTACATGGTTTTAGTCTTGTGGCTAAGTACACTTTAGTATTATTTTATAAAGAGTACTTATTATAGAATTAATATACTTTATGGCCCAGTTTCACAGACCAGGCTTAGATCAAGCCAGGATAGACCTTAGTTCAATTTGGACATTTAAGTAGCTTTTATTAATGTGCCTTAGAAAAAAAACATTACTGGTCTTGAGACAAACCAATGGCAATGATATATTTAAGATATGTCAGTGCAAGTTGCTTTCAGTTAAAACAGCTCAAACATGCAATTTAATCTGGGACTAAGCTTAAGCCTCGTCTATGAAACCGGGAACAGTCTTAAAGGAGAACTCCGGCGCAAAATGAACCTTTGGTCTAATTACACATTGTTACCTAGTCAACCGTTATCTGAGATTTGTTTTCATGATTATCGAATGTAAATAGTTTTATCTCTAAAAACAGTTTAGCCTATAAAGCTAGTATAACGCTAGTATATTGGGCATAGTGTAATGACAAATAAAAATCGCTTGTTAATACCACTAACAAGGCTCAAAATAGCCCCACACTAACACGGTAGCATAATGAGGGTCCCTACCTTCAAACCGAAGCATTGAGAACTTTGTCAGTGTCCAGACAGTTTAATAAGAAGATATTTAATACATACAGTCAACTTCGCGTATACAGGCAGGAGCCATCTTTGAAATACAGTCTCTACCAGTCAATCTACGAACGCCGATCCAAGCCTGCTGTTCGCGCTCACCTTATCACAACTTATAGCTCGTTCACATCTCACCAGCGCACTTGGATCGGCGTTCGTAGATTGACTGGTAGAGACTGTATTTCAAAGATGGCTCCTGCCTGTATACGCGAAGTTGACTGTATGTATTAAATATCTTCTTATTAAACTGTCTGGACACTGACAACGTTCTCAATGCTTCGGTTTGAAGGTAGGGACCCTCATTATGCTACCGTGTTAGTGTGGGGCTATTTTGAGCCTTGTTAGTGGTATTAACAAGCGATTTTTATTTGTCATTGATCTATGCCCAATATACTAGCTTTATAGGCTAAACTGTTTTTAGAGATAAAACTATTTACATTCGATAATCATGAAAACAAATCTCAGATAACGGTTGACTAGGTACCAATGTGGAATTAGACCAAAGGTTCATTTTGCGCCGGAGTTCTCCTTTAAGTGTGAACTGAACGTAATGTTTTTGGACACTTAATTGCATGTTATTTGCAATTAAATGAAAATGTATTATAGTTCAAATTTATATTAAATGCAATTAGTTGAACTTTAGGGTGACTTAAGTACATCTTTATTTATAATTTCATAATTCAATTGTCTTGAAACATGGTTAAAGTCTACTGCTTTTCTGGTAAACAAAATTTACTTTAATATAATTTCTAATGAAACCTTTATGCCATGTATTTTTTAATTTATTTGTAATTACACATTTGCAATGTAGTGCATTTAAATATATATTTACTTTAACCTGTTAATAACCACGCCCCCGGTACCGGGGGCAACATCTTGTTATGATGTTCGTACGTTATTTTAATAAGCTTCCATATAAGGCGTCACCCAATACATGGTATCATTTAAAAGCTTAGAATCTAGTCTTTACAAAGAATACCATCACTTTCGTTTTTATGATACATATCAAATGAAATATTAGCTTAAAAGTTGTTGAAACCGAAGTGCCCCGCAGCGGAGGGGGGGAATCATACTTCATACTGCAAAATGTTAAAAACATCATACAGCTCAGGTAGTCCTGTGCCATATGCTCCGAATGTGGAAAATGACACATCATTATTTACAGCAGATGCGTACGATAAAAATGAATCCAAACTCAACATAATCCATCACTCAGAACTAAAGATATTCTTCATGGAGTTCTAACACAAAAAAAATCCAGACGCACGTGGCTAAGCAAGGTAGCTTAGACTTGGCCTTTTTACTCGTATCTTCATGTAACATACATCAATCATGAAATATTACACATCGATATTTACAGCAGGAGCTCACGATTACAAAGAGCCCAAACTCAATATATTCCATCAATCAGATCTAAAGATATTCCTCATGGCGTTCTAACACAAATAAATACCAGAGACTCAGCTAGACAAGTATATACTCAATGCACTAGCGTTTGGTTTTCGCGTATAACTTCATGAAGCATGCCTAGATCGTAGAAAATTGCATATCTTTATTTTCAGCAGACTCTCACGGTTAAAAAGAGCCCAAACACAACATAATCCATCACTTAGATCTAAAGATATTCCTAATGGAGTTGTGACACTCGAACCTCCACAGGCGCACATAGATTCTTGTATGTAGATGGAGCATTGATGTCGCGATTTTTAACTCAACGAATCATGCAGAAATTGTGGGAAATGGCACATCATTATTTACAGCAGATTTTTTAAGAATATAAAGAGCCCAAACTCACCATAATCCATCACTCAGATCTAAAGATATTCCTCGTGGACTTTTAAAACGAAGTTGCATCTAGGCGCACCAATGAAGTAGCAGTAGCAGCGATGCTATGCTATTTTAATGTGACGTTGCAGCTCATAACTCCACGAAACATGCATGGATTGTGAATAATTGAACACCTTTATTGACAGCAGATTCTCACGATTACAAAGAGCCCAAACACAATATAATCCATCGCGTTGATCACGAGATATTCCTCATGAAGTGATGCATTCTTGGCTAAAAAGTCTCTCGTCTTTCCGGGGTGCAATGTGTTTTAAAATGTTCCCGGAGCCATCCGTGCTCGTTCTCAAACGTGGAATTACACAAAATAGGTATCATTTTAAAGCTTAGAATCTCAGCTTTTTAATGCATCGAATCACTTTGATTTTCTCGCGGGGGCAACCTGGCTGTGAGAATGTACATTATCATATTTTTCAAAAAATAATGCCTTGATTAACACAAAATTGGTGTCATTTGAAAAATTAGAGTCTGAACTTTGCAGTGAATGTAGCCAATCCTAAGTAGTGCTGAGTTATTTGCTGATTAATAAATAAATAAAAATTTCATAATCTATAAAATACTATGTCAAAAACATCATACAGCTCATGAAACATTCACAGATCGTTGAAAATGGCAATTAATTTTTTACAGCATATTATTACAATTAAAATGAGCCCAAAATTAACATAATATATTGCTTTTATGATAAGAAATTCTTCTTGGAGAACCAATTTTTAAAAATGCCCATTAGGGGGCGTCAAGGGCTGAACAAAAATGCTATATTGGTACCTGCTGTAACTTTTTTGATTACTTCATCCAATCACCACAAAATTTTATCCAGCTGCAGGTCACATGTAGAGGTGCTTCACCAAAAAAGAAATGTAATGTAATTTATATTTTTTTTAAATTTGAAAAGTGTTCTTTCAAACGATACCTACCGTTTGACTCTCCTTACTATAGTTTTGAAGTTATGAGTCTTTACTTTTGTGTGTGTCACTCAGAAAAAAAACTCTAAAAAGTCCCTCAGTCCTTAACAGGTTAAATGTAATATTGATTAACACACTCATTACAAAATGCACTTTTTAAGAAACGGTCATGAAAGTGTAGGCTACTCTCTATAAGTCACATTATCACCCTGTCTAGACTCAGTTTGGAGTCTTTCCCGCCATTAGTTGTCACCTTAGTTACTTGATGTATTATCACGTTCAGCTGTGTCACTGTTATCACCTCGTTTGTCTGTGTATTTAACCTCTGTGTGCTCAGTTCACCTTGGTCCAGTCTTGTCTATGCACGTATCTTGTCTATGCACGTTTCGTCCAAGTGTGGTTGTGTGTACCTGCATGTCATCTTGTGGAATTACCCTGTGGATATTATAAAATACTGTTTGAACCTTTCACCTTCATCTTGTGTTTGCATGCAGAACAAACATTACAAGTACACTTAAGTGGACTTTTATTTCATTAATACTGTATTATCTGCAAGTACAGTTTTTAAAAAAATATATTACAAGTGCACATTCAAGTACCTTGGCTCATTGACATCTATTATTCTAAACATTATTTTTATTTATATAAGGCAAACAGAGGGACACAACACAATTATTTTCTGTGGTAATTAAATCTTATTGCACCTGAGACTGAGACATGCGTTTCTCTGCCTTTAGGTCATTATTTGCACATCGAGGCGTCCGTGATGCTGCCCGGACACAAAGCGCGCCTCTTGTCCAGCTCTCTGCGCGGCTCTAGAGAACCACAGTGCTTGCAGTTCTACTACCATATGTATGGGTCAGGGATTGGCCAGCTGAGTGTATACCTCCAGACTGGACAAGAAAATGAGGACAAATTATTGTGGACGAGCCACGGAGAACAGGGCATCTCCTGGCTCAGAGCATCCATAAACTACCAATATGACCAACACCACCAGGTTAGTTGCATTAAACCGCATTCACGAGTTCACACTTACATATGATTAAATAGAGTAAAGGTTATGTGTATTTGGCGTGCTGTCCGAGGGGAGGGATTTGGCCCGAACTCAGAGGAACCCCCCCATAATTTATTCATTTTACCAAGAACTGCATAAGCCCAACAATAATTGGTTGTGACGTTCATCCAAAAATGAAAATTCTGTCATTAATTACTCACCCTCATGTTGTTCCAAACCCGTAAGACGTTCGTTAATCTTCAGAACACAAATGAAGATGTTTTTAATGAAATCTTAGTGCTTTCTGTCCCTCAATTGAACGCTACACAACTACCACTTTGATAGTTCAAAAAGTTCATAAAGAGATTGCAAAACTAATCCATATGAATTGAATGGTTTAGTCCAAATTTTCTGAAGGGACTCGATCGTTTTATATGATGAACAGATTTAATTTAGGCTTTTATTCGCATATAAACATTGATCAGCTAACATAAACAGAAGCTCAACCGAACCTGCTTGACGCATGAGAACAAACCTCATTGGTTCTTGCTGAAGCTCAGACGTGATGCGTAACACGAGAATGAACCTCATTGGTTCTTGCTGAAGCTCAGACGTGATGCGTAACACGAGAATGAACCTCATTGGTTCTTGCAGAAGCTCAAACGTGATGCGTAACACGAGAATGAACCTCATTGGTTCTTGCTGAAGCTCAAACGTGCTGCGTAACACTAGAATGAACCTCATTGGTTCTTGCTGAAGCTCAAACGTGATGCGTAACACGAGAATGAACCTCATTGGTTCTTGCTGAAGCTCAAACGTGATGCGTAACACGAGAATGAACCTCATTGGTTCTTGCAGAAGCTCAAACGTGATGCGTAACACGAGAATGAACCTCATTGGTTCTTGCTGAAGCTCAAACGTGATGCGTAACACTAGAATGAACCTCATTGGTTCTCAGACATAAAGCGAACATGCTTAACCTTCGTTTACCACAACTGATGTGTTGATCAATGATTATATGTGAATAAAAGCCTAAATTCAATCTGTTCATCATATAAAGTGATCGAGTCTCTTCAGAAATTTTTTATTAAACAACTCCATTCATATAGATTAGTTTTATGATCTCCTTGTGAACTTTGCGTAGCTGTCAATGGAGGGACAGAAAGCTCTCAGATTTCATTAAAAAAAAAAAATCGTGTTTGTGTTTTCCAAAGATGAACGTAAGTCTTACGGGTTTGGACATTTTTTTTTTACATTTAAGAATTATTTTAAAAATGTTTAGTCAACATTGAATCGATGTAATTTTCATTAATATATTATGTATTTGTCTGCATACTTAGATTGTGTTTGAAGCCACCAGGGGTGCATCAGTAAGGAGTGATATTGCAATCGATGATGTTATTTTTGAAAGGGGAATATGCAGAGGTATTCATAAGTTGATCATCATATAAATAAGTTATTAATGTTACCATGAACATATTTTCATACTTTTCATACTTTTTATCCACACAGAATATACTGATAACCATATCCCCCATCTGAGCCTCTCTGGAAATAATAATGATATTCAGTCAATGACTTTTAAATAAAGAGAGAAAGAAAAGAATGATGAAGAGAGAAAACATAAACCGTGTGGAGTGCAGTGTTCTGTGAGGATGAACGGGAGGGGACGGCTGCATTATGACCATATCTGATCACCTGCAAACTTTTCTTGTGTATTTGACTTATGAACCATTGGTTCATTCCTGTTATGCAGTTCCTCATGCCTGTATCTTAATACATTGAATACATCGTTAAAGACGGAAACCATATTAGTCACCTTAGGAAGCCCTTTAAAGATGTCTTATTTGCTTGTTTTAATTTGTACTTCTGGAGATCAGCATGCAAATCTGGTGATTTTTTTTTTTTTTTTGTCATTTAAAACTGAAAATTTAAGAGATTCCTATTTGAATATGTGTATAAATGTTAGCCCTTCATTATATGTAAGGGTGTAATATGGACTGTCCATATCTGATTATCATATTCTTTTGGCCGACTGACTGTACATTATCTTGCCTGTTACACATCTACCGAAATACATAAATAAAAATAAAGTGACATGAAAAATTATTGTTATTGTGAATTGTTATTTTATAATGAGAGAAAGAGAGTGTAAAGTGATGTGAGAGACATGAAACTAGCACAACTACTCAGCTGCCTGAGAAAACAGTCGAATATACTCATTATATATATATTGTTGTATGTATTTTTATGTATTATATGGAATTAAAGAAAGGATTTAAGGGGAGGGAGGGGGCACTCACTCACGCACACACACACTTATCTAAATGGGGACATTCAGACGTAATGGTTTTTACTGTGCAAACTGTATATTCTGTCCCATTACACTAATTATTTAATTAGGCACACACACATAACATAAAACATTATTGAACGAAACATTCTGTTAACCTTACTGGAAGAAAGTTTGTTCATAACTTTAAGAGAAATGATTAGAGTAGTTTGTTAGTATGCTACATGTAGTATTTACGCGCAATATAATAAGCAAAATACTGCACATTTGGGCAAAAAGTCATATGTAAGTACATAAAATTCAGGTCCTGTGCACAATATACACAACTACATACTGTATAACTGGTAAGAATAGTTTGTTGGTATGCTAAATGTAGTTTATCGCAGGGTAAATCTTTACTGCCAGTGACATCTAGTGCTTATAAGCAGCACAACTCACCGATTAACGCATAACACACCCCCTCCCCCCACACACACACCATGTGACTACTGTGGGCCAATCACACGGCGACTTACTCACAACACAGGCGCGAAACGAAAGTGATGTGAGGCTGCAAGTTGCTATCAACCGTCAGTGGGATTTACGGCCAGAGAAATGGAGCTGCCGCAGAAGAGAAAACGAATAAGCCATGAATTAACCAACTCACAGCCCTCCAACCGCGAAGCGACACCGTCCACCAGCACAAATGCCCCAGCAGGAGCAGGAGGAGGGTTTGTGGAGGGCTCCATCGTCCGCATCTCCATGCACAACTTCCTGTAAGTGTCCTGTGAGTGTTGACAGATTCAGTCTGGATCATGCTTGTAATCACGCTCATCCCTGTTCTCAGCACATACGATCACTCAGAAGTTTTCCCGGGTCCCAAACTCAACATGATTGTGGGAGCCAACGGCACGGGGAAGTCCAGCATCGTGTGCGCCATCTGCCTGGGCCTGGCCGGGAAAACAGCCGTGCTGGGCCGAGGGGACAAGGCGAGTCTCCCGAGAGCTAGCGTTATCCCACAGCTCCTGTGTTAGGCTTCAGACATGTATTCAGAGGGTAAAAGTGTCATGAACACTTCCAATCATTCACAATAAACTCTACAACTTTCCATACACTGTAACGTTACCTGAAGGTTTGAAAGCTCACAATATGATTCTCAAATAGACACAGATGTTTATGTTTATGTAGTTTGGCACACACACAGTATTCACAAATATATGTGAATGCTATTTTTTTTATTTGTAGATACTTTGCAAAGTGTACAAGCCAGTAATTCTTTAATGTTACATGATATAAGCAGGGATACTAATACAGAAAGGGAGTTTTTACATAGATGCAATTCCTGTGGGTTTTCCTCTTATACATACTGAAATGTGGGCTCCATGAGGAATTGAATGTTTTAGATTTAAAAACAGATCCAATAATGTACATTTTAAGGAATTGGTGCGTTAAAGTTTTCATGAAATCAAAATGGACCTTATTTATTTTAACGCACATTACTAATCTTTTGATGAACAATTAATCCGTGCAAGTTAATAACACACAGAAAAAAATAGTTTGTCGTGGTAATCTTAAATCAAAATCTGAAAATTTGCTTCTGCTCTGGAATAGCGTTCCTTCTCTGATGACGCTTGGGTTGAGTATCCTTAACCACTTCCCTCAACCGTCAGTCTGCTGTGAGCGAGGGATGGAGAGGAGGAGCGCTAGAGTGAAACCCTGCCCTCTATTCAATATTCCCTTTCACTTGGAAATATGTAAAGTCGGTTGCAATTTCCGGTTCACTGGAACTTTAAGTAGCATTTAAAAAAAAGTATGATACTGAAAATGTTTTCCTTTGTGCATTCATTTTTCAGAACAGCATTTAGAAACACCTTATCAGATACAAGGGTTATTATCGCTAACTAAAACTAATACCATACATAAATATTTTCATAACCTGAAATAAAATATAAAAGACTTATACATTTTAAACACGTCTCATTTTCATTTAGTTTATATTCATTCATTAATTTTCATTATGTTCAGAAAATATCTAAAAATGACTAAAAACTATATAAGCTTAAAAAACACTACAAAATTACAAAAACTTTAGGATGAAAATTGAAAATATAAAAACATAAATTCAAAAATGAATAAAAATTATAATAGTTTATACTAAAATAGCACTGTTACATACTTGTCAGTAAATACTAAATGAACTAGATATTTGTGTGTTCTAGGTTGGTCTGTATGTGAAGCGAGGGTGTAATAAAGGTTCAGTTGAAATTGAGTTGTAAGTATATATATATTTGTTCAATTTCCATTTCCAAAAGTCCTTGGAGAGACATACATTTGATCAGTTCATCTTTATGTCCAGATTCAGAGCGAGTGGAAACTTGATAATCACCAGAGAGATCCAGGTGGAGAACAACCAGTCGTCCTGGATGCTCAATAAAAAGCACTCCAGTCAGAAGGCTGTGGAGGAGGCCGTGAAAGAGCTGCACATTCAGGTCGGCAACTTGTGTCAGTTTCTGCCACAGGTGAGTGCTCTTATTATAATGAGGAGCTTTTATTGCACTATATATATTGCCAAACATGTCTATAAAGGTTGAAGAATTACTTATTTTTTTAAAGAGGAACTAATATGCTTGTTGGTTCAACTTTCTTTAGAGTGTAATGTTGCTGTTTGAGCATGAAAAAGCTCTGCAAAGTTACAAAGCACAAAGTCGCTCCAAAGGCAGTTATTCTCTAAAGGGCCTTTCGCAGTTCCTTTGAGTCCTTTTCAAAGTTCCTAGAACTATTGGCGGAAGTTCCTGGATTTTGGCGTGTTCGCACTGCAGGAACTAGGAACAATATATTGGTCGATCACTAATATATATATATATATATTTATATGTGTGTGTGTAATATATATTGTGTGTTTTAAATTATTTAAACAATACTTGATGTGCTTTATTGGACAATTTTGAAGTAGAAGAAATCAGTTTTGATATTTCAAAACTCTGTTAATTACAATAACTAGCTGAAAGAACTATTTTTAAAAATAGAACAAAGACTTGACTTGAACTTGGACCCCGAAGACTTGTGAACATGTTTGGTATGCACTGTTTCTGAACTCCCTAAAACGCCTCCATTGTAGTCTTGAGTTTTCTTCCGGGAACGAACACGTCACAATATTCCTCATTTAAACAATTCCATCCCAAGGCATACACAGAATAAAGGGACGAGGCCTGGTTGAGTTAGTTAGTAGTGTTGAAACTGGCGGTTATGGTAAGGGGCGGGACATTTCCCAAACACACTCGAAGCGGCTGACTAATCACAACACACTGATCCAGCCGACCAATCAGAGGACATTATGCTTTTCAGAAGGAGGGGCTTCATAGAGACAGGATCTAAACAGAGCGTTACTGACAGACCTGGAAGAGAGTAGCTGCAACAATGGAGAATGTGGGGAAATTAATCAGTAATATGTCCTCTATAATTAATCCTCTGCCTTTGATCTGGTGTCACAGGAAAAGGTCGGTGAGTTTGCTAAGATGACTAAGATTGAGCTTCTTGAAGCCACTGAGAAGTCTGTCGGCCCACCAGAGATGTATGAGTTTCACTGCGAGCTCAAGACGTTTCGCAGCAAGGAGAGGGACCTGGAGGTGAACACTTTTCTTCTGTTGAAATCCAGTATATGTGTTTATAGTCCCGATTAGGCCTTTAATTTTACTCCATGCTGTTTGTGGTGCTTGATCAGAATGTCTGTAAGGAGAAAGCCAACTTCCTAGAGAAGGCCAAGCAGAGGAATGAGAGGAACAAGCTGGATGTGGAACGTTACTACATGAAGAAGAGACACTTGGACAGGATCCAGATGCTAGAGAAGAAGAAACCCTGGCTGGTGAGTGAGATCTTACTAGGCTAAACTCTCCCAGTGGAAGGTTTTTTTGATATTGATCATAAGTCATGATTGCGCACATTCTTTCTGTTACATTTTGTTGCATTAGTGCTAAAAAGCTTTCCTGAGAGAAATGAATCCTCATTATAAGGGTGGTCCTCACTCATGGTGACTATGGTTGGATCACACAATGCACTGAATACTAGTCACTTCATTGTGATAACTCCCTCTTATTAATTTTAGACACTTTCGGTTATCAAATAAATTAATCATTGATGACGAATACCTGGGACACCTCAGAATGTTTATAGTTGCTATGCTTCCATATAAAGTTGTGAATTTAAAGTCTTTTCTTCCCTATTGCTAAATATATCAGGGTGAAACGGCTTCGGGAACAAGATCAAATGTAGGACGGGACTTGATTTTGTCTGAGAAATTGATTGAATATACATAAACTTGCCTTGCCTTGCCTTGCCTTGCCTTGCCTTGAATGGTTGTGGATTGCTATTGGTGGATCTGTAAACACGACACCAATAGATGGTCCTATTGCTCAGAGAATCATGATCAAAGACTTGCCAAGTTTTAAGTGAAAATATGTCCTTTTGATAAAACCAAGTGTGCACTCTGAATGTATTTCTAGACTATTCTCTGTTTCCAATTTTTAGGAGTATGAAACGGCACGTAAAGAGCTGGAGGCGGTGAAGAAGGACAGAGAGGAAATGAAAAGGAAGCTGAAGTCGCTGAAAGAAGCTCAGGAGCCACTGGTCAGAAAGATCCGGTCGGTGGAGAGTCAGCTCCAGCCCATCGAGCAGCAGATGAGGGAGAAGGTCAGACCACAGATCACTAACCCTATTACCAGCTATCATCTCCTTCTATATATAACATCAATGCCACTGTTTTTTGTTTTGTTTTCAGACCACCAGTATCAGGGAGGTGTCGCAGAAATGCAAACAGAAACATGATCAGCTTGAACTGAGGAGTAAAGAGGTTCGTTCTGAAAGAGGAGCCGCTTATGAAACATTTTAAGAGAGTGTTTTATAACAGGGGTTCTCGGCATGGTCACCTCGACCCAAATGTTTAGGTCTTTGAACCAAGTATTCATTTCTCAAAAATGGTTTCACTGATGAATAAACAGTATAAGGTAAGGCTATTAAATAGCTGTCCTTAACTAGTTTTTGTTAATACAACAAAGTTAGTAAGTTTGTATGAGCCACCACAGTCATCAAAAATATAGAAAATAACACAAAGTAAAAATGAAGTGGTATTTTAGTTAAGGTTACAGAAACACCAATTACCATGGTAAATACACAATACTAACATACTAAAACTTTTTTTCTCACCAGCCACTGTGGCTAGTGGTTTTCCAAAGTGACCAGCCAGCCACTCAGCATTTTTTACTGACCACAATTTTGACATTGTTACCATGGGGGAAAACTGCCAAATAGATATTTTCAAAATCATATCACAATTTGGCAGCAGGTATATTAGGCTGCTGTCACTTTAAGACCTGACGCACAGATCCATTATACGGTTACACTGCGTTTTCTTTCTCAACTTTTTACATTCACTTAAAACATAACTGACTGTATTCACGTGGATACTCACCAAGACTGCCAATTTGACATTATTTAGTGTGTATTTGAATGTTTAAGCACAATAAGCAGCTTAAAAGTACTCAATTTAGTACTGAGAGGCGGCTTTATGTGCGGCACTTTGGGTGAGGAGAGGCGGGTTTGTGTGTCAGCTCGCTGTCGGAGAGATGAGAGGCGAGAAAGTGAGTTAAATGAGTATTGGAAGCGTTTCTGATTTTTCAGTATAAAAAATCAGTTCTGATATTTCAGTATAAAAAAAAAATCTATATTTTTGGCAGCACTCCATTACACGGGGTCTAAAAAAGTCTAAAATTTCAAAATCACAATTTAAGGCCTTAAAAAGTCTTAAATTTGCTGAAGTATTGTGTTCTAGGTCTTAAATAATTTTAAACAGGTCTTAATTTTCCTACGTCCTCCCGCAGCGCTTTGGAAAGTTTTAGTTTTTTTATTGCGTGGTGTTATAGTTCCTTATTTCGCTAGTCCAAATATAATTCACTTTAATTACGACTACAAAATAGACCAACATGCAACAGCCAATCAGCTTTGTGCATCCATCTAAGCTGTCTTCAGTACTGTTCAGTTTGAATAAATTAATTTACTTTGCAAGTAATTTTGAGACTCTGCGTTTCATTTGTAAGTTTTTTTTTTTATGTCGTGATATAGGTCTTAAATTTAATTCATAATGGTCTTAAAAAGGTCTTAAAAAGTCTTAAATTTGACTTTGTGAAACCTGCAGAAACCCTGTATTATTTCAAATGCCTTTTTAAAAGATCACAATTGAAAAATGTATAGGCCACTCCTGAAATCCAGCCGGATTTAGCGGGTTGGCGGATGTTGATGTCAAGCCCTGCTAACATGAACTGTTGATTGAACATGCAAATCAAGACAATGTGTTTTTCTCAGGCACTCTTTACTTAAACTGCGTCTGACTGAAGAGTCAACGGCTTTTACGCATGTCTTTCAAAATAAAAGTCCTGCATTTCTAAAACATTTGGAATTATGTTCGTTGTTTCTTTGACTGCACACTCCACGACCCACTTTTGGGTTGAGACCCGCCGGTCGAGAAACACTGCTTTATTACACCAATAAAGACTGTATTAAAACACTGGCTGATCGCTGTGTCCTCTGTCAACCGCTAGGTGGAAGACATCAGACAGGACCTGAGTCTGAAGCAGACGGAGGAGGTGGACCGGCAGAAGCGGATTGGACACACGCAGCTCATGATCCGAGACCTGCAGAAGGAGCTGCAGAACATGAACAGCATGGAGGACGTCACGCCTCAGATCGAGGCTGTGAACGCAGAGCTGAGGACCATCCAGGAAGAAAAAGCCAAACTGGAGGGCGAGAGTTTGGACCTGCGCAGAGATAAAGACGAAGCTTATGGAGAATTTATACGTAATGTCTAATAGAAAAAAAACATACATACGAAGTTATGATGGTGTTATGTCTTTGCCTGTTGTGGAGAAACCACTAAAAGTTTGCATATCAATTCCATCAGTTCATCATACTGAAGTCTTGTACTCATTTTCAGTTTATTGGTTGTTGTTTTGAAGGTTTGCAGAATCGTCTGAGGAGTCTGGAGGACATGATGAAGGTGAAAGAGGATAAGCTGCGCAGCCGTTTTCGTGACACGTACACCGCCCTCATGTGGCTGAGGAATAACCGTGACCGCTTCGAAGGCAATGTCCACGAGCCCATGATGCTGGTGGTGAGAGCACAGAGGACCAATCACTTGCTGTTTTCTGGACATGGCTGTTCAGGCAGATTAGTTTGATGTTCTCGCAATATTTTTTTTTGCCAGATAAATGTCCGTGATACTCGGCACGCAAAATACATTGAGAGTCACATCCCTCTGAACGACTTAAGAGCCTTCGTCTTTCAGAGACAGCATGACATGGAGAAATTCATGAAAGAGGTGAGAAGCTCCGCATGTAGTACTTGGAATGAAGCTGACACAATAAGTATCTTTTTTTTTTTTTCATTTAAAAACATTACGGGTGTGTGATGTGACTAATTTCATTTAACGATATATATATCACAATTATGGCTGTCGCGGTGAAGGAATTTCCCTTGCGGTAATTTTGAGTGGCTCAATAGCGCGATATGCGGTTTTGTAAAATAACAGTTAATTAGATTAACATGCAACGTAATACCTATGAGAAAACATGTTAATGTGTTACATTTGAGATGTTTACATCCATAAAACATAGTTTCAATTGTGTTACTAGTTTACTAGGTTATACTGTTTTACTTGCATCCACCGCTAGGTGTCAATGCAACCTACAAATCAGAGACCAGTTACGTTGCTTTCGGCTGTCACTTTTGTGAAAAAAATCCTGTTTGTTTTTTGAGACAAAAGTGTTCATTTAAATCGATTTGTAAAATCAAGTTTTCATGTCCAAAGACGTTTCCATTTTCAACGCCACATATAGGCAAATCCACGGACAACTAACAGGCATTAGGACGAACGTAAAGAGTTCAGCATTTCTGATGATTTATTGGCGTGAAGTTTCGTGCACAATGACAAACAGGAGTGCAAAATTCTGGAAAAACAACACCCGCAGCAATCATTACCAAGCGCGAACCATTGACAGTGAATGAAACAAAGCGAACGTATAGGCCATATGTGACATGCGTATACCATGGTGTAAACATAGGCTTGTCATAGATGACGCCGCGGGTTTATGTCTAAAAGAAAGAACGTAGCCTATGTAGTAGGGCTGTGTATCACCAACAATGTCACGATACGATACGTATCACGATACTAAAGCCACGATACGATATGTATCACGATATGGATCAATTTGGAATTTAAATTTCTGCTTATTGAATAACCAGTGTTATAACAGTTGTGATAACTGAAAAACAATGAGTTAAATGAATAAAAAAGCTTAGAATGGCTCTTCCTTCTGCTTTTAAAGTCTGCCTCAATAACTGAAATGACAGTTATAGTGACACTGAAGCATGTCTACACTGCTCAATGACTAAACAAAACTTAAAACATTCCATAAAAGCAAAAACGGTAACGACTTAAATTTAACTTAGTTTTCTCAAACTCTTTTAAACACCTAGGATTTAACAGGTCTTAAGTGTTGGAATGTGCACCAAACAAAGTAATTTCTTCTACGTTGAAATCATTTTAAATGATTACATTTTCAAATTTTTATGCAGAAACAACCATTGATTGACATGCTCAGGGTTAAGAGAGTGACAGCAGAATATCTCGCTTAACTTCATCATACAACCGGGGAATTGCCGTTTCTGTTAAAAACCTTTATGCTCATTCAAGACATAACCAACTGTGTTTAGAGGATACTTACCAAGAACGAAATTTTTTACATCATTTTGCGTGTTTTAGTCTGTTAAAGCGATATAATCTCGCGAGCTGAATGTGAGGCATCTTTACTCTCTATGTGCACGCAGAGAAAACCAACTCTCAGAGAGCGCGCAAGTACTGAATAGTTTAAAATCGTTTGAATGTTTAAACTGGTAAGACTTAAAGACATGCAAATGGTAAACTTTAGTCACGATGGCCCGATTATGCAAGTGAATATTCCGTCATGTCCCGACTCCTAACCGTGAGCGTGTAGTTTCACCGGCTGCAGCGCTGGACGCTTGCCCGAGACGAGAGAGAGAGACGCAGCACTGCATTGAACTCACGCTGTTTGTGAAATTGCGTCTCACAGAAAGTTTTAAAATGACTGATTTGATTTTATAATCTGTGTGGATTCATTTACTAATACTACAACCTACATGCTAAAGTGAATCAATGTTTCCGGGAATTTCCCGCATTATAAACTGCGGGAATTATTCAAATTATGCGCAATACCTGCGCCGAAATTCGAGCCCTGAATTGGCTACATTCAAAAGCACAAAAATATCGATACGGCAGCTGCTGTATCGATACGCGTATCGCCAGGAGTTGATGACGATGTATCGATATTCTGAGCACAGCCCTACTATGTAGGCTTTTTATATTCACAATACTTACTAAAATATGATTAATATTATATTATTGCATTTGTATTAGTTGTTTGAAGAGTAAAAAAAAAATTGGTCGGTCTTAATGCAAGTTTACAACCGGCAAGTCGGGTCGGACTAAAAGGGAAAAAATAATAATAATTGGGTCGGTCCTAAATTGACGGGGTCGGTCGGGTTACGGCAAACAAGAATATTTTTAAGGATGGCCTCATTAAAAGATAGATGTAAACAAGGTGTTAATTATTTTTAACTTTGAGCTCCACTTTTCAAGGCTCCGCTGACCAGCAATGTGTCGCATGGGTAATGCTTCTCTTATAGGCCATGAGACGGGACCCCAAATTTGGGCTACCGGTACCATTTTGAGGGATTACATTTCTTTTTGATTTTCATGAAGGTACACATCTCTAGTGTTGGAAAATGTGTGATAGCATCCGATCCATGGTAGCTTTCGTTAGAAATCAACACTTATATCATCCTACCTCAAGGTAAGGTGTTCAGTGACTACAAGAGAGAAAAATGTATCCTTTTATAATTTAAAAAAATTATTTTAAAAAATTATCATTTTTTTTATTTTAAAAATCTATAAATGTTTATAATTTTTTTATAAAATTTATTTAAAAATAAATTCATTTATCTAGGGCTGCAACAACTAATCGATAAAATAGATAATAATCGATTATGAAAATCGTTGTCAACGAATGTCATTATCGATTAGTTGGTCTGCTTACGTCACGGGGAGCGTTTACTGGTGATTGGTTGAAACAGGCCAATCAGGATGCTCTCTGTCTTACACGCGCTTCATGAGGCACACACGCAAGGTCTCTCTCCCTCCGTTGCTCTGCCGCGCTCTTGCTTGCGCGCTCAAATCCCGGGAGTTTGAACTAATTTGCCAGCATCAGGGAGCATATCAATATGCGGGTGACTTCCAGAACTTCCGGGAGACTTGGGATGTCTGTATTTTGCGTCTCGAGCATCAAGTTGCGCAATCAGTTCGCTCGCAACATAAGTGATGGATTAAAATAGTGCTACCGCAGAAATATTAAATTAAAATGGTCTTTACAAAGCGAAGCACTAAATATAAAGGCAGTTAATAACAGCAACAGTAAATTATTGTTTTTTAGTCACTGTAGCCGTTACTCAGTGGTTTTCAGCGAATGTTTGTGCACTAATCATTTTTCCTGTCTTTTTAATCAAGCCTGTTAGCTTGCTGCGTACCTCCATTACGTTCTCTTTATATAGCATTTGTCTACTATTAAGTTTTAATTGTTTTTCAAACGCGATCTACTGCGGCTCTATGTTCACACGCTTGTTTTCAGTCTTTCTATATTTATTTTTTACAAATTATCCTTATAATTCAATTAATTTTAAATAAAAATTAAATTAATTATATATTTAAGATGTTTTTAGTTTATATCTTCACATCTGAACAACATGTCTGTAAATTTGTTTTAACAAAAATTGTGTTAAAACAATATGTTGGATATAAATGTTTTTTTTTTTTTACATTAATCATTGTTGTCAACTTGCCATCAGCAATTATCATTAAAAACAATCCAAATATTGATATTTGTAAAACTCAATGTGTGGCTTTTGCACTTTTTAAAGTACACTTTTACACATAAATATCCTAATTTAGGGTTTTAGGTAACACTTTAGTTTACGGTGTCCTTGTTACATATGTTAAATGTACTTACTGTAGTAATAACAGTAAATTATGCATAATTACATGCAACTAACCCTCAACCTAATCCTACCCTATTCCTATAGTAAGTACATGTAGTTACTTAATATTACTCTGTACTTAAATATATAATTACACTGTAACAAGGACACCTTAAAATAAAGTGTAATCGGGTTTTATTTAGTCATAATAAACAAAATATCTAATTGAATTTTTTATCCGATTAATCGAAAAAAATAATCGTCCGATTAATCGATTATCGAAATAATCGTTAGTTGCAGCCCTACATTTATCCTTTTTCTTGACATATGTTTGAAAATCGTCCTCCGTAACCAAAAACTGCCTTGAATCTAATGCTATCACACATTTTTCAAATACAGGGTCATATACCTACACAAAAATCACCATGCGGTTTAATCCCTCAAAATCAGTCGATCTCTCATTCACTGTCTGTTTAGGCTTAAATGCAAATCTACGAAGCCTCAGTGTGTACAAATCACCATGATACACAGTCTTGTTTTCATTATTAACTTATTTAACATTCAATAAACATGCACAAAGTTCAAAACAAGAAGGATAGCCTTATAAAAAAAGAAAAAAGGCGAATATCGCGGTTACTTGCATTCCTCTGCGGTTGGCCTGTCAGTAGCGCGGTACTACAATATTGCGGTTATCGAGACAGCCCTAATCACAATATAGTTGTTTTTGCTTTAGATATGGTTTTCTATCATAATTCTTGTCACCATTTTTTATATGATAAAAAACGAATACTAGCCCAAGTAAAAAAACAAAAAAAAGCTCAAGCTTACTGAAGATGAGTAAACTGTTCTATTGTAGTCGTTTTCTTTGATCTTTCTTTATCACTAAGACACAAATGAAATGGACCAACCTGAAAAACTTTAAGCACTGGAAATACTACATAAAATGTATAAAACAAACAATGCTTAGTCTTTACTGTGTAAATTAAAAATATATTTATTTCTATTAGTGTTTCAGTCAAGAGCAGTGGGAGATTTTCTCTCTTTTGTTTGATTAACATTATTAATGACAGCGGGTAAATTTGGATGCTGTCACTTTAAGAGCAATAAGTCCAAAATCACGACCGATGACAAATTTCTACGAGTTAATCGTGTCAATCGGTATATCGCCCACCCCTACGACAAATGGTCAGTGGAGGGAAAAATGGTGATTGCTCACCATAAAAAATATTCTGTTCATTTTATATGAAGTTTGTAAATTTTGGTAACAGGGTTTCAAACATTTACAATGTCTATTTACAGTTTAAAGCCTTCAATCTCACATAAATGATGTTATTTTCTAGCAATAAACAAAATAATATAATGCAATAAAATAATAGCATACTAAACATCTATGATAGATGTAAGTGAAGTAAAATCAGTAAGATGTCATTTTTTTTCTCAGGTGCGAGACTCACAGAAGCTACGAGTCAACAGTGTCATCGCTCCAGCAGAGTCCTGCTCGAACAGACCACCGGCACGACCACTCGAGACTCTGAAGTAGCACCTTCTTCTTCACCTGCTCTACCAATACATCTTATTCAGCTCATTTTTAGCATATGCATTTATGTATTTTATTTTTTGGCAGGCAATATGGCTGCTTCTCGTACTTGCGTGAGCTGTTTGATGCTCCTGAGGAAGTCATGAGTTACTTGTGCCATCAGTACAAAGTCAACGATGTACCTGTAGGAACAGAGAAGACCAAGAACATGATCGAGAAGGTGGGTCACTGCTGCCTAAAACACTTATACACATCATGTATTTGGCAGAAGATACAAGCTTAGGGCCCTATGGTTTCCGTGTTGTAGAAAATGTGGATAGAATCGCAGAATTTGCTGTTAAATTTCAACCAATTTTGGATAAATAAATTAACAGTAGGGCTGTACACTTATTATTGACTTGCCTAAATATTAAAGCTCAAGAGCTATTGAATCAGAAGTCTGCATGTCTCTGTGTGAATGAGCACCACAGTTTCATCTACTACACACACACTGAAGCATGTTCTGCATGTTTTCAGCCAGCGACTGCCATCTCACTATATGGGGGCATGAACACATGAACATGATGCATTTGTTTTAAATTATAAAGCAGAATCCAGATAAAGTAAAACCGATAGAACAGAATATCCAATATTTTTTTTTGTTAAAATGATTACATTTTTAATTGATTTGACAGGCATTTTGATTATTAAAGCTGCAGTCCGTAGCTTTTTTTGGGTTAAAAATTATCCAAAATATATATTTGATAAAATACGTAACCAGCCAGTGTTCAAAACGATCTGCTTGCCTTAGCTCGATGCAAAACGGTAAGCTTGTAATAATGTTTTTAATTCCAGTGGTACTGGTGGTTTTCCGCGGGAGATTCGAGCATGTCTTTGCGTCATTACGTCACATCTGCACACACACATCTGCACACACACATCTGCACACATAAAGGAGTCTCGGCTAGTCGGCTATAATGCGTGTGAGGATGCTGGAGGTGGAGATGTATAGCCTTTTCTCACAGCACTTGATATAATTAAACTTATCAATTTGATGGCGGATCCAGAAAGGTTCAAACGACGATCATCATCAGTGACAACTAGAGACTCACCCGCTGTAAAATGCAAAAGACTTCGTTCGGACTTCGGAGTGGCGACAGAAAGAAGAGACTGCAACCGGACCCATGCGAAAACAAGGATAATATCGGAAGGACATTACATGTAGTCACGCAATGCTGACGTTGTTAACATTAACAATTAGAGAACAAAGTATAATTTGCACGGTTTTGCGTGATATGATATCTTATAAGCGATTGTTAGATTTAATCAGCGATTGTTCGATTTAATCAGCGCGATTTACTGCTATGTCAGAACCAGAACAAAGGTGGATGTTTCTTACTTGTTCAGATGACATTTTCCGGTGAAAGGTCTTATGTTGGTCATACTTCCAAAAAGAATAATCTGTGATTCTGAATGGCAGTATCCACACCGGCGCGGTGACTGACAGCCTCACACTCTCCTCAAACACTGTTCCTCCGTGCTGTGCCGTGTCGAGGGTGTTGAAGCACAACCCACGTAAAGTTGATAATTCCGCGAATGACTGCAATTGCAGATTTTGAACCGAGATGGTGACAGAGGAAAAACGCCGGACTGCAATGAAAATTAATTAAACAATTAAAATGGAAAAACGGAATTTAGGAAAAATAAAACTAATTTCATATGGTCCTACAAGCTTTAACCTGGTATTTTTCTGTGGCAAGTAAAAGGCAAAGAACCACCATCAATGCCTTCCATGTCAAACTTCAATGACTATTAAACATATTTTACTGGACTGCAATGTTTTAAATGTAAATAGACAATGGTTTTATTCAGAAATGTGTTTGTATTTAAAAACTGATGTATTTAAAAAAGTATCACGTGACTGCATTTTAGAATTTCTATTTTGTATTAACCTGAAATGTCTTACTTTTTTTGTTAATTGTATGAATTATGTTGGTTATTCTGTTTTTGCCATGAAAATAGCCTTGTTGGTGACATCAATAAATAATTTTTCTTTTGCAGGTGATGAGAGAGGTTCAGTTGAGGATGATCTACACGGCGGAGGAGAAGTACACCGTGAAGAAGTCCTTCTACTCTAATAACGTGGCCTCCAGTAACTCGGCCCTGCGGCCCTCACAGTTCCTCACCACAGCCGTGGATGCAGACGAGAGACGTCACCTGGAGGAGCAGATGAGAGTGAGACAATATTCCAAGATTTTGTGCATAAAAAAATAAGACAACTATAATGATAGAAACACATTTACTGAATAAATCCCATCCCGCAATGTGCAACAAAAAAACTCATGTGATTTTGCCTCAACTGTGGATTTGATTGGATAATGAGTAACCAGCGGACCAATCGCATCGCATCACAGCATGTCAAATGTTGGTTTGGTCGCTCTGAAATGCCTGAGCCGAAGTCTGTCATCAGAATGATTTGGTTTAATTCCCTCCCAGAAGCGTCTCGCATGATTGTGTTCCCGAACACCAGCATCCGAACGCAAGAGAACACGACAGCATTTATATTGTTTATATTCGTCTATGCGCTCTGAGACACAACTCGTTTATGATGAAGGAAAAAAAGAGCCACAGTTTCTTCCCTGATTGCAGCAACTTCCATTTTTATTACAGAAATTTTGCGCCAATTTCCCAGGAAGTGACCATTTTGTTCTCTTGAACACATGGGATGGAATATCTTTATTCACACTTTTTTTCTTTTTTTATGCGATATTCCAATTTTGCGTATCAGTTAAGTTTACAACTTTGATAGGAGAATCAGCTCTTGTCGCCACTGATTTAAACTGCAGCAGATTGGGATATGTATTGCTTTAGTTGGTGAAATGTTGGTTTTCATTAAATCATTGAGAAATAGCTTTAGGGGGCTGAGAAATGTTGCACGTCTCGTTGACAGGCAGCAGAGCGGCAGGTGCAGAGAGTTGATGAACGGATGGCAGCCATTCGCGAGCAACAAGCTCAACTAGAGCGGCGTGATAATGAGCTGCGTGCTAAGAAGAAGAAGCTGTCTGAGCTGAAAGGCAAGAAGAGACAACTGGAGCAGAAAATCAGTACAAAACAGGACAGGTACCTTCTGCAAGAAACCACCTGTGGGGTTCATTCTTTCACATCATTACTGGTGTTTGCTAAGGCAAGCGTCTCATTGCTACTGCTCAAACTTTGGGTGACGGGTTTGTTCAAATCTAACTTTCTCATCCCACACTCTGTAACAGACATGAACGATACCTGTTTTACTTTAGTCTTTTTCTCTCTGTGTAGTTTGAGGCAGATGGAGCAAAGTGAGTTCAACTTGGAGACAATTGAACAGGAAACGAATGCCAAGATCGCTGCTGTAAACAACAAGAAAGTGGCCATAATGGAGGAGTATTTGAGTCACATGCAGGTGTGTTTGTGCTCCCTGCATGTTGGTTTCTACGCTCGGATGTTCTTTGTCTCATGACTCTGTGTGTGTGTGTGTAGATGAAGGCCAGGTTGAGTATGGAGAAGGTGTACTTGGCTCTCCAGAGCGCAGGTCTCTCCGCTGAGAAAACCAAACTGGAGACGGACTGCAGGGACAGTTCCTCTGAACTCAAGCAAGCAGAGGTCAGACCCGTCTCACATCTAACATGTCTAACAACCACATGTGATGTTGAACAAATACATCAAAGGACTCTTTATAATCCCGTTTCAGTTCTTATACAAATATAATATATTATTGCATTAATATACTTGTTGATATAAAAGATAAGTTATTATATTTAATAACTCAATAACTCAAATATACTTTGAAGGTGACTTGATATTTATTTCAATTCGTACAAATACAAAGAATGCGTTTTTCCATTGTTTTTTATGCTATAATGGACGTGTTTGACCGTTGCGCTCACGTCTTTTAAGCTCAGGTTAAAAGAATTTCCAAAAAAGTTTTTAACCACAAAACATGTTGTGTAAATGGCCCCTAATTATTCAGGTAGAGAATTTGAATTATTGAGGATAATAGAGTATATTTTAAGGATGCACGATAAATCGGCCACCATATCGGTATCGGCTGATATTTGTTCATTTTTCATGTAATCGTTATCGGCCCGATAAGAAAATTTGGCAGATATATTAAAGCCGATAAATAATGGATTATTTCCTTTAGCTGAGACACTTCAGATGCGCCCTGTTCACTGTGATGGTTTTGAATTGCTTGAAATATGATTGGAATCACTTTAAAAAAGGAAAATGCAGTTCAGTGCAACATGTGCAGCGCAAGTCTGTCATATAGGCTACATAAAATGATGACAACATCATTATAATTGTGTGCTTGGGACATGGATTTTAATGGTGAGACTTTTGTTTTTGGAATCAGGCTCTCAAAAGATATATCATAATTTGAATTTAGATTTATCGGCCAATTTATCGGTATAGCTTTCAAAATAAAGAATTATCGGCCAAAATTTTCATATTATATTTCTAGTATATTTTAATTTCGTTAATGAAAACTTCCTGACCCACTGCTGAATGGTGCCCAGTAAGACCCCAGAACACGTGTGTCGGCACAGGTGGCATATACCAAGCTGGACCAGATAAAGAACAGTCTGCTGAACACATGCAAGACCCTGATGAGGAGGGCCAGCGAGATCTGTAACATGATCCCTGGAGAGACGGCGGTCCCGGAGGAACTACATGCAGTGAGTTCTGTCTGCCTCAGACACCTGTCCTCCATTCTGTGTTTAACTCATTATTTTACAACAGTATGTGTGTGTGGTTTCCTTCCAGGCCTTCAGCCAGTTGCCTGATACACTGGATGAGATTGATGCCATGTTGAATGAAGAGAAGACCAGAGCGGAGTGCTTCACCGGCCTCAGTGATGCTGTGAGAACAACACATCAGCTCATTCACACTTTGCCTAACCTCTGCCTTTAAAAATGTTACTAACCAGTCCTAACTTCAACTCACACTGGGAGTCTTGGAAAGAGGAACCGTTCTGAACATGAATAGTTTCTTGCTTTCCAACTTGACATATATGATGCTCTAAAGAGCTCCAAGTTTAGCTTGAGTAATATTTTCCTCAATATTTGACCGTTTTGGGATCATCAATATCCTCTGATAACCATGTTTATCTTGCAAATGAACAGAATATCAATTCCAAATTGTTCTTGCAGCCTAATTGATTGGAAATATGCCATTTCTGATGGCAATTTTTCCCCCCAAATGTATCTCAGTTGCTATAATTAAATCGATTTGATCACCAAGGCAAATATATAGAGTGCAACAGTCGGATTCTGGAAGTAAAAACTATGATTAATTTTCTCCATTGGGAAATAGATTTTTAATGATAACTTATAAACCAAGGAAGAGCTACTGTGAGCTACGAGGTTGTTAATCGATGGAATTTACTTCCGTTAAAGCCGTCAGCCCACATTACTTTAAAATAATTGTTTAACAGCTAAATTTGTGCTGAAAAACTACATTACCCATGATGCTGCACTGCAAATGACGTAATCTAGTCTCCATATGCCCTCAAAATACTTAAAATATTTGTGTTTTTATATAATCAACATTTTTAAATTAGTAGTTTTATGTTTCTCCATTGTTTTTAGTCGGATTATGCTGTTCGCAAGGCTTCATGGGATTGTAGTTCTTTCCTTCACTAAGTCTAAGTACACAATCTTGTATTTTTGTCAGATTTTCAAATACTTTTTTGCTTCAAATCAAAGTTTGTAATGTTGTGATTCTCCTTGTAGCTGATTGGGCTTATAATGCTTTAACAAAGACTTTGCAGAACCAGCTGTGCTGGTTTTTTTTTTTGGCCGGTGTGTCGAAAGCGGGACTTTTATTTTGAAAGTGCTGAGAACCCAGTGCCTGATCTCCATTCTCCATCTTCATTAGTTTACTGTCTTTGTTTGACGGATCTGTCTAAGAAATTATTAGACATTGCTGTTAAACAGAAAGACAAATAATAGAACGTAAACGGTATACAAAGAAATATAAGTAATTAACCTGTGTAGTCTTCCATAGCGAACCACTTCCTAGCTGGAGTTAGCAGCATAAGTACTTCCATATAGTCTATTCTACTGAAGATGAAGAGAAGGGCTGTTGTTCATCCCTGCCCTGTTTGATGCGCTGCTGGTGTCGACTCTCAGGTGGTGGAGGAATATAACCAACGCGAGCAGGAGATCCAGAACATGGAGAAGGAGCTGGACGACAAGACCACCGCTCTGACCACTTACCGGCGCAACATCGCTGAGGTGCGTCCCAGCTCACACAAACACCCTCATCATGCACTCGGATGAAGAGTAACCAAACACGTCGATGTGTTTCCCAGGCGAAGGAGCGCTGGCTGAATCCCCTGAAGCTGCTGGTGGATCAGATCAACGAGCGCTTCAGTGACTTCTTCCGCTCGATGCAGTGCGCTGGAGAGGTGGACCTGCACTCGGAGAACGAGGTGAGGACTCGCTTCTCTCTTCAGCAGTATCACCATCATCGGCTCTGAGGCGTAATGAAAGTGTGTGAGAGCTTCACTCATACACAACATACACATCTCCAGTGTTGGGCAAGTTACTTTTAAAAAGTAATTAGTTACAGTTACTAGTTACTTCTTCCAAAAAGTAACTAAATTAGTTACTCAGTTACAAATTTTAAAAGTAACTAGTTACTTAAGAAAGTAACTATTGCGTTACTTTCAAGTAAAATTAAATTTTAAATGCTCAAATGTGACCCCACCTCTACCCTGTCCGACTATGCGTTATGATGGGTCGTTCGCAATCCATGAGCGTTAGCCGTTAGTGATGATGGATCGACTCGTTCGCGAATGAGCTTTTGATGGGTCGTTCGCGATTCGCGAATGAGGCGACTCTAAGAGCCGGCTCTTTTAGGTGAACGTCGGGAGCTGGCTCGCATATCTGAAGAGCCGACTCTATTTTTACAAATTTAGCCTATAGAAATTAAATAATTATGTAATAAAAATTTCAATAATATAGTCAAAGTCATTTAAAGACCCATTTGTGAGTCAAAAGAGCCGAATGCCCATCACTACTATGTGTGCTTTCGAACACCCGCCCAACTCTACCTCTGATTGGCTTACAATGACATTTTACTCTACCTCAGCCAATCGTCAGCATTTATGCGCTTGTCTCGTGCTCTGCCCACTAACCAAGGAAGAACAGTAAAAAAAGTATTTGCCTCTCGCTCAGAGATCTAGTTGGTCTGATGAAAAAAACCCAGCTTCATCAGTTATAGTAACGGGCCGCATTTTTTGGCAGTAACGGTAAAGGCGTTAATAAGATGAGAAGAGTAATCAATTAGATTACTCGTTACTGGAAAAAGTAATGCCGTTAGTAACTCTCATCATACACAACAGCTGATCAATACTCGGCCATGTGAGACTTCTGTTTCTGCCCAGCTGACAGTGAAGGGTGTTATTTTGGTGGCTGTATTTTGTACTGCAGGAATGGAGATTGTAAAGGTCAGTTCACACTTCTCTGAGACTCCTCGACGGGGTCTGCCACATCAGTGTTACCCCTGTGGGCCGCTGTTGGTGGATGCGTGTTTGCCGGGTCGTATGTAGTTTCTGCGACACTAGTGGCAGCCATAGCTATGGCTATGAATATATCAATATCAATTTTATAATTGATATAGGATGGGGCAATACCACTTATACACAGTAGTTTGAAATGAAGAGCACATCTGAAAAATAGCGGAGGACACCGAGTGAGCTGCTGCACGGAGAGTGCATAATCCAAGTGCATTGACCTAAACATGAGACATGTTTTATATTAATGGCACAATATTATGTAGGATTTTTGGATTGAAATAGTGTTTTTTTGGGTACGTTATCCTATGTGTTACACTCAAATGATGATTGTTTTGGCCAAGTAAAACAGTAAACAGTAAAACGTTACCCAACAATTTTGATTAGTCAGACAGTGACCTGTGTCTCTTTTATAATAAACTCATCTAATGTATCTGCACCAGTGCATTTTTTTGACATGATGCGCCACACATATGAGGCTGTTCACGCTGGACATGTCAACATACACTGTTATAAACTGGTACATCAGAACGGGTGCATGATGATGCCGTATTGAAGAAGTTATCGTAGCATCTCTAAGCCTCGTTCACTTTGACGTGTTCATGACCTGTTTAAAGGCAGTCAGTTTTGGCTTGCACTCCTGGAACCGAAGCTGAACGTCGTCTCCCGTGTAACGCATCAGTCATGGCCCCACATGGCTCCGCCTGCTACTGAAGCCACGCCCCCAAACTCTTGCTATAGGTTGAGCTGGAAAGCGATTGGCAGATCTGAGCGGACCGATCCCAAGGCTCAATGTTTACACTTCTGGGGGAGATAAACCCATGAATGCCTTGCTAATATACTGTGTTGAGAGAATGTATTTTAACATGAACACTTCACTTTTAAGGGTTCGTGGTTGCAAAGTTTCCTTTCTTTGATCGTTTTGAAAGCCACTTGTACTGCAAACACATCGCAGCTTTAAGCAACATAACACGGGGTGTCAGACTCTGGCAAACGTAGCACTGTGACCGTGTGTTTCAGGAGGAGTATGACAAGTACGGCATCCGCATCCAGGTGAAGTTTCGCAGTAATGCGCAGATGCACGAGCTCACGCCTCACCATCAGAGCGGAGGAGAGCGCAGTGTGTCCACCATGCTGTACCTCATGGCCCTGCAGGAGCTCAACCGATGCCCCTTCAGAGTGGTGGACGAGATCAACCAGGTGAAGTCCTCACACACAGCACATGTTTCTGTGGAGCACGAGCTCTGTGTGACAGAACAAGCGCACAGGCATCTCTAGGATTGTGTATGTTTCTATGGCATCGCTCTCGAAGTGGATTTACTTAATGTAGAGTAGCTATAATGATGAGCATTGTAATGTTTGAAGTGGATGTCATTACTGATGTCATTAGACCAAACGTGCGGTTCATTCATTAATCTGTAAGATCTTTCCTTCATGCTGTGGAAATACAAACTGGAAGACAGAAGCCAACGAGCGCAGAGTACCAGTGGCCACTACATAAGATCTATTGGTGTATAATGATAAACGTGCACCAGACGGACATCTTCAGTCGTTGAATCAGGTCTCGGGGTTATTCTAGTAACTAAAAAAGAAAACTATTAAAAAAAAGAACTGAAAAAAAATCTTCATTCAAACTTATTTTATTTCAGCTAATTGCCAAAGCAACATTTCTCATTTCTATTTAGTTTAAGTTGATGTACTAAAATAACTAAAAATAAAATCTAATTCAAACTATTAATAAAAAATATAGTGGGATCTCAATAATACTAAAATAACACTGTCAGTCTAGTATTGTTGAGTAAGGGATAATGTACATCCAGCCAGTTATTATTGCAGAATAAACCCAGACAGGCTGATCTTGTGTCAGTCTGAAGAGATTTAATCTGCGATAACAACCGGCTGGATGTACATTATACATTATCCCACATATTATATGGCTACTTGCCTCATAAGTAAATAATTAGACATGAAATATTGATCTGAGTCGAAATATTTTAACGCAAAGCTTCCACGGAGAAAGCAGTTGCTAGCACAGCAAGTTCAAACTAGACGGACATTTAAGAGATACGGTATAGTCATACCACTTATTACACGGTATTTCACCGCATAAATAATTATGGGGATATTGATCTGAGATTAAACTGATTATAACAAACAGGAACGATTTAAAATCAATTGCAGTGTGCAAAACAATAGTCACAAAATGGCAGCAGCTGCATTTGTATGAAACGAGAGAGCGAGGCCACGATACCGGATGACATATGTTAAATAACTACACACAATATTGATCTGACTGAGTTTTAATATTTTATTAGCTCACCCAGCAAGCTTATAGCGCTGCTGAATTCAGTGACCCGGATGAGCCTGTGTTCAGTTTTCAGTGGTTATGAGGGGAATAACAGACCACCAATCAGAATCAAGTATTCCACAGAGCCGTCTATAACGTTTATATATCTAATTAATGACGAAAATGTTTCTTTAGTGTTTTCAGTTTTGCTTTTAACTGTTTCATGTCAGGTTCATTGATGCTAATCCGTATGAAATCATTACCTTAGAGAACATCTAGTATAGCTGTGGTGTTATGTTTCTCCGTTCCTCAGGTGGAGTGTGTGTGACTCTTGTGTGTGTTGTGTGCAGGGGATGGACCCTGTCAACGAGAGGCGAGTGTTTGACATTGTCGTGAGAAGCGCTTGCGGTGTGAACACATCTCAGTATTTCTTCATCACTCCTAAGGTGGGTTTCCTGAATAAGGTTGTGTGTGACGTGTTCACTGATGTGCGTGTGTAACTGTGTGTGTGTGGGTGTGTAGCTGCTGCAGAACCTGCAGTACGCGGAGCAGATGACCATCCTCTGTGTTCACAACGGACCCCACATGCTGCAGCCGAACAAGTGGCGAGAGAAAGCCTTCCTCAGACGCGCCAGACGCAGACACGTTTCCTGAAGCTCAACTTCCTGTTCATGTTCACATGCTGTCGAGTGCTAAATGTGTGTGTCAATGTTCTGAGTCCTGATGACAGGATTTTCTGTTCAAATGTAATAAATGCAACTGCTCTTTCCTTAAAACCTGCAATGTCTAGTTTATTCTTACTAATCACTGCTATTATTATTATAGCTCGGTTTTAGTCATTTGAGTTTGACAAAAAGTCAAGGCTGGTCATAATTATTGAGCTGGAGCATTCAGACACCAAACATGAAGCGTCACTGCAGGTTTTAACGGTGAAGGAGTGATAACATGTAGCTTATGTTTTACGATAGAAATGTTACATTTTGCCGTTCTGAATTGACAGTCATTTACGTGATTTATGTAATTCATAATTGCTCAATAGTGTATTTATTAAAGCATGTTTCATTTTCAGCATATGAATCAGATTGAATGTTCTATTTTAAAATTGTAGCATTTGCAAACGGTTCGAATTGATTAAAAATCGTATTCTTGTACTGTTCTTTATTTCTGAAAGTCCATTTAAATCCTTTAATTCCTATAAGACAGGGTTACTGTATCATAAAGACTTGCAGAGTGCAGGAGTGGGGCTTTTCACGGTGTCACTCCGCTTGTTTGACTGCTGTATTTTTGCAGTTTGCAGACATCGAGTCATTCACTCAACTCATTTGTTCAAAAACAAACACACACACACACACACACACCTTGTGTAATGAAGCCATTGTGCGTAATAATGGTGAAACGAGGCTTTGTGAAGCGCCTTTATATCGTCAAAAGTGTTAATCGAAGCTTGTACGACACAGCCCTCTAATGCTCAAAATATATAACACGTAACATTTATTTATAAAGTAGTAAAATTGAACAATACTTTACACGGCTTATATTCCATTAATGCTGATGCAGGGCTAGTTCAGTTAGTGATTTTGATTGGGCAATGGGCTGGTTTTGTTACAGATCTGGCAACCCTGACCAATCCGCATCCAGGACCAGCTGAGTTGAAGCCCTTTCACGTTACTTTGCACAAATAAATCTTATAACGAACAGCTTATCGCACCAGTACAGTACAAAACCGTTCAGGACACATTTTAATGATATCTCTGTACATAATTTTATTTACATGATACAATTTCGCAGTAATGTCGGATAACAAGATTATATGCGCAATACATATAATAAATAAAGATGGTTTGTACAAACTTGCATAACTAAAATCATAATCAGAACAGAAGGTTAGTTGTACTGTGTAAACTGACAAAGCTCTAAAATAAAACAGTGCTGTGCAGCCAGACCCAAAAACAGGACACGGACTGAGCCTCAGATTTAGAGATGTAGACTAATCACATACTCACACTGACTCACAACACTCAAGCACACTCGAAAGGGCTGATTAAATGACACTAAACAATACCATTAATTTCTTACCTGAATTTAACACTCAATACCCACTGAATAGATCAATCACACACAAGAAAGGCGGATTAGAGGAAAAAAAAGAAGTGGACTTCTAGTATGCTGTATTTCACTAACCATGCAAAACACCCACTTATAATTCAACCCTCTGAACAAGCCCAGGAACCACGTTTTCAGAAACTGGTGTCACATTACAACTCAAATGAAGAAAATAAATGTCACTTAAAGGGTCATGTGGGAGGTTGTGTGTTAGTAGCCATGTCTCACCACATCCATAGTGGACACTGGTATCATGGGCGCTCAACATTGATCATGAAGTATTCTGGTCTGGCTGCATGAAACCGTCGCAACTGGATTATAATATATTTTTCACAAAGTCTGTCAATAATTAAAAAGAAAATCTTTTGAACATGAAAGAGAAAACCAGCATCACTCCAATAGCTCGATAACTGTGGTAGGCTGACGCTCAAGCAGAAACGTGGAAAAGGCTGACTCTTAACGGGAGGGCGAAACGTTCGACCCGGAGGAAACAGAAGAGCGTCCATTTGCTACATGAGCCAGCCATGCACTGTTGCCCTGACGGCGCTCGGGCCAGAGCCGTAACAGTCCTCCGAGAGTCCAGGACACGCCATCACAGAGGAGACCACGGACATCAGCCTTTAACACCACAATCAGATGCTTCAGGCCTTTTTCCTCTCGTTTGTTTTAACTTGAAGCTCATATACCAACAGAAAGCAAAAGAAAGATGGAAACAAAGTGATCACTCATGCATTGGCTTAGAAACAAGATTCTTTCCCATACTGTAATTAAAAAAACTAGTCTTTAGAATCACAGGTCAAAGTGCGAGTCCTTTTATCCGATCTCTCGCAGAGTCGAGGTGAAGACGGCCGGCGGTTTATATTCTCTGAATCTTATCGGCGACCACGACGGGGTTCTCCTTGCGGATCTTGGCGGCAGCCTCTGCCTTGTAGTCGTAGGGGCAGTTGTGCTTGTCCGAGTAGCGATGAAGTCCGCAGAACAGGTTCCCACAGCGGCAGTCGAACCCTGGCAAACGAGACGTCAGCGTCAGAACGTGTGGAGGGAGCATGTGTGTGTGTGTGCGGGAACACTCGGAGGATGCGCTCACCTGTCAGGCCGACCTTCTTGCGGCACATGAAGCATCGGTTCTTCTTGTGTTTGGGGGCCTCGGGCGTCTTGGCCTCGTCCCCGCCGGCTGAGCTCGGGGGTGCAGCGGACGCTGTGGGCTGAGTGACGACTGCAAACACAAGCGCACCAATGAACATCCCCAGAAAAACAACTACATGCCCACAGAACACAGCTAGCCAGCTTCAGTACGCAGGCCTTTTCTGTAACTTTGTACCAATTTTAAACATTGTGGCTTTCAAACCTAGACGTTTTTGACTTTTTAAGGCAGAGTTTAGGTGATTTCTTCAGTAAAACCAGCTCTTTGGAAGATTATCAACGTTACTTGCGAAGCTAATGATGAGAATCATTTTGACTGCAAGAACCTCTTTTAGCCATACAACTGAGATGACAGTCAAACAAAGCATTTTACACATCTGCATGGCTATTAAAGGTGGGGTATGCGATTCTCTTTTTTGACCATTTTTTCAAAATAACTTGAAATCCTATTCCTAACCCACTTACAGCCACTGAGGTAGAAGCACTGAAATGAAAATCAAGCAATTTAATCATCTGTGGAACGGGCAGGACTCGAAAAACTCCAGCCAATCATTTCCAAGACCAGCTAGAATCATTGGACAGTAAGTCCGTCAATCAAACGGCTGTACCACACCCCCCTCCCCCCAGCGCGCGTGACCCCCGTCGTGCGCATACTCAAAGTTTGTGACGCATGCGCATCTCGTCAGTAAAGCCGGTTCCATGATTAGTAGTAAATCGTCATTACAATCTCTCGCACATCTAAGTTTTCGCTCGTGCATGATTGCGCGTCCATGTTCTTGGAATGGGTGGAGTCAGAGCCGGCGTTGGAGGAAAGAAGGTAGGACCATTTGAATTGTATATTTTCTAAATCTGCCGGTCGTTTTCCAAATCACATACCCCACCTTTAATGGATAGAGATATATATATATAAATAGTTCAGATGTCATACAGGGACTTAATCTCAATGAAGTCTCTTATTTGAAGTCAAAACAAACCAATTGCATTATTTAACAGATTCTTTGAAGATATTTAGATGAATATGGCTGACCAAACAGCCATTGACTGAGTTCCACAGTATTTTTCGCTCCATCAACCGTTTGGTCAGCCATATTCTTCAAAACATCATCTTTTGTGTTCAACAGAGGAGAGAAACTCATACAGGTTTGGAACAATAATGAGTAAATGTACATTTTTGGGTGAACTATCCCTCAAGGTGTAGCTCAGGGTTAGTACTGGTTTCAGCGTTGTGTAAGCGCAGTCAGCACTGTGATTCGGATCAAATCTTCAGAATTGGCTGCAGAGTGGGGTTTGCAGATGAGAAAGAAATTGCTTAAATGACGCAGTTTTCAAAATAGCACACTAGTCTTAAAGTGCGCTCACATTAGAGAAACGTTGCCAATAGTGTAGTGCCGTATGAAGCACAGCGCACAGAGTTCACTTCCAAACCAAGCAGCTTTCTGTTGGCCAATATGGCGAATTCACACGACCAACCTGAACCCGTCGCAAAACCTGCATATTGAAACTGTTATAAATGCAGCAGAAGCATTTATGTTTCTTAGCTTCTTTATTTAGAACCTATCTAGTGTTAAGACTTTCATAAACTGTTTCAGGGACTCTAAAGCTGCGTTTAAACATGATTCAGCTGAGACACTTCAAGTCTAAAAAAAACCCCCAGAAATACCAACCCGGTTCAGGAACTTCTGCTTTCGGCGAGCCCACGTCGTCTTCACAGGAAATGCTCATCTCCGTCATCTGTTGTGTGACCGGGAGGGCAGCGGTGGCGGCGCTGTTGGGCGACTCGGCGCTAGCAGCGGAGGAGTGGTTTAGTGTCGCTTCAATGATCTGGATGGCCGAGGCTTCAGAGGTAGGACTACTGGTGACACTGCTGGAAGCTGCAGGAAGAGACCACATCCCTTTAGTGTTAATGACACACTTGAGGAACAATCGAGCTTACAGACACGTCCGATTGTCCGTGAAGATGTTCAAAGAGTGGAAACACGTACCCATTGTGCTAATCGGACTGACTCCCCCATTGTTTTGTCTTGTTAAATGCTCTTTGTAACAGACCGAGCACATGCCGCTGGTCCGAGGGTTGCCATAGAAACCGCAGCCGGTGGCACAGAGCATGGGCACGGGGCTTTGATTGGTCTCCTGGGCCATCTCTCTGAAGGTGGGCGATTCCTGCAGACAACAAAACACAAGGACCGTGAATATGACAGCATGTGTGTGTGTGAGGAGGAGGGACTCAAAGACTGCGGCTCTGGCTTCATTAAGAGGATTTACGCCGATAAAGGTGCAATGTTGCCACAGCCTGGGAATCAGATTAGGCGTCAGACGTCGGAGCACCTTTTTTTTTGGCATGAGCCTCATCTTTATACAGAATCACCCAAACGAAAGCAAAGTGATTTCTGCAAACTCATGCCAAAGATCATCTTACAACCAGACTGACCTGTAAGACTTCCTCCAAACACTTAACCAATCCAACCAATAAAATGCTTCATTAAACTACATCAGAAAAGGACTGTCAGTTCGAAGATTAAAATACTTCTGTGCACAGATAAGCAAAAACACAATCATTAGCACCAAAAGTGCAGCTAACAAGCTGTAAACGAGTTTATTTTCTGACGCAAATGAGAAAATCCTAGGCAAGTGGTTCTCAACTTTTTTACTCCAAGCCCCCCTTTGTCCGAGACAATGTTTAAAGGATCTCCCATCTAAGCTAATATGTGCTTCTGAACAAAGTTCATAGAGATCGTAAACTAATCCATTTGAATTGAGTGGTTTAGTCCAATTTTCTGAAGGGACTCGATCGCTTTATATGTTGAACAGATTGAATTTTGGCGTTTATTCACATATAAACATTGATCCGCGAACATAAACAGAAGCTCAACCGAACCTGCTTGACAAACCTCTGAAGCTCAAACGTGCTGCGCAACTCGAGAACGAATGTGATGAACGTAAATGAATAAAAGCCTAAATTCAATCTGTTCATCATATAAAGCCATCGAGTCCCTTCAGAAAATGTGGAATAAACCGCTCAATTCATATGGATTAGTTTACGATCTCTTTATGGACTTTAGGAGCATCAAAGCAGTAGTTGTGTAGCTGTCAGTGGAGGGACAGAAAGCTCTTACATTTCATCAAAAGATCATCATTTGTGTTTTCTGTTTGCCAAAGATGAAAGAAAGTCTGGTGGGTTTGGAACGACGTGAGGGCGAGTAATTATTGAAAGAATGTATTATTGGGTGAACATGAACTATCCTTTTAAGCTCAAGCACAAATCTACTCCACCAACAGAACGGCCACAAATATCTTTATGGTTGAGAAGATTCATCACTCATCATCAATGTGCAATACAGACGCGCTCTCAGAAAACACATGTGCCGGACAGGCATGGCCAGGCTTTCTCTTTAGGAAATCATTCATACAAATTATTTCTGTGATGCAATTACTAAAGTGTCATGATTTTATCTGTTTTATCACTACTCGTTCATACCTCAGATTTGAAAGAGACAAGAAATGTGGCGTGTAAAGCTGGGGAAAAGTGGGAGAGTAGAGAATGGGAAGAGGGGAGACAGCCAATAAAACACAGACCAACAACACACTCATAATACAGACACATGAATATTTAAATGCAACCGGAGAAAAAAAACTAGCAAACAACAGAGTTGGGCGCACCTTGATGCATTTAAAAATATAACCCTATGACAACAAACTCACAAAAGTTACCAGTAAAGACTACTAACAACTATCATGAACAGATCATACAGGTTCTGATAACTTATTTTTTACAAATATCAACTTTCAAGAGAAATCGGTCTGTATGAAAAATGAGGAAGAACATTTAAAATGTCTAATAATATTTTCATTTTGTTTACGTGCACTATCACTGAACACATGACACATCAGTTTAACACAGAAGGAATAAAGGCATAGTTACTTTTTTTGTCCATTCTTCTTTGAATTTTCGGTCTACATCACTGTCTCGTGGGTATCAGAATAATTTGTCATCGCCTTCAGACGCACGGCTGTTATCAGTGTCTGCATTTTCACATATACATTTCATTTGAAGTCCTGAGATGTGCTTATTCGCAGTGCTGGTGGTTCATGTTTGGAGCACTAAAACAGTATATGAAATATGTCCTTAAAAATTTGAAACACGCTTGCTTGGGTCCGGATATGAACTGTGATCCACATAGCGAGTGTTAATCTCGTAAACTGCTCTCATGCGTGCGTGTTACATATTAAATATTTTTAGTCATATATTCAATGTGTTGGTAGTCAAACTCCAGCTCTGAATGCATCGTGGTAGAAACGCAAACACTTTTGTGCAACTGTACGACTGACCCTTTAAACATCAGCTGCTCATTTAATTATATTAATGCATAGTGTGACTGCCCATTTATCTTTACATTTTGATTTTATGCCGAGTTAACTGAATTACTGGTATGCGAGCACCAAAATGTTTTGTCATCCGCATAGAAGCATTTCCACGTCACTTTCTGCCTTTATAAACCCTGACTAGATCCTCAATATTGGCATAGGATCATAAAATCCAATCGTACAAGCATTATATGAATCAGGGCCAATTTAATGTGGTGCATCTTTATTTTGAGTTTTTAAAGCATTTTAATTATGAGTCATTCAGACTGATCTGGGCCCTGTTTGAGAACCACTGTCCTAGGATGTTTGTGTGCCATTTCTGTGCTTTATTGGTAACACGTTTTCTGAATTTCTCAATCTTTTGATACTGCTGTAAAATGAAAGAAAGTTTTTTAAATTCACTTTTTTTTTTCTTCTACTGATTTCTTTCTTATTCATTACTGACCGTTTACAACAACTATTAAGTCTACATGCCCACTGTTGTGGTTCCATTCATTCATATTTAGATCTTGGTTCACACAACATAACACCATAACTTACAAAAACATTGTGTGAGTGTGACGCACTGCACCATTTTAAACAGAAATTTCCTAACTCGTTTATTATCACATCACGCACCAACTTCATAAATCGAGGGTGCTTTCACACTCTAACGCATTTGAAGTGGATCAGAGTCGGTTTCTGGAACGATTCACTGTTGGTTTGAACACAATTAGTCCAAACCAGATTCACATCTATTTTTAAAAGTACATTTTAAACAATTATGTGGTGTCATGAGTAAAATAAAATAAAAAAAAGATTCAAAAAAGTACTAAAAACTCAATTAAAATGAAACACTCCCCCATAGAGCATGACCTAAACTCTTAATATTGATTATGGCAGGGCGATCTGACAATATATCAAGGTGACAATACAAAGCATCAATCAAATGATATTTTGCCATACCACTTACGTTACAATATGTAAATAAGCAGCTTTGTGCTGCACAGAAGTTACTGACAAGTTGATGTGATAAAGCAACATAGATGGCCCCATACATGGACAATTATACTTGCTACTGTATAAATAAAACTTACAGTCCATTAAAAACTTAAAGCGCTGCTTGACATGTGCACCACCGATTTATTGTATTTGTCCTATAGTTTGTTATTTGCATGTTTGTTCTTATTTTTAAAAAACACAATAAAGATATCATTTATTTTTCTTTTTATAAGATTTATCATATCTCCCACCTCTGGTCCACAAGCACATTGCGCACACCTATCCATTTATATTAATAGTTAACTTTTTAAATAGTTGGGGCTGTATCAAATATTCCTCAATACCAGCTGCCCCGGCATCGTGAGCACCATACTAGCCAGATGAAGTGCGTGCGACCATGCGGTGTTGATGGGTAAATGCTGAACAGCAGTGTGAGATGTAAATATATCTGTAGGTGGAACAGCTGGAACATTCTGTTCAAGCAGAGGCGATCACAGCAGCAAACCCAATCCCCATCCAAGCAGAAACATGTAACGCAGACGCTTTCGAGAAATCAACCTGAAACCTGTCAGGAGCGGCATGTCCGCGAGGGGCCCCGGGGTTTCAGAGGGCCTCTTGTCTGCAAGTAAACAAGATTGCAGCATTTCACCTCCGCCTTCTGGCATCAGAGGTTTTCCCCTGAAAACCCGCCACATGGCCCGCGTCACGTGTGTGTGTGTGAGCCTGCTGCCCTTCGCACTCGCTCACATGGACCGCTGGATTAGTTTTCATCCGTCACAAGGGTGCAATGTGACATGTTGTCCTGAACAGCCTCCACCAGTGTGTCCCGACTAAAAATACCCCCCCTCCATTGTCCTACCTGCCTCCATTACATCACACACACACATCTCTATTAGGAGCTGGTTTGCATAGCACCCTCCTCCTCCCTACACATGGCCTCATATATTCTGATAAAGCCCAAAATGGCAAAGCCCCAACAGGGCTGTTTTTTCTTCTTCAGCCGATTCCCATGCATGTTGGCCACCTGTGTTCACCTATCCCTGTCTGGATGACAGCAAATACACGGCATACAGGGCAAAACAAAGACATGAGAGATAAACCAAGTCAAATAGTTGAACAAAAGCAAACCATGAAGCTAGAAAGACAGCAGAAAACAGATGCTCACGTGTCTCAATGCACCAAGATATGAGGCATTTAAATGACATGTACAGCTTATACAAAGTCTAATAGTGCACTTTACACTGCAAACACGCTTTGTGAGTGTTATTCACATAGTATGTGTACTTTTATATATTATATATAGAGATATATCAGAGTTTGAGGCCTCGTGAAATCCACTGAGTCATGCTAACAGTAGCATCACGGCTAACAAACACACAGTGGCATATAAAGCGCAAAAAGCACTCAACACAACAGCTGCTGCCCTCAAAATGTGTGCTGTGTTCAGTCTGAGGGTTAGTGTTGATGAATGAGTGAGGATGGATGGTAATGTAGCCGTTTATCTACTTTATATCTGGGTCAGGGTGAATTTGCTTTGTGTTCTCCTTTGTTTCAAAACACTCTTCCTGTTTGAGCCAAAGCACAAACCTTGATAATAATAAAAAACAACAATTCACCACCAGAACGCCAATTCACAACAAATCAGTTAAAATATTGAAGAACAAACGGCGGGGAAATTATTTTAAAAGACGTTTATTCATTCACTCAGCGATGAAGATAACACTAACTAGCTGGGCTTTGAGTTTCCTGTTATAACATCTCGATCGACACGCAAAACGACACCAAATAAAACCGAAAACACTATAATAGACAGTAAAATAGTCGATGAATGATAAAACCACACAAACAGCCAATTAACTGTATCTCAATAAACATTTAAAGAGAAATGCATGCAAACGATCTTATTTTCCATCTCTGGTATCTTGAAGGACAAAATCAGCTTAAATGCGAAGCAAACAACACGTTATGAATAAAACACACGTGTTTAAGCATAAATCTGCTGTTTTCGTATCATATTTCAGCTTTTATGTCGAAAGGAACAACAGGCTAATTTTACTAGCTAACATGCTAGCATCAGCTAACAGCAATATATGGTTAAACTCGCCAAGTTAATCATTTTAGACTAACCGCTACCACATTAAATAATATTACACCAACAAATAACTCTGGAAATAAAGATATTAGGCTTATTAGCTGGTTATTTCACCAAAACTAATCATATTTTCCTGTAGCGTTAGCATGAGCTTTTAAAATGTTGTAATGTGGGGGGAAAGTGTTTTACTTGCCTTATATGAGTAAAACGAGAAGCTCCCGGAATAAAGAGACTATATATTAAACCCTTCGCGTTGGTCTGTGCCGCTAGTCCGCTGACGTGTGTGTTTCGGTGTGTATGTGTGTTTTTCTGGCTGCTGTTTGTTGGTTTTCTTTAAGAGCGGGCGTGACGTCACGGTGATTGACACCTCCGCGGGGCGGGGCCAAATGCGCCAGTCACAACAAGTTTACTGTACAAAAACAACCTTCTGCTCTGAAGCAATAGCTCTAGTGCAGTGGCCAGGGGTTGCACTGCACTGTCATCATGGCCAAATACTGGGTTTTGTTGTTCATTACCGTTTGTGGGAGTTGTAAATGGAAGAGTTCGTCCTAAATTTGATGTTTTGAGACAAATTGAGGCAGACAAATAACAAGTTGCACTGTTTTTCAAATGATTTCGAAATGGATTCTGAGTACTGTGATAGTACTGATAATACAAACATATCTGCACACCATTTAAATGTGCCATGTTGCCACAATTTGAACCCAAACACCAGTTAGCAGATATTAGCCGTCACTGTCATTCATATTACTGTGATTTTGTATGGCACTGGATGCAACATGATGTTTTTTAGTAAAAGAGCAGGCACAAAATGTGTTCAAACGTTAAGGGCGTATCAAAAGGTCAGACTGTATCGAGATCCAAAACATTTTTAACACATTTTAAGCAGAGGCTTTATGTGGTCCATTGGTGAAGGTTATTTTTACACGGGCTTGTATCAGATGTCAGCGCACTGTGATCTGCTGACCCGCAGAACAGCCAGAGCCGAGCTCGCTCTGAAGGACACGTTGATCCAATCACAACACGTTTCCATCAAGGCCAGGCAGACGCCAGATGAAGATACTGGGACACACTGCATACCGGCTGCCTCACCTAGTGAGTTTCCTATAGACAACAGCGTACTGTTTGGTGTTATAGACACATTCAAAAACTTTTCTTCTTAAAAAACAAGCTTTATGTGTCGCTTTTATGTGTGAAAAGTGGATTTTTTTGTGTGGAAATGGATATAAAACCGATATTAATGTATACATTATATACTAAAATAATCATGGTTAAGCTGAGAACCATTTGGCTTGAAATCTTGTCAACAGGAAAACAATGAAACGAGTCTCTGCTGGATGTCTTCAACCCTGGGTCTGTTGTGAAAGCACTCTCGTATTTTGCCCCGGGTTATATATAGAGCTGGAATCTGATACGAGCCCAACTCGCACTCCATGTGGAAGAACGGCTTCGCTGCTTTCTGCTCTTCGAGTGATTTCAAAGCCAAGGAACGAAGCTAATAAAGGTGGTGAAGGCTTGATTATATTCTTACGTTTGACCATTGCATTTCCTCGAACTGCAGCAGCGTTGATGCATTATCACTTATCAGTAAACAAAGTACTGAGTTACACTTGATAAAAGCTATGATTAAATTACTTTAGTCTTCTAATTTTACTTCACAGACCCATTTACAGTCTTTGTTAACACCTATCAGCTTTGATTAATGACTGAGATTATGGACTGAAATTATGGACTGAAATGTTGTATGGGGTTGTAACAAAAACATGCCATTTTATTGTTAATGACAAATATAGTGGTGTGAGGTAAACATCTATACCTGATAATGCATTCGTACTTTGGCCCAAAATGGCCGGATTCAATGAGATTATCTTTCTGAAAAATATTGTGTCATTTACCCACTATCCTTCCAAACCTTTTTGACTTTCTAAATTCTGCAACACACACACACACACACTATATTTTAAGTCCCCCTGAGGTGAAAAAGGTTTTTAATGTTGTTTATATGTCTATGTGGTGTTTTTAATATGCTTTAAAACGAACCTTGTGTAAATTCATAAGTCGACAGCATTGCTGAGTATTTCCTCCTTAAAACTGCAGTGAACCAAAGACAGTCACAATAACACAGGTTTGAAATCGCTGGTGTTTCTGACGTCACAAACTACCTTGTAACCAATCAGGTCAACGTATGATCGTCAACCAGTGGATCTCTGAGCTGGAGTGAGTGAGTGGAGGCGGGGCTAATTAGCATATTCATAGAACCGCGTTTACTAAATGAGGCAAGAGAGTAGAGTTACATTCAAGCTATTTTAAGGCACAAAGTTGTTGTTTTTTCCAAGAATTTTTTTTTAAATATGTCATTTTGGTGATCAAAGATGAATTTTAAGGGATACAATTATTGCCTACAGGGGGACAAAGTGAAAGAATGGTTGATTTGCTTTGGAAACAAAAATAAATACAAAACCGAACCAAAAAAAGACAACAAACATACACCTTGAAAGAGCATTAGTTGATTTATTCTTTCCACAGGACACCATGGAAAGTAAATTTATTTACAAAATCTGGAATGTTGAATAAATGCATACCAATCATCTTAACAGTAGCTGCTTGCGGAGAAACCTTTGACATAGCTATACATTAAAAGGGCTGCTTCTGTGATGCAAGTTATTGCTGGTTTTAAAAAAAACGTAATCACTAATGCCATGAACAAATCATAAACCTTTTAAAAAAGTATTTACATGTTGATTAGTAATCTCTAAACTCAAAGTAAAGTGTACTAAATAAATAAAAATAAAAGTGGGACAGTAAAAAGAACACCAGTTTTTTCTTAGTCACTGTTCGTTATTACGTTTTTACAATGTCTTCGCAGACAAAATAAAAAAGAAGTGACAGTCGAGGGATCTACTGCTGATTCGTGATGAAACAGAAGTAACAGTGTCCACAAAACCATGTGTTGAGTGAATCATTCACAGCAAAGATGAGGGGCGTAGTTTTATCGACTAACGTTATGTTCTTTAAACTGCGATTAATCATTTTTTACTCCAAAAAAGTAATCAAATGTAGCAAATTAATTTACAATCCATAGGCAATGTTGACCCAAAGCTTAACAACATACTAAATTAAAACTGGAACTCGCTACTATAGCGAATCAATCGAGTTCTTGAAAAAAGGGCGACCGTGCTCTTTCACATCAAATTGTGGATCTGTCACATTATCAGAATGTTAATTTGATTACTTGGATTCAATTAGCGCTCCAGTCTACTGAAGAATACAGCGAAGAACGATCAAAAGGAGGAATTTCATGCAAATAATACACACAGTACTACAATCGACAGTGGGTCGTTATCCTCAAATGCAGGCAGGGCAAAAAAATCATGGCCTTTCAATGTGACTACTTCAACTACAAACATTACGATTAACGTAGCTTTTCGAATCTCTTTGCTATTGAAGATTGTGATGTATCCACATACAATGCAATGATAATCTTCATAGGGGTGTTTGGAAACAGCAGTGCAATCGCTAATGTGACGAGACATTCATTCGCACACTATTCAGACTTTAAAGTTTACGAACATTTTTTTTTTTTTTACAAAAAAATCTGAAATGCCATTTCCTATGTTTTCGTGTTTAAAAGATTTACAATATAAAATGCGGTATCAATCGAGAAATACTAAATGGGTTCTTTATTTATATAAAAACGCAACTAACTGCATCTTGCGAATGGAATAAAGGACTTTCTATTGCTCTTACGCCCACTGTGTCATACGCCAGCCTAATAAGGCCACTGAATATGCGGCGTGGATCTGTACGAGTATTGCTCTGGGTCGAACCCATTTTGTGACAGTTCAGGGTCTATGGCACTTGACATGTCGTTTTCTCGAAGCCCCCAATAGCAAACGTCCACGACTGCAACTAGTCAAATGTTAAAATGTTTTCGTAAGAGAATAAAATATCACATCTACAATCTTCTTCACAGAATAAAAAAACAGTTTTGATGAACTCCAAATTGAAATAAGGAAAAAAATAAATGTTCGAGCGCGAACGCTTCGGATTAGTTCGGTGGCATTGGAATCGGGTGGCTGTGTTGTAGAAGTCGGAGGAAAGAGGTTCACGTGCCAGCAGTTTCATGCCGCCCAGCCACAGTGTCCCAATATGCTTTGGTTAAGGTACTTGAACCACTTTCTGTTTCTGTCTTTTAGCAAGTCTGCTCTCTTTCGAAATCCTCACGGAAGTACTTCATCGCGTTCCTGTCCATGTTTCACGTGCAGGGAGCATTTCAGCGCATCCTTCCAGGCGGCATCCGGGCTAAAGTCTGTGTCTTCCACTTCTGTCCGGTGGAAGTTTGCAGGAAGAGACTCTTGTTTCACTGGAGGAGACTTCCAGAAGGAGAAAGCTGAGAAGAGGTTCTAGCAATGAAGCAAGTTATCAATCCCAATGAGAGGAAGTTTTCTTCACAAGGGTAATCTGACCACCAGGCCAACAGATTTCACATCCAGTTCAGTTTAGCTCACCCCAGTTCTACATTCATTACCACAGTTAGCACGTAGCATTGTCTTCCAACTTAATCTCACACAGGTCATAAAAGTGGTTTCTAAAAATCTTTAAAATGATAAAAAACAAACAAAAAAAACGAGTGAGATTTGATCGAGAGCCCTGCCCTCAAGCGGTCAGCTCATGTCCCATAACAACTCAATCCAGGTGATGTCTTATAAAATGAAAAACAAAAACTATCTTTACAAAAAGCACAGGGTTTCATATCAGTTGGACTGCACCAACAGGCTATCCCACAGTGAAGGCGCATGCTCCCAGACTCTTCCACCTGATGCAGTGGGGTCGCCCCTATCCACCGACGGTCAAAGCTCGTCCCGTTTACATCAGCTCAGGTTAACTACATACAGCACTGGCTCCTCTCGGTACAAAAATAAGACAGTGCACATTCAGTTTCGTCAGTTATGCGGCCATCTCTCGAACGATGATCAGGTCGACGGTGCTGGGGAACGTCTTCAGGAGGGAAACGGCGTGTCCGTGATCGATGTTAACGAAGCTGTATCCGTTTGCCTGCAAAGTGGATGTTAATTGATGTTAGTGAATTACTAAGGTATGGATAAGACAAAATATGTGAAAAGTAAGTAGTAGAAATGACCTGGATGATCTTGTCCCCCGGTTGAAGTAGTTTTGAAGCCGGTCCCTCCGACTGAACCCTCGTCACGAAGATGCCCTGTTGATCATTTATGATTTAAGAGTTGAAATCAAATATACATTGAAATCAAAGCTCCAGAAATGGATGTGCACACCTATTTCAAAAGAAAAGGCAAGAGAAAGAGAGAAATACTGACGTAGTCATCTGGGCGGAAGGGATTCCCACGGCCACCTACTCCTCCCGATATACTGAAACCCAGCTCAGGGTTCTTCTCGATCTTCACATGGAGCTGAGAACGCAAGACAGACAAACCACAGCGCTTGAGTTCACATCACACTGATGCCTAAATATCAGTCTGGCTATTAGCTAGCATTATCATGACATCAGGATTTTACATTTTAATGATAGACCATAAAACCAAGAATGTTTATTAAAGCATAGACGCTTCATTTTGATTTCCTATTGGCACTGTGTCTACACCAGACGCGAGCGGCGGGACGCGACAAAAGCAAATAGGGCCCGTTTACACCTGGTATTAAGATGTGTTTTGGTGGACGACGCTAAATACAGGTGTAACGGGGTTTAAAACTTTGAGCTTGTCCACTTTTGACCACTTCCAGAGGTAGTTGAAAACGCATTCGACCGGATTGCTTTCCTAGTGTAAACACTCATGTGGTCGAATGTGTTTGAACAGCCACTAAAGACCGCCTACTCTCCGCCTACTGACCTAAAGCGCAAACATTACGGGAAGCGCTCTAGCCAGACGGGAGTTAAACTTTGACGGCTGGAGACACAAGTTTGGTTTGAAGATGAAAAACGAATTCCTGATTTTTAACACACACACTCACAGTGTTCGGCTGGTCTTTCGGCTGTCAGAGCAGAAACTAAAGCTGCTGCTCTCCTTATGCTTTTCTGTCGTCTCCGGTCGCGCTCATGTGTAAATTCCACAAGCTTATTTCGTCCATTAGATTAAAAGATCTGAAAAAGCCCATACATTTACCCGCCCATAGACCATCTCCTCGAAAAAATCAAGACAGAAGTTGTTGAAAGTGGACAAAAGAGACGGGAATGTGTCTCCCTCGTCCACTTGTGATCCGATCGAGCAAAACACATCTTAATACCAGGTGTAAGCAGAGCCTATAAACCCATTATAATCAGTGATGCTGTCTACACTGGTGCCACGACTGCTGCGTCCAGTGGAGACACTGTGTTAGGCATGATGGTCTATAGATGTGTTAACATTTCAAATGCAGGGTCCCACCTCCTGCTGCAGGGTCTCTTGTGGGACCCGTGGAGCACCCGGGGGCTGCTGGGACACCTTGAGCATCAGGTAGTCGATGAGCTGCTCTCGTGAGGGGTGGCGTGCCATCGGGGGCTGACCGCAGCTCATGGGAGGTCTCACAGGAGCACACATTTGGCCATTCATCAAAGGCACCTGAAAGACAAATGCACACACCAAACCATTAAGAGATGCACATAGTATTTCTGCCAATTAAATCACTACACACTGTCAACCAATGGCAATCTCTCTCCTCAAAGCTAAAACAAGCCAGTGCAGTGATCTTTGCATTTAACTCTCAGGTTTTGGCACAGGACCAGACAGAAGCTACTTTCAGAGATACAGAAGGTTTATGTTCTCCATGTTGAGATTTCTGTGATGAGGAACAGGCCTCTTTAACCAGACTCTTGAAATTTCATTGACTGGACAGAAATCAGTGAAAACACTCAAACTCAATTTTCTGTTTTTTTGTTGTTGTTTTTTTTAATTAAAAAGTTATCAATGAATAGAGTTAAAGGGAAATTATTGGGCTTTTTCAATAAAAACAAAACAAAAGATGTATGGAGGACCAACTGTACCATATTTAAAAATAAATACAGAAATAAATAAATGCTCAATAAATAAATAAGCATACAATTAATTTCCCCAAAAAATACAATAAACAAATAAATGTAGGTAGAAATTAAATTATACAGTGAGACATAAATGTATATATCTCTTTTAATTAGCTTCTTTATTTATTCACCTTTGTAATAATTACCTTATTTATTTATTGTCCGTTATAATCTTCAACTTTATTTATTAATTACTTATTTTTTTAAGTATTTATTTATGTGCATGTTATAATATTTTTGTCTGTTTTATTCTTCCTTTGTATTTTTTTACCCTGTTTATTTCTTCAATGCTTTTTATTTCTGCCTGTCGTTTTTACATTTCTGTATGCATTTCTGCCTCATTATGCAAATGAGGAGGGGCTGTGTCTTAAGAGCCTAAGTCCCGCCCCTCCGCTTCCGCCTCATGGGACCTTATTTCGTAAAAAATATGTATGGTCAATGGCGAGAGACAACTTATCTTTTTTATTCCGTCTGAACTGTGCCCTGAATTACACATATGATGTTTGTCAATTTAAAAGATAATTATGAAAGTCAAGAAAGTCGCAGTTTGTCATAAAACAGAAGAGTAACATTTAGTTTTATGTAAAAATCGCTCAATGAACTACATCTCCCGGGAAGCGAAACAACGAGCGAGATCCGCTGCTTGTGTGTGTGCAGTCTGGTACAAAACACTCCGGCATGACGGCGTAACGTTACGATTATAACGTCAGACTATAGACGAAATGACAGACGTTAGCTTCATTAAAGTTAGCTTTATTCATTGAGAGAAAATGTGCGCCGTTTGGGTTTGTAGTCTTTTTAATTACGTATTTTCACAGTCTTATACCTCAACAGTTTTACAGCAAACTGCGACTTTCTTGACTTTAAAATGTATCTTTTAAATTGACAATCAGGGATGAGTTCCCTAATGAATATTAATGAGTCTTCCCCTACCACCCTGAAAAAAAAAAAAAAAAAAAAAAAAAAAAAATTCGCGGCCGGTGGCATGTAGATTCGACCGATGCAGTAAAATGCTAACCAACCAATGGGCAGAAGTTGACCCCTTAAGACACAGCCCCTCCTCATTTACATAATGAGGCAGAAATGCATACAGAAATGTAAAAACGACAGGCAGAAATAAATAGCATTGAAGAAATAAATAGGGTAAAAAAATACAAAGAAAGAATAAAACAGACAAAAATATTATAACATGCACATAAATAAATACTTAAAATAATTAATTAATAAATAAAGTTGAAGATTATAACGGACAATAAATAAATAATGTAATTATTACAAAGGTGAATAAATAAAGAAGCTAATTAAAAGAGATATATACATTTATGTCTCACTGTATAATTTAATTTCTACCTACATTTATTTGTTTATTGTATTTTTTTGGGGCAATTAATTGTATGCTTATTTATTTATTGAGCATTTATTTATTTCTGTATTTATTTTTAAATATGGTAGAGTTGGTCCTCCATACAGATGGTCCTTTAAGCATTTGTCTAAATGTCTACTTATATGAATGTGATGCATTTTCCAGACACCAGGTGGCAGAAAGTTCCCAGGAAACATTTCAATGAACCAAGAATCTGGTTAGAAGTACAAGAAATCCATGTTGACTGATGAAGCGTCACACTTTTAGACCTTTAATTCTAATTAATCCACTTCACTAAATGGTTTATTTCCCGAGAGACCAAGAATTCCACAATGAAACAAATTGCATCTTTGTTTTCAAGGACACTTTCAAACAGTGTCACTCACCAAGTACAAACAAAACAAATACAATGGTCAATAAAATATTTGCCAGGTGGTCAGAAATTCTACAACAAATTTTGATGAACTAAATCATGAATCTTTTATAAATATATATATATATATGGGGTGTAACACAGTTCACAAAATTCACGGTTCGGTTCGATACGATACACTTGTGTCACGGTTCGGTACGTTTTCGATACAGCAAAAAGAAAGAAATTCCAGAGAAATTTCCTTGATTTTTTTTTAAATTATAAACAAACAAAAACAAACTTAACTTCCCATAGACTTCAATACAAAATAACGGCAAAAACTAACGTCCGTACACAGCCGACAGGCGTAAATAACTTAAGAAATCACTTATATAAAACATGTCAAGAAATCACTTATATAAAACATGTCAAGTAATTATATGTCCACCCTGCCTGCCATAGAGTGTGAAAAATACATGCACAAACTTAATTTGGTCAATTTAAAAACATGTCCCTTTATTCTCCCAGCGTCAAATTGGTGTAACAACCCCACCCAGCGGGGTTATATGTATTATAAGATATATTATAATGCACATTATAAGACAAAATATATACATTTAAAGATGTTTACTTTCAAAAACAAAGTAAAATCATTCACTGGCTATGGTGACTCGATGAGCTACGACTACGAGTAAATGTCCGGGTAAGACCATAGACAGTGAAAGAAAGACACCTCTGGCCACTGGGTGGGGTTTATACACAATTTGACGCTGGGAGAATGAAGGGACATGTTTTTAAATTGACCAAATTAAGTTTGTGTATGGCAGGTTTCAGACTCTATGGCAGGCAAGGTGGACATATAATTACTTGACATGTTTAATCTTAGTGATTTCTTAAGTTATTCACGCCTGTCGGCTGTGTACGGACGTTGTTTTGTGGGAAGTCTAGTTTATTTTGCCCCAAAAGTGGGCGTGAATCTGTTCAGAGACATTCTATGACGTAGCGCCGGTTGTGCGCATGTTGTGGTCACGCCAGTGTCTCTTACATTATGAGCGCGCTTGCCACGCGTGACGCGGCTACGTTTGAAATAACGAAATTTTGGTCGGCAGGAAAAATGGTCCAACGAACCGTTCGGTTTAAAAATGCGTACCGAAAACCGAACCGAAAGCCTCGGTTTAACGGTTCAATACGTGTATCGTTACACCCCTATATATATATATATATATATATATAAATTCTAAGAGTACAATTCTAAGAGTCCAAATACTTTTTGTGTCATTGATTTATAGTGTAAAGCACTTACTTTTCTTAGAGTGTCGATATGGTAGCCCGGTTGTCCATGAGGACTGAAGACATCGTCCTGCAGAGAAACAGCACAAAATGTCTCAAACTTTGCTACGGGAAAAACTTTGCTACGGGAAATCTATTTCTAAAAAGCTATACGGTATATATATTTATATAGCTTTTTAGAAATAGATTAGCCAGTCAAATCTCAATTTAAGATATTTTTAATAATTTTATCCTTCCATGTGTTTATTGCAGTCAGTAGTGAGAACATCCACAGTTGGTTTTGTGTGTAAGAAAGATCAGCTTTCGAACATGTCAGGCTTCTTTAAAGCAGTGCTTGTTAATTAGAGCTAATTAATCACTGCTGGAGTCAGGCGTGCCCACTGGGTCCATTTCTCAATGCAGTTCATTAGCACATTACACACAACCACAGATGAGGAGGACGTATAGGATTCAGTCATAAGGAGAAGTTTAAATGATATTCCTGAACATCACTGCATGTTGTTCTTCGTGAGTGTGTATAGCAAAACACCTGAACGTTATCGCATTCGATAAAGCAAGCAACATTTATACAATTCTAAGAGTCCAAATACTTTTTGTGTCATTAATTTATAGTGTAAAGCACTTACTTTTCTTAGAGTGTCGATATGGTAGCCCGGTTGTCCATGAGGACTGAAGACATCGTCCTGCAGAGAAACAGCACAAAATGTCTCAAACTTTGGAACGGGAAAAGGTTTACTGTCTTTGATGATGCTTGCTTGACCATTATGGGATGTATTTTGAGTACTTTTAACTACAGTGAACGACTATAGTATTAAAACAGCTACAGCTAAATAAGAACTAGGCTGGATGTCACTAGTGACTGGGAACTGCAGCCATTTCCCATTAATGTGGAATTCCCAGTAAATTTGATTCATAAACCTGTGTTGCTTAAGCTCCTGTTATGTGTCATTTCAACCAACAGGATGGTTTACTTATGGACGGTACTCGAATTAGCAAGGTGAATCAGCTATTATGTGTACTAACTCCACATTATGAAAATCAGGCTGAACAAATCACATTTCATAAAATATTTCACAATAATATTCCATAGATTTTTAAAACAGACTTTATGGGGCTTTCAGCTAAACTGATCAAAACAACAGAGCTTTCTTGAGCTCAGATTGTGCTTAAGCACACAGAGAGAAATAAAGAGTGTTTGTTTCCAGGACTTTAGTGTATATGGTTTAGTGGTTAGGAATGTTCTTAATCTCGTATTACTTAGACAACCCAAAGAAACTGAGCAATTGTGCAAACCAGCCGACACTGGATATAAGCTGAGAAAGGTGAACTTGGGGTGGGGGTCTTAAGCTCCATAAGGGGCATTCTCGTCAATGCTTGCTGCTTAGAGACGTTTGTTGGCTACTCGAAAGCCAGCTTTTCCCCCTGAAATGTGCAGAATTGTGTGGAAAAGAGCAGATTGGACATTCTTCTTTTGTATTTCATGGAAGTTAGTCAGTCATACAGGTTCGGAACAACATGATGATTACAGAATCTTAATTTTTGGGTAATTTAACCTTTTAACTGACTTTCCAAACCCTGTTCCTAGATGCCTCCCTTATCTGACCCATTTATTTCAGGTCTTCCAGTCTCAACTAACAAGCTGATGATTTGAAGTGGTGTTTGATATTTAGGAGGAGTTTTACTTTTTCGTGTGCTTCAGCAAGGTGGTTGGGAAACGTTCAAGATATTCAGCTTAAGTGTGTACAGAAATTGCAAGGTGATAAATGCCTCTAAATTTGTTGGGAACACAAGTCACACAGCAAGTGGAGAGAATGACCCCTTGGGTGAGGTTTCAGGCGGTACTTACTCTGGGCCCATGAGCTCCGATCTGCCACCGGTCTACAGCGCTACAGGCCAGAGAGCTCTGACTGCCAATGAGAGTGGCCAAAGACCGAGATAGAGTGCTCTGATGACATGACACATGCACACAAACACACATGCATTTAATGAGGACTTCAGTGAGCATGCATTGACCATGAGTACACTTTGAAACATGCATGGGTTAGAGTTGGTTAATGTGTTAATGTCCATACACAAACATGCAGAAAAATACTGGGTAATGAGCATTTTTATGAGAGAAAATAAACAATAGCATATGCATGCAGTTAATGCTGAAGAATGATGGGAGCGTGGAAATTCAGACTTGAGGTTCAGAAACTAAACTGTGAGTGCCCATGCAAAACTTGCTTCCATGCTGCCAGGGTGTTGCTATAAGATTGCTAAGGTGGTCTGACTATGTGTCTAAGTATGAATACTTGCTACTAAATAGGCGAAAAAAATGATTGATTAATAGTATTACTAAGTGACACTTTACCATTTCATGAGGCCACTGGGAGAGGATTTATGAAGGACAGTGAAGTTCATTTCTTATCAAATGTGGTACCTATGCGATTTCAGATGCACATCGCTATGTTGTTGCCAACACAATGGGCTAGCAATCCCTGCTCCTGGAGGGCTACCTTATAGCAGATTTCAGCTCCAACCCGGCTAGCTATTTTCTAGCAATCCTAAACACCTTGATTAGTTGGTTCAGGTGTGTTTGATTAGGGTTAGAGTTAAATTCTACAGGACAGTGGTCCTCTGGGACTGGAATTGCACTAGACTAGACAGAACTTTCAAGTCCAATCGATTACAAAAGTAGCAGCACACTTCTCCTCAACAAACTGCGCAATCTGAAGTATCATTCACGTCTGGAGTATAAATGGTAACGGATGAAGCCTATGGCTTTGAACAAACCCTTAATCCTAAGTATTAGCAACAGCTATGCTTACCTTTGTATACACTATTAGTTTTCATATCAAGCATACCTTCTCCATCTTCTTGGCCTCGATGTGTCTCATGACCTGATCCCTCCAGTCGGCTGGGACCCTGCCACCCCCTCCGACCGGCCCGTCCAGCAGCGAGTGCTCGGACTTCACCCTCATGCTGGGCCTCTTGCTGGGGCTGCCATGCTGGTAGTTGAAGTCGCTGACGGACATGGTCCTCTCTGGAAGCTCGTGCGGTGGGGGCCGGGCGCTCTGTGGCCGGGGAGCGTTGGGTCCGTCGATGCTGTAGGTGCGGGCTGACAAGGGTCTGTGGAGAGCCTGGCTCATCTGTAGGGGCCCACGGCCCGCCGCGTGAATGTCCCGATACGTCATGTACTCTCCTTCCAATCCTGGCATGCGACGCGGGTCCGACATGCACATGGAGGTGCCAGAGGATCCACTGCCTTGTCTCTGCAAGGTGCCTCGCTGGCCAACCGAGGGCAGCATCCTTTCCTTGGCCCACATGTCCGGGGTCTTGGGCGGGCCGCGCTGCTGGGGCGGGGGGTACGGAGGGGCGTTGTTGCGGTTTGAGTAGTTGGTGTTGGCAAGGGAGTGCTGTGGCGGTAAGTAGGTCTGTTCCGGGGGGACGGGGGTACGTTGGCTCCACAGGTTGTCTTTGGGTACTGTGCTGCTGGCGTACTGGACGTTGTACTGGGGCGGGGGGCCGGTTGGGTAGCGGCCGCTGCTAACCGGAGGTTTGGAGCTCGACAGCAAGTCGGAGGACGATGCTGAGGATCCAGGGTAGATCTGCAAAGTTTGATCATTGAGTAAGGATGCAGATTTGGAGCGGACGATGCTCTGGCCCTGAGCGGCAGGTACAGACGTTCTGGTTGCACATGCCACTTCGTACGGGGGGATTTCTCCCTCGAAGGAGAACAGCTTCATCCCTCCAGCCTCCATGTTTGCGATGCTTTGAGATTTCACCACTGGGGCCGGTGGACATTTCCTCTCTGGGGACAGCTCCTCTGTGCTACGAGAAAGACTCATATCACTTAACGCCGTTACACCTGTCGAGACGGTCCTCGTAGACTCGTAGCGCAAGGGAATTTGATCCGTTCGGCCATTGAAACTCTCCCCAGAATGGGTTTTCTGAAGTCGATTGCCGTTCTCAAGGTTCTCGAGTGACAGCATGGCATTGTTGTAGCTTGACATGGACTCCTTGGCTGAGGGACTCTTGGTTCTTTCCAGGTCCTCATACGACACCATGTTGTCAGGTGGGAGTTTGGCCACGTTCATGTTGATCTGATCCCACTTGCTGTACTGCTCTGACACACCGTTGTTGATGCCCTTTTCAATGAGGGCAAGCCTCTCCTCCATGGAGAGACTGTAGTCGGCCATCTGGTCTGACTTGCTTTCGTAGCTCTGCTGGTTCTTCAGGATGGTCTGTAAGGACGTCTCAGAGCCGTTACAGTTCTGGAGTAAAGGGGTCATCTGCTTCAGCTGGTTGAGGTTTTCATCCTCTTGTCTGCGTTTGAGGAAATCAAATCAAGTTAGAGAAAGAAAGACTCTAGCTCTGTTCCCAAACCTAGTGAGCTGCCTTTCTGTCTACTACCTACATGGGCAGCTGCCTTCTAAGTAGGAACATATATTGCGATTCTTTTCTCCAGATACTTTGTTGACATTGATCTAGTCTAGCTTTCTATAAATTAATATAATTTTTACAGTTCTCAACTAATGACAAAGCAAGTCTAGGCAGGCAACACACTATTATTTCTGCCTATCTTTCTAATGATAAACAATGTTTTTGACCCCTTTTTAACTTTAGTTAATAATGGAAATAACTAATGACAACTCAGATTTAAACTTGGGTTGAATATTTTTGTTTAAACAGTTCATGTAAATGGCCAGATCATATATATATATATATAAAAAAAACCCTTTTGAAAAACCCTTTGAAGAAGCTGCAGCATTACTTTGTAGTAATTTTCCATTGAGAAATATTTAGTTAAACGCTTAGGTTTATTGTCATGTTTTTGACTCGGAGTGTATTCAGTGTGTGTTCGTACCTGTTCTTGGGCATGAGAGGCATCTTTGACTCCCTCTCTGGGGTGCAGAGGGAGTTGTCCTGACTGCTGTCTGTGGTCAAGGACACTGAATCAGACATGCGTGAAGGAGAAGAGCAGTTGCTGTTGTTCTGGTTACTGTTGGCCACCGTCTCATCCAGCAAAGAGTCCGCATCCTTCCCATCATCTACATCACCAGATAAAAAACATCATTTGCATTTGTGAGTTCAATTACACACCTTATGTTGAGGAACAATTACCCACGCCAATCAATTGATATTAAGGAAAGTGCGAGAGTGAGTATTTCTTTACCTTTTTTGTCCTTGCTGAGGGCCACTACTTTGGGCTGGTTAATGGAGATTTCGATGAGTGGAGGTCTCATTTCGGCTATCTTCATTTCCTCCTCCTCTGATGACAGCTCCTCTGAGTCCTGACCACAACCACATCACACCAAATACTTAAATTCAAATTTATACTCCAACTTTCTTCCTGGTTCTACAGTGATAAACTGATGTCATTTTCATATTCATTTGTTTAAATGATCCCTATGATAAAGCATGTATTGACAAATCTCACATAATACAATGAGCAAATGTATCCTGACAGGAACTTTACATCCACTCATAGTGTGAGAATAATTTACATTTATCTTTATGGATTTAACAGACGCTTTTATCCAAAGCAACTTACAAAAGAGGGACAAAAAGCAATTCGTCAAGGAGCCAACAATATTCGCAGTATACACTGCCAGGTTTATTTGAGAACCAGATTTGGAAACAAGCTAGAGAAGAGGAGAAATGCAGAGGAGAAGTGTGTGTGTGTGTGTGTGAAGTGGTTTAAAGGTGTGGGGTAGTTAAGTGCTTGTGGAAGAGGTGCGTCTTCAGCTGATTCTTGAAAGATGTGAAGGTCTCAGCAGGACACATGGATATATGAGCATGGCTAATGTGTGAACGTGCATGTAGCATACATGATAGACATATTTTGCAGTTTTTTCCTTACAAGCCATATTTGCTGATCTATTATATCACCATCACTACAATTGTTTAAATTTTAAAGGACTTGTTATTCCCAAAAATTTATGTCACCTTTTACTCATCCTAATGCCATATCAAATCCATATAACTTTCTTCCGTGGACCACAAAAGGAAAATAGTTTCTACAGTACATAATGAACATGAATGGAAACTAATTAATATATATATATATATATATATATATATATATATATATATGTGTGTATTTATTATTTAACGCCTTATTAGCAGCAATGGCTATATTCATGTCAAAATCAACAGTATTTCAATTTTTAAAAAATTATTATGATTACAATATCATTTCAATACATTGTTTACAATAATTAAATTTTGTATTAAAAATAAGCAATATACAAAAACGTACATATATAACAATAACAACAATAGTAATAATAACAATTATATAGAATTATATATATATAAATATCTTTCAATTTAGTGTATAATAAAAATTCTAACATTATTCCAGGAGAAACCTTTTTTTAAAAATGTCCATTAATATATTTTCTGAATAATATCATTTAAAAAATGGACTTTCTATTAAAATATGTTTTACACTAATTTTTTTGACAAATCACAAACCGGTTTGTCTTCCCCTTTCAATAAATATGAATGAGTCTTGAGACCAATTCGACATGTCGTATATACAACCTGGTCAATATCTATTCTCAAAATAACAATAATCAACTCCTTGATTTAGTACTAGATTTACCTCATATAGTTTGAAGAAGAAAAAACCCCGCTATACATGTATCATAAAAGTAGTCCATATACACACATATGAATGACCTGATTGTAATGCCAACCTAAATCGAATGGCAACAGCACAAGTGAAGACTTCAACAATAACAAAAATTTTGGCCAGTTTTTCACAGTGCATGAGTCGCATGAACTACTTTTATGCTACTTTTAATGTTTGACAGCCTGGTACAGATTCACTCACCATCATAGAGGTGTGAAACTACACAAGAATGAGTCAATGATTTAAAAAAAAAAAATTCATTTGCTTCAGTAACCATATTCATAACATTTAAAATTTTTGACACTTCGATATAATACCTCAAGGGTGTCATCATGGTTCACCATGGCTCTCATGTTGTCTGAAGTCTTGAGAGGGATCCTTTCAACGCTGTGGTAGTCTATTGAATCTATTGGTTCGTAACTGTGATGACTGTTCATCATTGTTTTAGGCTCCATTTCAACAGCTTTGCCATTAGTGCAGGGGCTTTCAATCACCTGACACACAGGGAATTCAGGGTTATTCCAACATCGGCACCAAGATTCATTTTCAATGTAGTAATTACGTTGGCCATCCCACAATAGGACATGCAACTGGTAGCGTTTTTAAAATCGAACCTTCACTCCAACGTCCTGCACTCCGATATGGTTCCTCTCGCTGGCCCTGGTCTCTTTTCTCGCCTCGTCGCTGGACTCGTCCTCTTTGAGTCTGTGAGCCACGGACTGAGCCGTTTTCACCATGTTCTTCAGTTCATCAGGGTACGGCGTCGGGTAACGCTTCAGATTGCCCTCCTATAAAGACAAAGACACAGCGAAGTTACTCGAGGAATCTATCAGAGAGAACTTCATAGGATCTGTAATAAAAAAAAAATAAAAAAAAAAGATTAGTTAGGATCTAAAATCAGATGTATTATATTTAATTTCATATAATGATGCTTTATATTAAATGTGTTATTTTTAAACAAATAAAATAGTTTGTGGGCACGTTATGTTAGCTACATAGGAAGTTCCATCATTGTAAGAGAAAACACAGGTCAGTTCTCTTACAGGTGTCGCTGAACCCGTGGCCAAACCACTAATACCATTTAATTGGAGAAGGTGTTGGTGAGCTTTTTACAACACTTTCAGGGTCACACTGGCGCTCTGAGAGCTGATGGTGAAGCTACGTTAGACAGCTTGGGAGCCTGCATGTGTTCCTGGCACAGCGTATAAGCCAGACAGGCATATTGAGTCATCAGGGGTGCAAGACCGGGCGCGAGAGGGAGGGAACCAGATACCGAGTGTGTAATATCAGCGAGATGAGGGGTGGAAGGGAAAAATAAGGTTGACGTTGTACGCTCGAGGGCCCCTGAGGCAGTGAAGACTTCCATTTCACTTTCTGACAGGAGTCATGTCAGGGTTAGAGTTTTAATGAGTTTCCACTGCAATGCAGTGAAGCGCAGGCTGTGACATGCCGACAAAACCAGGTGAGGCTGTTCCACTCAAACCGTTTTACCTCAAACTGCCAAAACATCAAGAAATAATCAGCCCCAAAATGACAATTCTGTCACCATTTACTCATTCCCATGTCGTTTCAAAGCTGCACGACTGACTTCCTTCTGTGGCACACAAAAGAAGAGATTCGTCTGTTTGTTGCTATTGCCATTCCAGCATCTAAAGCTATTTTATGGCCAGATCAATGTAGTGCAAATAAATAGTAGCTATAAAAAACAACTGACATCAACTCACATCATTATAACAAAAACGTATATATAAAAAAGATTTTTCATTTTAATATTTGTCATTTAGTTATTTTGAGTAATTTTTTTAATTAATAATTATTTGGATTTAACTTTTTTTTCAGTAAATCAGTTGTAGATCACAAAAATGGTCTGAATCAGTTTTTACAATTATTTATATACTATTATATTTATATTATATTAATTTATATTTTGAATTTACTATGTACTCGTGTCATTTTTAATATTTTTAAACAATTAATTTAGTTTTTTTTCAATTATACATTATTTCAATTAATATTCATTTCAGTTAGTTGCTAAGGCAATATTTCTAATATTCATTGAAGTGTTTCATCTAATATTTATATTTGTATTGCAGCTTTATAAACGGAAACTGTTTTTAATAGTTCATATTTTAAGTTTTCGTACTTTGTATGTGCTTTTGTAAATTGTATTCTATTTAGGTTTCAGTTTCAGTTCTGACTGCAAGCAGGTTGTAACAGGACATTTTGAGAATCTCTTTTTCTTTTCTTTTTTTGTCAAAATGTGCCAGGTAGCTCCACCCACACCGGTCCAAAATCCCACATAGCTGTATATTAAACATCAAACATGCTCCGATTGGCTGGGACTTTGAGGCTTACAGCAGCATTTAGCTCATTGTGCAAGCAGAAAAGTGATTTAAGTGTGCCTGGTTAGGACAGAACAGAATAACAAGGGGATTAGATGGGTGACATGAAGCGAGAGAGAAGGGCGAGACATGCACAAAGGGAACAGAAGATGGACAGAAGCGGGCGGTGGGAACTGACCCGCGGGGGCGTCTCTCGCTCATCCTTGTCCTCGTCACACTCGAAGGCCACTTGCGCTCGCTGCTTGCGCTGCTCCTCCCATAGAGACGGGTTAAAGCTCTCGCTGTCCGAGTTGGGCACATCTGTGAAAGAGAGGCCAAGAAACCATTAACAAACAATCAAAACATGCCATCGGTGGAGGATGGAAAGCTCAAGAATCGCAAACCAAATCCTGTATTGAGTTTGTTTTGATTCATTTCAGCTAGACCAAATCATTAAAATGGACTAATGCAGTGTCTCTCTGCTATGTGGATTAACAAACAGCAAAATCCTGAATGAAACAGCCTGAGCTTGGTGGGCGGCACAGACTCGGTTCACACACACATCAACTCTAATTTGTGTTGTGTGCCCATTTAACAAGACATCTGGGTTCAGGAGAGCACGATGTCATGTAGGCGCACAGACTTCAGGCCGTTTCTAAAGCTCAATCATGCTTCCAAACTGAAGCGGACCCCGGAGAGCGTCAGTCAGAGCCGGTGCGCTCGCGCTCCGAGGAGTTTAGAGTAGAGTTGCTAGGAAACAGGTTAAGACTCATTAATCTCCTCCCTCTGGAATCCAGAGTCTCGGAGAGGGAAAACAGTGACATGAGCAAGTTCTGGCTGCAGGTAGCAGCAGACATTTGACGCTCAGTCAGGTCTCTAAAACTATATACAAGACTTCACAGACCTGACAGATTCAAATGTCTGCTACTGCCTGCATTCGGCTTCTAGATTTTTAAGTTCCCGTCCATTCAGACCTTCTATAGCTCACTCTAAAATGAATGCTTAATGTTTGTAAAAGGGGTTATAACAGTGGCCTCATCACCCAGGGCTCTGGCGGAGCGTTAACTGGTCACACGGCGTCTAGCACATTTTAGGTATCGCACAATGTACATGTCATTCTGTACTTGCATTGTCAAGTTCAAGGCGGCAGTCCAAAATAGTGAATCTATGCGCTATTCACACAAACGTTCACTTCACGAATGAACAAAGTGGCGTCCATGAGATGTTACTGCGGTACACTCATACCAAACAATCGAATTTGAAAGACTTGCCATAGCGCACGCTTCTCGCAGTGAGTTACCCTTACGCTTTGTTAATGTTGGAGGCTCCTCTTTGGGGAGGGGCTCTGATAGCAATGGCATACAAAGTGACAGGACATCATTTATGAACCATAATCCACCATGTCAAACTGGCTAATGAGCTGATTTGCATTACCCGCCACTGTTGAATTTCACCCACAACTGGCAGGTATTAACTTCAAGCCCTGGTTATATTGTGTGTATATATATATATATATATATATATATATATTAGGGGTTTAACGATACACGTATTCGTATTGAACCGTTCGGTACGAGGCTTTCGGTTCGTTTTTCGTTACGCATTTTTGAACCGAACAGGTCGTTGGACCATTTTTCCTGCCGACCAAAATTTCGTTATTTCAAATGTAGCCGCATCGCGCGTGGCAAGTGCGCTCATAATGTAAGAGACACTGGCGTGACCACAACATTGCCCAACATCAAATGGCTAATGTAATGTAAGCGGAATGAAACTGAGCTTCTCGTTATTATGAGGTTGACGGACCGTTTATCAGTTTGGACCAATGCAGCGCGAGCCGATCTTAATCATCAGCACTGTTACTACACAGCCAAATCAGAAAGAAAAAATTTGAATTCACCACTTAAGTAATAACATCGCTGCGAGATCTAGTGAGAAACATTCACGTTTCTCTGTTATTAACGGATCAAACAGCGCTGACGTGGAAACCAGGAAGAAAAATTGAGCCATGAATGAACTATCCAGTGTCCACAGATCAGCAACATTCACCATGGGTTTACTGTAGTAACACTACTAACTGTAACCATGGGAGTGTGGCAGGAATAGTAGGCTATAATGCTTTTAAGTAACATCACGTCGGTTTTATTTTGACATTATGAATACAGTTGCTGCCCTCAAATGTTAATCTGAACTAGTAATGGGTGATATAAACGATATGCAATATTTACGATACAAAATTGGTCTACGATATGGATTTTAATTATATTGCACTATCGCGATAATGCATGTTGACGCAATCTACCCGCAAAATTTAGAGCCACGAGCTGCAAACGGCTGCAACGCATCCATCGTATTCGACATCTTGAGTAAACATGGCTGAAAGCGAAACGGAGGAGCTGGTAAAAAAACCCGGTGCAACATCCATTGGTTCGGATTTAAGCCGTCCGACGAGCAGCAGCAAACTATACTCTGTATGGGCAACAGTTCTGGCTAACGCCTGTTTCACACATATTCCGTTTGCAGTGCATATGTAGGCTATATATTTTTTCCGTACCCATGTTAACAGGCCTGCACGCGGATGCGGTGCTGCAATGCGTTCCAGGAGCGGTGTGTATACAGCAGTGCCGTGATCGTTTCCACACAGTCTATTTCTGCTGTGCTGCACGTGCTGAATTAAAGTGACAGCGCATGGTTCATGGTAAAAATGAACACGGATTGATATGAAAATATAGTAATCTTTTTACTAATATAGTAAAAAAAATAATAATACTATTTTTCAATCATTTTCTTTTTAACTTTAAGCTCGGGGTAATTAAAGCAAGGAAACTAACGTACACAGTAACATTACCTCAACAACGCAACATAATGGATGCACTTGTCTCTTCATGAAACAAGTTCTTTGTGATTGCAATATTTCTTGTAAAAAAGATTTAAATGCAAAAGAAAAGGTATGAGAGAGCTGTTTATGTCAATTATGTATGTTTTAATTTAAAATGTTTGCGATGTTAACATAAATGTATCAATGTTTTGCCACTTGCTTGAGCAACTTAATATATAAATCTATATAGAAGTAATAATACGTTTTTAAGTGTTATAAATTTAAACGTGAATAGCCTTGTGAAAGAGTGCGTATTACTAGCCTACTGTCTGTGTACAAATAGAATCACAATGCTGAAACTCTTTTATATTATTTTATAAAAGACACTAATAATATAAATAGTAATTTGAAATAAAAAATAGAGGATTAATGTTGTTTGTCGTACAGCCGTAGATCAGTTGCGCACTGCAAACGCACCATATGTGAAAGCACAATAGCGCGTGCTGCTCCTGTGCCGCACACCACCGCACTGCACTGCACACGGAGTATGTGTGAAACAGGCGTGCACTACAGGAAATAAACCCAATACTTTAAGCTTTTTCTTTGTTAAAGTCTCTGCAGCTAGTGTACTTGAATTTTATTCATCTGCAAAATTATGTTCTATAATTACAGTTTTGCATAATAAATGTTTTTAAAACAAATACATTTTGCAGTTTGGCTTTCCTTATGGTCTGTCTAACCTGTTCTGAAATGGTTCTATTATAATTTATATATCGTGATATATATCGTTATCGCAAGAGGCTGCAATGTATATCGCAATATGGATTTTAGGCCATATCGCCCATCCCTAATCTGAACTAAAATAAACCTGTTTATAACTACTACAATATTACATTTCATTTTGTCCAAGGAGCTGTTTTGTTTTATAAGCTGCTAAGAAAAGTCAAGTATAGCTCCATCATTGCTCAAAGTTAAAAAATATCATACTTTATTAAGTTTGTTTTAATAAAAATATGATTAAAAAAATTTAATCAAGAAAATTTCTCTGGCATTTCTTTCTTTTTGCTGTATTGGAAACGTACCGAACCGTGACAAGTGTATCGTATCGAACCAAACCGTGAATTTTGTGAACCGTTGCACCCCTAATATATATATATATATATATATATATATTAAAAAAATCTTACTGACTCCAAATGTTTAAACTGTAGTGTATATACACTCACCGGCCACTTTATTAGGTACCCCATGCTAGTATGGGGTTGGACCCCCTTTTGCCTTCAGAACTGCCTCAATTCTTCGTGGCATAGATTCAACAAGGTGCTGGAAGCATTCCTCAGGGAGTTTGGTCCATATTGACATGATGGCATCACACAGTTGCCGCAGATTTGTCGGCTGCACATCCATGATGCGAATCTCCCGTTCCACCACATCCCAAAGATGCTCTATTGGGTTGAGATCTGGTGACTGTGGAGGCCATTTTAGTACAGTGAACTCATTGTCATGTTCAAGAAACCAATTTGAAATGATTAGAGCTTTGTGACACGGTGGAAGTAGCCATCAGAGGATGGGTACATGGTGGCCATAAAGGGATGGACATGGTCAGAAACAATGCTCAGGTAGGCCGTGGCATTTAAACGATGCCCAATTGGCACTAAGGAGCCTAAAGTGTGCCAGGAAAACATCCCCCACACCATTACACCACCACCACCAGCCTGCACAGTGGTAACAAGGCATGATGGTTCCATGTTCTCATTCTGTTTACGCCAAATTCTGACTCTAACATCTGAATGTCTCAACAGAAATCGAGACTCATCAGACCAGGCAACATTTTTCCAGTCTTCAACTGTTCAATTTTGGTGAGCTCTTGCAAATTGTAGCCTCTTTTTCCTATTTGTAGTGGAGATGAGTGGTACCCGGTGGAGTCTTCTGCTGTTGTAGCCCATCCGCCTCAAGGTTGTGCGTGTTGTGGCTTCACAAATGCTTTGCTGCATACCTCGGTTGTAACGAGTGGTTATTTCAGTCACTGTTGCCCTTCTATCAGCTCGAACCAGTCTGGCCGTTCTCCTCTGACCTCTGGCATCAACAAGGCATTTCCGCCCACAGAACTGCCGCTCACTGGATGTTTTTTCTTTTTCGGACCATTCTCTGTAAACCCTAGAGATGGTTGTGCGTGAAAATCCCAGTAGATTAGCAGTTTCTGAAATACTCAGACCAGCCCTTCTGGCACCAACAATCATGCCACGTTCAAAGTCACTCAAATCACCTTTCTTCCCCATACTGATGCTCGGTTTGAACTGCAGGAGATTGTCTTGACCATGTCTACATGCCTAAATGCGCTGAGTTGCCGCCATGTGATTGGCTGCTTAGAAATTAAGTGTTAACGAGCAGTTGGACAGGTGTACCTAATAAAGTGGCCGGTGAGTGTATATACACACTACAGTTTAAACATTTGGAGTCAGTAAGATTTTTTCCCTCCAGTCATTAGAATGATTTCTGAAGGATCATGTGACACTGAAGACTGGAGTAATGATGCTGAAAATTCAGCTTTGATCACAGGAATAAATTACATTTTAAAATCTATTCAAAAGTGAAAGTTATTTTAAATTGTAATAATGCGATTCAAAAGTTTGGGATGTACAGGTGCGTCTCAAAAATGATGTAAATTCATTACATGTAAAATATTTCAAACCTTTTTTTGTTTTAGTTTAGATGATTACGGCTAACAGCTCATGAAAATGAGTACCCATTTTTTCATGAAAAAAAAATCCAGTATCTCAAAATGTCCTAAATTCAATAAAAAAAAGTCCTGAAAAAAAAGGTTAATTTATGCACTCAATACTTGGTCGGGGCTCCTTTAGCACGGATGCATCAATGCACACTGCTGAGGCGTTACTGAAGCCCAGGTTGCTGTGATGGCAGCGTTCAGCTCGTCTGTATTGTTGAGTCGGGTGTTTCTCATCTCTCTCTTGACAATACGCCATTGATTCTCTACAGGGTTCAGGTCAGGTGAGTTGGCTGGCCAATCAAGCACAGTAATATCATAGCGAGCAAACCAGTTAGTAGTAGTTTTGGCACTGTGGGCAGGTGCTAAATCCTGCTGGAAAAGGAAATCGGCACCCCCATAAAGCTTGTCAGCAGACGGAAGCATGAAGTACTCTAAAACCGCCTGATGGTCGGCTGCGTTGAATTTGGACTTGATAAACGCCAACGCCAGCAGATATGGCACCCCAAATCATCACTCACTGCGGAAACTGTTCAGCTTCAGTCCACTCCTTGTGAAGCTCTCGCAAGATCTTGAATCGGCTTGACAGTCTTCTCAAGGCGGTGGTCATCCCGGTTGCTTGTGCAACTTCTCCTACCACACTTCTTCCTTCCAGTCAACTTTCCACGAATTAACTTCGATACAGCGCTCTGCGAATAGCCAGCCCTTTCAGCGATGACCTTCTGTGGCTTACACTCCTTGTGGAGGGTGTCAACAGCTGCTTTTACGAATGTGGAGGATATTTATTTTAATTTTATTATTAATTTGTGTTTACGTCGCTCAATAGAGCGCTTAACCAGCTACAGAGAAACTGGTACCCAGGCAACAGACAAGTGACCAATCCTGAGTTGCGTTGTCACTTCACGGATTCTCCCAGGACGTTTAGCCATCCGTGCCGAGAACGGTCTGTGATCGTGGCGTACCGTGCCGTGCCAGGCTTAAGTGGAAACACAACTGGAACTGTTTCGTACCATTCTAAGACCCTTTCGGCCCGACGGTGGAAACGCAGCTAATGATCGTCTTCTGGACAACTGTCGAGTCAGCGGTCTTCCCCATGGTTGTGGGTCTTCAGCGGTCAGCGGTCTTCCTCATGTACTTAACAAGAACTAGATATACCTGTTATTTATACTGTATGAATAGAAATTATCAAAGTTAAAATGAAATATTTTAATATTTTAAGATACTTTTTTTTTTGGAGCGGTAGGCCATTATTATCAACATTAAAATATATATAAAAATGCTTAAGAAATTTTACATTCGACAAAACTCAGGCAGCAATATATATATATATATATTAGGGGTTAAACGACTTCAGATTTTTTGTGATGTCGACATTTATGTGATGAAAGTCGAGTGGATGTCGACTAGTCGCTGATGACGTCATTGATGAACAAACAAGCCTGAATCTTGATCTGAGACTGAGATCTGCACAGATATGGCATATAACACAGCGCTCCTACATAACAGATTATTTTTATCTGTTCTTTTGGGTCGTTATATTTCTCACAGATTTCTGCTCGTTCTAAATCAGATATAGATAAAATAACACAGTAAAGATTACATTTATATGAATGCATTAGTGTGTGTGAGAGCGATTGTGTGTGAATTGCACCTGGCAGCGTCTCTCTACTAATAGTGAAGCTGTGGGTTTTAGTTACTTATAATTATTTAATTATAAAGATTATATTTCGAATTATATAATCTCATATATATATTTATACAATGCATATACAATACTCAAGGCATACATTCAGTCAAGGAAGCTCTTGTGACAGGAGGGTGACAGCTGCAGGTTATGCATGACTAGATACTCACAGTCCTCGCTTCGGGTCTGTTGAGGGAACATGTAGTTAGTCAGTACGGTCTTTTGCGTCTCTGGATCCTCCTCTTTCTGCAGGGGAATGAGGGGCTTCGACTGGAAAACGAGAAAAATTAAAACACAAGGTTAGTAAAATTCGGTTGGATGCCTTGGAAAATCATGAGTCTTGCCTGCTCTCATTACAGATTCAAGCCATGCAGCACTGGCTTTAAACTCATCTCATCTTTAATCACATGCAGCTTTATAAAGCCCCACATCACGATCAATAAAAGAACAGCGTGCCACCTTCGTCCCAGCGCAATCTTCATCAGCTGTCGATATTCCAGCTGAGCTGTACGGCTGAAACCCTTGCAGAGAGGTTGATTCACAGAGGATCTTGGCAGTCTCATGCCATATGGGCCACACTGATTAGATCCGCTACCAGTGTTTTATTACTTCATAGCGTAATTCACTTTCCTTGAGAGCAAATATCACAACAATCTCTGTCTCAGCCTCCAATGCTTTAGGGCCTAGGCATTCAACTGACCCAGTGCTGGAGAGCATTAAAGAAAGTCATACAGGTTTGTAATGGGTGAGTAAATGATGACAATTAGAATTTTTGGATGAACTACTCCTTTAATTTATATCATATATTAAGATAAACTACGTGCTATGTTGAACCTCAGAGGTGGGAAGACGGCGTGTGTGGGAGTGGAGGTGATTGTTATATTGAATAAGCATTAGTCACAGGCTTGATGGCCACTTGTGACAATCACTCAGATCACCCACACACACACTCTGAGCTCCTCTGATGGGAACATCAAATCACCAACAGCACAGACCCTGCTAAAGGACAAGCTTTTCAAGAGTATTTTGGGAAGTGACTGTGAATGAGATTATAGTGATTTATGTAAATGTATTAAACGGCTCTCTGAAATAATCAAATGCGATCAAATATTTACGTATTCAGAGACAGAAAGCTAAAATATAACTAACTCCTGTCCCAGGCAATGTACTATGTAGTCTTACAAAAATGCGATTTTCTCAGCTTTTTGCTCAAAATGTTGCTTTTTTTAATGAAACTTACCCATATTCAAGTGTTGATAAAAAACAATGCATGAAGCTAGGGTTTTTGTTTGTTTGTTTAAAAGCAGAGGCTCTGTTCTTTCATTAGATATATTGTGTGTTCAGATATTCATTCAACAAAATATTCTGGGGGCCATTAAACTTTTGTGAAAATGATCAAAAACGCTGGCGGTGACTGACAACTTAAAAACTTAAAAAACCTGGTGGAGAGACTTAAAATTATTTGAAAACAAGCTTTGTAATATTAACATTAATATTTCAGTATATTAATATTTCAGTTTACATCCGGATCCCCTTTTCTAGCGATGCGATAGCTCAAATCTAATAATCACACGGAAACAGTTGCACAATTTGGCAGAATTTCTCAAAGCGAGCGTCGATAGCGGAGAAATATCCGGTAATCGGCCTACAGCCGATTTACAATCAGTCGATCATTATTGCAACAAACAAACCCCCTTCAGAGTCAAAAACAACCCCCTGCTGACTGTTTTGTGTATCTGAGCTTTGCCCACCTGGTTTTCAGAAAGCCACATTGCGGTCATCTGGTTGAGTTTAGTGAAGCTGTACGGAAGGTTCCTCAACCTGTGAAGAAAGAAAACAAAACAAAAACTAGATTACTGTACAATGCATAAGAAAGAAGTTAGTATGACAGTATGCTGATGAAACAAGAAATGGGACATCATTCATTGGCAACACAGTAAATTGAAAAAGGCCTGACTGGTAAAATGTGCATCGAGGCTGATAAATATAGCAGAGAGAGTAGAAAATAGAGTGATAATTTCCAGCCTGTTGAATCCCAGCCAAATCGGTCTACGTGGATCTCTCAGAGAAATGTTGAAGCAATGGCTCTCACAGACTCCAGCTGCGTGCCAAGGTTGGAAACGATCCTCATTGAGAGATTTCGTACATGAAGAGTCTCAACTGTCCATTAATTTGGTTTGACCTCACTTACAAAGAAAAATTCTTATCCCAGGGTCAAAACATTATTAAATGTAATAATATGCCAGCTTAAAAACTGCTAGTGGTTTTGGATATAAGCTAAACGATGTAGAAATCAGCAGATGATTTTTTGCATATTGTGTGATGTGCTGGCTGGCCGTATATGCGGCGGCACAGGGGGACGTACTTGTTGTCGCTGAGATTGATGACCTTGAGTTTCTGCATGTCGCCCATCTCCTCCGGCAGACACTCCAGCTTGTTGGAGTGCAGGAAGAGAACGGTGACGTTCTTCAAGCTGCCCATCTGTCAGACGCACAAGCACACACATGAAGGGTTAACTGAGACGCGCAGGCGATGTCTACCGTGGCTCACAGAGGACGCTTTGATCAGAATGCAGGATCGATGCGGTAGAGACCTCTTCAAATACTCAGTTACAGGAAGCCCATCGCATATGAGCTAAACTGATAACAGCAGTGAGAGTTTGTTTGTTCGGTTAATTCATTCAAACAAACCGATTCAATATCATTAAACGTTGTTTCTCCACAAAGATCTTTTGAAAGATGTTTTTTAAAGATTTTTATTGGCAAAATAAATGTTTAGTTAAATTCTTCTTACCACTAGTTCCATTAAAAAGTGTGTTAAATGTTGCATGATTATGATTCCAGCATAAGTTTCACTGACAAAGTTCTTGGCGAATCAGTCTGATTCATTAATAAGAATCGGTTTACACTGTAAACAATTATGATCAATAATGTATGACAACATATGTTTTTACATGGATTTACCTCTTCAAAATAAGTCAAGCAATTTTCAACTTTTAAGTTATACAAGATTTAACTAATTTTTAAGTCAGTTTAATGTAATTTAAGTTGCACATCCAGGGTGATTGTTCTTAATTTAAAGGGGTCATCGGATGCAAAATTCACTTTTACATGGTGTTTGCATTTAAACGTGTCTTTGCAGTGTGTGGACACAACCACCCTACAATGAAAAAAATCCATTCACTCCATTTTTTTTAATCCCCAAAAAATCTAAACACTCAATAATCAAGCTGTTTGGATTTTCTGAGCAATATGATGTCATATTACTCATGCTCCGACCCACGACCGCTGACGGACTGTCCCGTATTAGCATATTTCCGCCCTCAGCCATTTGTATACTGTCCGCCAAGGCCGTCTTGTATCGACACGCCCCACAGAAGAGAGAGGGGTGGGGTGAGCAGTTGCTCATTATCATTTAAAGAGACATGCACCGAAACGGGTCGCTGTGAACAGAGCTGTTTTTGAGGAGGTAAAAGGGTGTTTTACACAACCATTGAGGAATTTTAACCAAAGTATGTTACAAACTTTACATGAAGACCCTAAAGAATCATACCAACTTGTGGAAAATGGGCATCCGATGACCCCTTTTTACAGTGCAGAAGAACAATATGTTTTGTGAATTTGACATTATTAACTGACAAAAACAAATCAAAGCCACTGCAACCAATTGCACAGTTATAGATATTAAAACTAATTAATAGTTAATTCAATACCAAGTCCCATCCTGCACTATTTTTCATTTCACTATAAAAAATACATCATATTATGGAGGTTAAATGCAATTTCGTGTTGTCTTGAATCAAGCATGCCGGGACTGGACTGACCTCTGGAGGCATCTGTGCGAGCAGGTTGTGGTCGGCAGCAAACGTACGCAGATTTACACACTGACCGATGGTGGACGGCAGCGCCTCGATCTCATTGAAGCTACAGTCCAGCTCATCCAGAGTCGTGAGTCTACAGAAAAAGACCCACATATAAATCAAGCTCAACAGTTCCCTATATAAAGAAATATTGTGTCATCTTTTAATACGGCAAGGAAGATCAGACTCTATTGGCCTCTATTCAGATGGTTCACAAACTTCTGTGATCAACGACCTTGAATCTTTGTTCATTAAAAGTCTGACGTCAAACATTGCGTTTTTTTGGCATGACTACCATGCAGGTGTGCTGAATAAATCACAACACCATTGAAAACACCAAGGCTGAATAAGTGGATTTTAAAGCTGATTTGCATTTCAGTAAAAAGGATTTTAGCTGTGAAACAAACAGTTGAACGTTTCTCCAACCCTGTAAGAAGTGTTGAGGAGAAACTAACTAAAAGGTTTGGATGACACTAAACCAGTGGATCTCAGTCCGGGTCCTGAAATAGCCCTGAGAAGGCAACGAATCAGCCGTATGTGGTCAAGAGACTGCTTATTCTGTCCTAAATAAATCTTTTATGACCCTTGATAAAAATTGTTGATGGAATTGGTTGACAGTGTAAACATGGGCAAAATTATGCCAAAATGCAGCATTAAAAAAAAAGTGTGTGTGTGTGAGAGGCAGAGCAAGAGACATCGATAATTACATACAACTGATCATGACTTTACGTCATTAACCAATCCCATTATAAATCATATTTAAGAGCAATTATTGTGAAGTTTCTTCACTCATCCAAAATTATCTCAATGAGATCATAGGGTTTCATATTCTAAAAAAATACAAAAGCTCATGTAAAAAAAAAAGAAAAGTATTTTAAAAAACATACTGTTACATAAACCTCCCCAGTTCAAAACAAACTAAATCAAACAAAACAAACTCCGCAAAACGACCAGTTGTTATTCAGTGAAAATGTACGTTACATCAGTGTGATGGGAAAAGACCGCTGAGACTAATGGAAAGTTAATCGTGCTTAATCAGTATGCTTTACAATCAGGCTAGGATTAAAAAGAGAATCCTTGCAATCACGTATTCATAATCCCTCTTGGCATATTTTCTTAACCCTGGACTAGGAAATCTAATCTGACATGAGGGATAACCAGCATGTTTGGAAACAAGCTCAAAATAAGAGGTGGCGAGAATGAGGTAAAACGGTTGGCTTCTTTTTTGATGGATAACACAGTCTGTTTCTCTCTCACTCACACACACACACACACACACACACACACAGTAAAGCAATCCCTCTCTGAGAGCCCATATGGACGTACTTCCTTCAATCACAGACCCGTTACGAAGCCTTCTGTCTGTTTCATACAGTGGCTTATGGGCCTGATCATTTACAGGGCTCACTTTCAAACAAAATATCATTATTATTATTATTTCCTTGACTATAATATCACACGGCCAAGAGTGCAACTCAGACATTTTACAATATTTAAACCCGTTCTGCAGATTTCCCCCACTATCAGCACAGAAAACATGAAACAAGCAGGCAAATGCAGTGCGAGTCTACTCGTGTGTTAAGGAGAACTGGGTCATGGTTTAAGTGCAGGTCATCAGGTTGCTGTGTATAAATGGCGCTGACTTACCCGCCTATCGTGTCAGGCAGGTACATGAGCTGGTTATCATCCACCTTCAGAGTGGTTAGTCTTTTCAGTGAGCCTGTGGGACGGACAGAGAGAGAGAGAGAGAGATTGTATTGCAATTGGCAATTTATACATGCAGACAGAAACTGGCCATTGCATATCCACTTCATTTTAGACAATGAGACCATCAATCTTGCCCATCTTGAAGGAAGTTATTAGAAGAAATTAATCAGACTGAACACTCGAATATTCAGCACTTTCCACAAATATGGTGCAAAAGTGTCGGAAACCTTTTTCTCTCAAAATATGGTCAGTAAAAGGGGGCGTTCGTTTAGCTGTCAGAAAATTTACTGTCAAAGAATTGTAAGAGGTTTATTATTTATTATGAAGTTTGCAAAACCGCCATTTTCAACCCTGCTACGAAAAATGTGTTATGTCTTAGTACAGGTTTAAAAGCTCGATTTGAGCAATTTTCTAGAAAAACATTAAATAGATATCAAAATCAAATAGATAACTTATTTAATTTATATTAACAAACAACAACAGAAAATGGGTAACAGGGTTGAAAATCTGACCCATTCACTCAGCAGGAGTTCAGAACCAAATGTTTTGTAGTCAGAGACACTTAAATTAAGGAAATATTTTAAATATAAATAGTTTGATCACTTTTTCTTACAATAACTGGGTTAAAAAGTTTGACAAATGCAGTCAGCATAATTATTTACTTGTACTCCTGCCATGCTCTAGTAAATGTCCAAAGGATGTTGCTCTTTTGAGTGTCATGTTTTACAGTTTTTATTTATTTATAAATATGCAGTGACCGGGTTGAATGAAAATTGCACGTTTCATTTTTTTAAAATTAAAATTAGTTGAATAACAACATTAAAAATGGTTTTGGCCATGATGAAACATTACAATTAGACATACAATATCAACATTATGAAGTTGAATGATTTGAATGGTTGGAGTCAAGACAAGAAGGTCAAGGCTTAAAGGTGGAACAGGTCAAACTCGCCATGTTAAAGGTGGTGGTTGGGTGACAGACACTTGGTGTGTTTAAAACTAGCCAAGTCCAATGCTAAACTTGGTCTATGGGAGATAATAGTTAAATCTAACCTTTTTTTCTTTGAGCCTTTAAGTCTGTACCAGATTGATGAAAAGTGCCATTTAATTAAAAGCCCTTGCACTGAAAGACAAGACCTTGTCTTTTTGTTTATGTCGAGCACCTCTGTCCAGCTCTAAAGCAGATTTCATTAAGTGTTAAGATGGGAGGTATTATTGCCCAGCGAGCCTCAAGGGCGGTGTGACTTGGCCACTTCAACATGCCCGCTCATTAGTGGCTGTCCGACTGGGTCATTCATTAGGTAATGAGATTGCATTACTGTTCTACCCATAATCCTCCCGTTCACTTACACATCTAACCTGTTCATTTATTACAAAGCAGATTAGAGCTGAGGCTGTTAGAGGACATGCTTCACGTCCTGCACTCGTTTTGACTGATCGCATTTAACAAAAACGACACCACAAACACTAATTATTGAGTTCATCTCTGCACTTTAGCGTGTGGATCTTACCTATAGACCCTGGCAGCTGCGTCAAAGCGTTGTTGGACAGCAGCAGATCCTGCAGGTTTTCACAGCCGGATATCTGCTCCTCAACCATCTCCAAATTGTTCTTGGACACGTCCAGGTAGCAGAGTTGCTTCAGTGCCCCGATCATCTGCACACACACACACACACACACACAAAACACCTCTCTCCATTACTGAAACAAATGACTGACTTCTGAGAAAAGTTTGTGTAATTGAGCAAAAGCAACAGCCACTCTGCAAGAAGAGCTCCAGAAAAATGATTGCTGTGGCAAAAACTCATTGATCTCAAATCTCAATTTCAATCAAATATGGTGGGTGAAATCAGAGCCATAGCCTTGTATATATTGCTATATAGAGACTAGATGGTTCCTGAGAAGAAAAAAAGGACAGTGAGGAAGCAGAAACTGATTATTTGAAGAGTTGGAGGAATACAGCTGAGAAAGAGGTCAAGATAGATGACTGAAGCCAAGCGTGAACTGGTTAAATCCGTTTCTCAAGCATGAGGGCAGATTGTGGGCCTGTCCTGCTCCCAAACACACTTCATCTTTCTGTAGCTGCTTTCCAAAAAACACAAGTGTGAAAGCACTCAGAAATACACCTAGCCTGGTATAAAATTGTCACCAGCAATGTTGTTACAACAACTTGTGTCTGTCCAGATAAGGGTACCAGGGCTAGTGCAGGTCCAGAAGAAAACTAGTGCTTTTAGGCCATTGTATAGTTAGCAAACGTGGAGAGACGAGTCAGTTTTGATTTGATGATGACTTAAAGTGAGCATCAACGGAGCATGAATTATATGGCACAGGACACAGGAATCTTGACCTTCAGATACACTTGGGTGACGGCCGATTAGAAGCGAACTGCCTAAACTGCAATCAGCGCCTGTGTGTGACTTTGTGCCAAACCCTGCTGTTGATTAATCATCGCGACCATGAGCCGCTCTCCTGGGTGTGGCGTAAGAAGCTTAATCAAAAGCACTAATAACCAGAGAGAAATTGAATTCTGCAAAAAGAGAAACATATGGCGGTTCGGCCTCGCACAAGGTCAGTAAGCCGGTCTCTCGGGTCAGAGAGGGAGAGAGGTCAGGGTGCCGCCCTCACATCCGGACCAGTTTTAGGTCAGACTTGTTCAAAAGGATGTTCGGAAAACTCGTGCTAAACTCATAAGACTAATGCGAATCCTGCCAGCGAGGCCCACAGTTACTGTCAGTCTCAGCGGCAAGCTAATGCCTTCATCACGACCCGTTTAAAAGGACCTGGCAGTCTGAAGAGAAGACCATCCTGAAGGAATGTTTAAGGAGATTTTCGCCAGCTTGTCTCTAGCCAATGCACCTGCGACAAACACCAGTCACGCAGCAGACTAATCTGTGGGCCTCATTCATGAACATTTTCACATTTCACGTTAAATATGTATTCAACTATTTACATAGGAATGATTAAACGAATGATTTACATAGAAATGATTTGCTTTTTTGTTTCATGAATAGTGCTGAAAAGAGCAATTTAGCGCTTTACATTAAACATGAACGCAACAATTTCTGTAAGAATGGTTTAACGAACGGTTTACACAGAAATGTGTTGTTCTCATTTTAAATGAAAAGTTATGTTCTGATCTATTATTCTCTCTTACGGTTATATTTTTCAATGAATCAATGGCATTACAAAGTAAAGCTATTGCAGGTGTTTTCAATTAAAAAAATCTTTCAGTTTTTATAATTTTTAGGAAAATTCTTTGGTAGTCAGAGGCGGGGCGCCAGATTTTTTACAGGTTTAAAGGGGGGAAAAGTTTGAGAACCACTGGTTTAACAAATTATTTTCCACACAAAACATGATCAACAATTTACGCTAGAATACTTTTTACAAATGATTTACACATAAAATGTAACCCTTTTACCATTATGCACATTCAACTCATGTTTCGTGAATGAGGCCAAATGAGTTCCTATTTAAATAAAAACAAACAATTTGTTTTATATGTCATGGTGAACATGGTAAAAAGACAAAGAAAAAGGCAAGAAAACACAAGATGAATGCAAGACTCACCCCTGGTAAAAACGTCAGCTTATTTCCATCCACCCACAGCTCTCTGATTCCTGTAAGCTGCTCCAATACTTCAGGCTAGACAGAAAGAACAAAAAAAACTCAATATCTCATTCTCAGCCAGAGGAAATCTGCCACTAATTTCAATGCCATTAAAGGAGAAAAATGCATATTAGGTGCAATCTAACAGAGCAGCACTCAACGAGCGCATCTGGCACCTGGCTGCACTGAGAGCTGGAAGGGAACTGCATGCGACACCTGACACACAGGCAGGTGCTACTCACCACTTCAGTGAACTCGTTACTCCCCAGATCCAAGCGCTCCAGCTGTGTGAGCTTATGCATGCTCCTGCAGACACACACACACACACACACAGTATTACTTACATTATTAACCATGGATTAAGCACATTGGATAAAGCACACTTGGTACACAAACATATCTGAGTGATTATCAGTTTTGCAGGACTGGCTGAACTGCAGACGGAGAGCTTGAAGAAACACATCAGACAGGATGGTAACAACAACCACAACTCTTCTTCTAAAGACTGCACACAATGACTCCCCGCAGAACATAAATGGCAAAGACATTTAGCGAACAGGTAGTTAGTGCTAAATCAATTTTTCATTAGCAGTTTCAGAACACAGACTTCAATCCCCAGTTTCACATAAAATCAGAAGCAATATAAACTGAATTAAAATAACACTCAAATATATTCTCCAAGATCATACCTAGAGGTCTAGAGGTTTAAGGATGTCCCACAGTCATAAATGACAATAAATTATTAAGGCAATCTATTTTTCCTCTACTGTAACAAACTACATGCGTTATTTATCTAAATAAAAATCTTTTCACTTTTTTTTGTTTACAGATTTTCCACAAATCTAGGTAATCAAAAAAAGAAGTCAATAAAAAGTGGCTTTTTTCGCCACTTATATTGATAGAGATAGTAGAGACAAAGAACGGAAATGGGAACAGGATTTGGAAATGACATCAGTCGAACCAATTTCTATATAACATTTAGCATAATAAGGTCATTATATCATTTCACTTCAGGAAAATGTCTTTCAGTCACATGACAGTGATGCGGAAGTGAATGCTCTGGTAAAAATGAAATATTACTTGCTTATTGGATTTCAATTGGAAGCGCATACTTGTTAACTTTATTTCTCTTTACAAAGTCAAAACTATTATCCTCTATGTTCTATCAGATATTTTACTGTCACCTTGAATGCTTTACAAATCATTTGGGTAATGATGAAAATCTGCCATTAGACTTCTAATGCCAATCTTTACAACACATTTCTCCAGGTTCGTTCTCCTGTTCCAAGCTTCTCATGCGATATCAATATCTGCATCCAACCCTAAAATAACATCAAATACTCGGGTAGGTTAGCTTTAGGGCAGGGTGTAACCCGCTGCTGACGTGGACAACAGATCAACAGCCCACGGGCATATTGTATCCGTGGAAAAAGTTAAACACAACATAAAACTCAAAATGATTTACGGCACAAGGAATTGTATAATAAATGGTTATAAACTGAAAGCAGACTTGTAGGAAATTCTGTGTTGAAAGACACACTGGTGGTTGGCCGACTGTAAGAGGGATTCATTCATCCAGGGTTTGGAGGTGTGCAACCAGTCAATCAGCCAAAAAACTCACTGACCCCCCAGAGTGCTGAGCAATCCACAGCTCATTAGAACACACACACACTCTTGTACATCTATCTTTATGAGGACATTCATTGACACAATGCAATCTCTAGCCACTTACCCTAACCTTACTCATCACAACTAAGTGCTTAACCCGAATCCTTACCCTAAACCTACCCTTAACCTAATTATAACCTTATCCCTAAAACCAAGTCTTGACCCTCAAACAGGCCTTTAAAGGGGTCTCAGAAAGTGAGAACCGGCCAAAATGTCCTCACTTTACTCTCTTTGTCCTCACTCCAATGGTCTAAAACTCAAACTGGTCCTCACAATGATAGTCGTACAAGTACACACACACACACACACACACACACGGTCAAAGTGTAATAATGGCAAACGAGTAAGAGATGCATGTGACGGGCAGCTTTCCATCGGTCTTTGATTATTTGATTTCTGGTATACCTCCTGATCCAAAACAGTCCATGCATTTTACCTCTAATGATTCGCAACTTGCATGGTTTGAAAGTGACTTCTTTGTGACTTCATACATCACTACACTATTGACAATAGACCTTTTTTTTGTCTTCAAAATTTCACCAAATTTTTGCTAGTGTGACTGTGAGAGAATGAAAATCATAGATTTGATCACTTAGAAAAGTATTAGCACACCTTTTCCACAATGAGCAGCTTCAGTTAAGGGATCATTCATAATTGTGATGCTTTCCTTAGTAAACAATAGGAAACATGACTCATCATGAGTGATAAACATTCTTTCTCATTTTATATTTGATTAGTAAAGCATGAAATTTGTCTTTTGCCAAACAAAGGTCAACAGTTTGCTTTCAAATCAGAAACAATTAGGGCTGTCGGTTTAACACGCTAATTGGTTATGGAAAAAAAAAGCGTGTAAAAATGAATGCATTTAATGCACCCGCCCCACCCCACATCTAAGTAGTTCATCTTACATTTCATAGAGTTGACTGGTGAAAAACATGAAGCAGAGCAAAAAATAAAATAAAATAAACATTCACTGCATGATGGAGCCTATAGAACACAGATATATGCCCCTAAAATTCAAGATATACAGGCAAAAATACCATGTATGAGTTTTAGTCTCATATTTATATCATATGATATAGTTAAGCAATATCACACGAGTGCTGTTTTGGTCCCGAATAGCACATGTGCAAATGTGATATTGATTTTATACAACAGTTTAACACTAATATTGTGTTATATTTTAGATGCAATAACGTCTGTCTTTGTTAATGAAAATATAACATATAAAGCCACAGGAGAACGATTGTGCGTCTCCGAGGAACACAGCAGTGTTTCTGAATGACTCCGCGTTGAGCGAATCAATCGGGTCAACCAATGATTCAATGACCCATTAATAAAGAAAGCCATTTACTTCCTTCCTGGATCAGCGGTTTGAACGAATCAAATGATTGAATGACTCACTCATTCAGACATTTACTGTTGGTTTTAGTTTCTTATTTAGATTATTAATTCATAAAAAAATAAAAAATAAAAAAAAAAACCACATTAAAAGGTATAGCTCACCCAAAAATGAAAGTTGTCATCACACCCTGATAGCCTAAAGGTTTGTAATGTCTATTTGACGCTTTTCTCATTCAACGCAATAATGACTTTAACTTATATTTTGGGGTTAAGTTATCGCAACATCGTGTAATCAATAAGATTAAAAATGTGAATCGCTTGACAGCCCTATTTAAAACAAAAGTCTTTAACAGCTGATTTATGTTGCTGTAGGTTTTGTGGTTCGCTCATGTGCTCTAACATGGAGACATTCTGCTCAAGTGGCTTTTGTTTAAAACATTTAGTGCTGTAATGAGTTGTTTTGATCTTTGCGGACTAACAGTAACCCAACAAACACACTCGAGGCCTGTGTGTTTCAGGACGGAGGAGTCGGAGGCACGGAGATCGTCTCTGTGGCTCTCACACACAAATCCAAACAAACGAGTCCTCATATGATGCAATATCGGTTCCGGAGCCAGAAATGATTATAAAACCTGTCACAGCATGTCACTTCAGAGCCTCTTATGTAAGACTGAACAATATGATGCCGCAGAGACGGAGAAAGAGAGATGTTTGCCTGCATTTATACTGCGATCATCAGAAGGATCATCATTTTAATGTTTTACTAATTTGAATCCCAGAGCCGCACTTACTTTGGCAACATCTTTAACTGGTTCTCCCGCAGTTCCAGAATCTGCAGTTTGGTTAGTCTGAGGAAACAGAGAAAGACAGAAAAATATATAAATATAAGTTATTTATATAAACACACATTGGGTCTCATTCATGAAACATTCGTAAATATACGAGTAAATATGCGAGTGATTTGCGCGTAAAGAGACCTTCCCGAAAACTCTTCTCCTGATTCACAAATACTTCGTAAACGTCAGATGTGATAGTGAAATGTGTGTGTGTGTTAATGAATTCCAATCAGTCGTAAATGGGATGCGCGTGCACGTTCATTCTCAATTACTATAAATCCCGCCCATTAAATCCGACTGACACCTATATATGGGCATCATATTATGACATGAATGCGAATGAAAAAAAAAAAATTCTCAGATGCAGAAATTGAAGTTTTATTATCAGAAGTTCATTCAAAACGCCACATTTTAATTTCAAGCGTACATAGTGGTGTATCGGCTCCTAAAAAAAAAAGAAAGCTTGGCAGCATATTACAGATGCAGTTAATGGAGTTTCATCTGTTAATCGAACATTCCCAGAAGTGAGAAGAAAATGGTTCGATATCAAGCTTGAGAGCAAAAAACGAATTAGTTCACTTCGGAAAATTAGTATTCAAACTGGAGAAGGACCACCATCGCAGATGCTATTACTGGCTCTCATAATAAGAAAAACCGTATGTAATTACTATATATAATATTTTTTCAAAATGCTGTGCAAATATGTACCCGATTAAGGTGAATTAAAATGCAGCCTTATTAATGAGCAAAACGTTCGGGTGTTAAGCGCACTATTTACGCGTGGCTGGGAGCAGGTGTAGATTTCTTTCTTACCAACTAACATTTGGAAAATACGAACATTTTAATGAATCCGAAAATTTACGCCAGAACCACTTTACACACAATTTACACAAATTCGTTCTGCTCGTGTTTTAATGAATGAGACCCAATGATAACTGACATCTACTAAGAGTAATTAATGCTGCTGCCGCAGTTTATACTATGCATCGCAAACACAATACTACTGTATTTTGTGACTGCTCAGTGTAAAATCAAAGAACTTGAGGTTTCAAATGTAACGTAAATGTTAAGTAATAAAGAATTAAATTTGAACAATAAATGTAATAGCACCTTTATTCTAAAATCCCCTCGGCCACAAACTTTTGTAAGCACTTCACTATTTTATGTCCCTATTCTGGCATGCTGACTAACTACATACTCAAAATATACTGTGGTGTTTTTAGTGTGCAGTAGAAGTAACCCGACTGTAGTCCTCGAGTGACCTTCCACAGGAACTGAGAAACATGTAGCACGTGCCATTTGAAGTCTATTTCAGGCTGTGTGTGCATGATTACATGTCAAAAATACCACTGCACGATCTTTCACTGGAACTGCACTGCATTTTCATAGGAAAGCACCATTTCTGAGCCGTTATCTATGATTCAAGCTCCAGGAAATGTTAGGATGTGCATTCTGAGGGAATTTCGCACGTGTCATTTTAATAGATTTACAGCTTGCATAAACCAATGATGCAAGTTAAACCTGTTTCGAGTGTGCTTGGAAAACCTTTTCAGTGTTTTGTAGAACAGTTTTGTCCATTTTATGTTTTAATGTAGTACATAGTTTGGCCAATCTTCAATCTAGATGCTCTGTGATCTGAGCCAGGAGACTGGATCGTCTTGTTCTCTGTAGGATTGCTCGTGAGTGTGAATCTGTGTGTGTCTGACCTGCCGAAGCTGGCCGGTAGAAACTCTAGGAAGGCATCGTTCAGGTAGAGCTGGGTCAGGCTGAGGAGCTGCGTGAAGCCTTCTGGGAGTCTGCGGAGACACGAGAGCGCTTTCATTACATTACCACACACACACACACACACACACACACACACCATCTCTACTAGCTATATACCCACTTTGATATAGGGTTCACACTCGCTTCAACGATGGTCAGGACTTTACAGTTCTTGATATTTTCAGGGAATTCCTGGATGCCTGAAATTTAAAGGAAACAAAAGAATGAACTTGATTAATAATTGCTGGTTTTATGTTGTGCCTAGGGTATACAATTACTTCAAATGAACAATTTGTATTCGGTTCAGTTACAACATTTCTGTGTCAATGCGGAACAGAACACTGTCCTAAAATACTCTGATGGTGTTTTCTGAATCTACAGCACCACAGCAAAGTCAACGGAGCATTAGCTGTCGGGATTAAACACAACCAGAGAAAAGACTGAACAAACATTATCCAATGCACTGCTATTGCTGGTCACATGAAACAACACACACATGATGGAAACAGACTTTCAAATGGCACTTTAATAAATAAATATCCTGGAAACTTATACTATAAAAAAAAAAAACTTACATTTCATTACATTTTAATAATTGTATTTCATAGGGGTGTAACGGTACATGTATTCGTATTGAACCGTTTCGGTTCGAGGCTTCCGGTTCGGTACGCATACAAACCGAACGATTCCTTGGACCATTTTTCCTACCGACAAAATTCGCGCTCGCGCGACCACCACAACGTTGCGCAACATCAAATGGCAAGCGTAAAGAAAGCGGAACGAAACTGCGCTACTCATGTGCTTCACGGATCGTTTATCAGTTCGGAGTTCGGACCAGCAACATCTGTGCAGCGCGAGCCGATCTCGATCAAGCGACACTGTCACTACACAGCGCTAAGATCCAGTAAAGAAAACATTTGAATTCGCCACTGTAATAACATCGCTGCGAGATCTAGTGAGAAGCATTCACATTTCTCCGTTATTAACCGTAGATCTCTATTAGATCAAACAGCGCTGACGTGGACACCAGGAGAAATATTGTGCCGTGAATGAACTAAGTTAGTAATACTTTACGTCCACAGACCAGCAACATGCACCATAACTGTAACCAGTTTGGCTGGAATAGTGAAATGCTTTCAAGTACTTCACACATCTTTTTCCAGCACTTCAAAACTCAAATATTATATAAATAAATATATGAAGAGTTCAGATGCAAAAGCCTCTAAGTGCCATTTGAAATTTTCTTCTAGAATGATCATTTTTATGAAGCTTGTATATTTAAGTTCAGTAATTTCACTCAAATGACAATTAATAGGTAATCTTCATTGCCATTTAAGTGAAATTACTGAACTTAAATATACAAGCTTGATAAAAATAAAGAAAATTTCAAATGGCTTTTGCATCTGAACTCTTCATATATTTAAATGTTATTTTTAATGTGATGACCAAAACATTATTTGTTCATCCTTCAAAGATGACACCCATTTATAAACCTGAAAGTTTCAAGATGTAGGAAAACTCAACTTATTTAAAAAATATTTTTTCTTTTAACAAATAGGAAATTTCTCTGGCATTTCTTACTTTTTGCTGTATCGAAAACGTACCGAACCGTGACTTTAAAACCGAGGTACGTACCGAACCGTGATTTTTGTGTACCGTTACACCCCTAGTATTTCACTGATTTCACCCATTATATCTTTGAGTCCAGAGTTAAAATGAATGTGATGGAATTTGACCTACACTACCAGGAAAAGTCTGGAATTAAGATTTTTATATATATATATATATATATATAAAATATTAAAGAAGATTTATATATATATATTAAAGAAGTCTCTTCTGCAACTTTTTTTTTTTCTATGTGAATATAGGCTATGTTAAAATGTTAATTATTCAAAGCTGAATTTTCAGCATCATTACTCCAGTCTTTAGTGTCACATGATCCTTCAGAAATCAGTATAATGACGATTACATGCTCTATGATTATTATATGTTGAAAGCAGTTGAGCTGCTTCATATTTTTGCGGAAACCATGATACACTACAATTCATAATTTTGTGGTCAGTTTAAAAAAAAGAAAAAAAAAGATATTAATACTTTTATTCATCAAGGATGCAGTAAATTGATCAAAAGTGACATTAAATACATTTAAAATGTTACAAAAGATTTCCATTTCAAATAAATGCTGTTCTTTTGAACTTTCTGTTCAAAGAATGTATCAGTGTCCACAAAAATATTAAGCAGAAAAATTTGTTTTTAATATTGATTTTATTAGAACCATTATTAATAACTGAGCACCAATAATAACTGAGCATCAAATCATTATATTAGAATGATTTCTGAAGGATCATGTGACACTGAAGACTGCAGTAATGATGCTGGAAATTCAGCTTTGATCACAGGAATAATTTACATTTTAACATATATTCACATAAAAAAGTTATTTTAAATTGTAATAATATTTCTCAATATTACTTTTACTGATCAAATTTGATCAAATAAATGCAGCCTTGTTGAGCATAATATAAAAGCTATTTAAAATGTTGACCAGTATTGTAAAATAAGTTTTACAATGATTACTGGTAGTCATCATTATTCAATAATTGTTTCGGGGTTATGGACTAGAAGTATTATTTGGAATCAGAATTTGAATATGCCAAAAATAAACAGCTGCAATTCAAACAAGCCCCCGTCCCAATTTGTGCCCCACTTAAAAATACATAATATGTTAAGTACACATTTCTCAACTAGGCTTTTCTCTAAATCGGCTACCGAAGAAAACGTCACCTAACGCTGTTTTTAGAAACAACTCGAGCTCATGCAGCACTAGAGCTAGACTGCACACTTCCTGTCCTACCAACCACAGGAGCTGGAGTGTGACATTAGAGTTATGTTGAGATATCCTGTGAGCAGAGAAACCACAGGTGGGTCTGCATTAACCCAGACACACACACATCAGTGAGCTCTCAGATCTGCACCAGGTGACCCTGCGCTCGCTCTGGTTTACTGTACAGCACTTCTCATTAATAAACATCTCCAGCTTTAGATTTTCTGGAAATGCAGTAAAATGGAAGAAATTTGATTAAATTGCCTCAAATCTACCAGCAGCATCCTTTGCAAATTAATGATGTGCAAAACTAAATATGTTCAATATAGTCAGCTAATTGATCTAAAGGAAACCCAGTAAAACTAGGCTGGTTTCAGTGCAAGATGCGACTATAACTCAAGACTTCAGTCTGAGTGTGTGTGTGTGTGTGTGTGTGTGTGTGTGTGTGTGTGTGTGTGTGTGGCTGTAGTGCCACTACTAAGGGGGAAATACAGCAAACAATCTAACAGCTAAAGCACAACACAAAACCATGCTAATTAAAGCACCAGTGCTAAAAGTATTTTTTTTTAAATAAAATTCACCATAACCTACTCAAAATCCCTGCTATTAGGATGTGACCACGAATTAAAAAGGATTTGACTGAGACTTCCTGTGCAGGTCTGAGATCGTCACCGGCTGTCATTGCTTTATCAGATTCTGCAGCGCACCAGCTGACAGATGAAGTGATGTGTAAACAGAGACTCACTGATTCCAGTATGTGTTTCTAGCGCTGCGGTCTTCACTTATGCTAAGGAACGGAATAAATTGTTTCCACAGATTGCCATCAGTTTACAGGATATCAAAGCTAGTGGGTATTTAACTTTCCAAAGCAGAGCAAGAATAAACAGTGTAATAGTGTAAACAACGGCTCTGTTCCAACCCCTAGAGAGATGTGGTCCACATAGGCAGATACCTTACTAGGAGCGTTTACAAAGGAGGCAGGGAGTTTGATTGACAGGCGATCTGACCAATCATAATCCGCCGAATCCACCATTTTTGTCCGACAAAGCAGTCAGGAGAGTTAGTAGATTAACATTGGAGGATTTGAACTTGAGAAACGGAGAGTACTGACGTCTTTCCGCGGTTAAAACAACAGTCCTTCTGATGTTCATTCATGTTTATTTGATGATCATGCTATAAATTAACAAGAAGAGATGATCGGTTCATGAGCAGCTTTAACCGAGGCGCTACAGCGATCTGTCACGACACATTAAAGAGCCACAAAACGGTATTTATTGTTTACATTTCTTTAAAAAAATTACCAAATTTGAGAATTGAGACTTTGTTTCATATCAAAAGTAACCTGGTCTGTCCTGTCTGTCAGTGTGTTGTCAGTGTCCTCTCTGCTCCGCGATGTGTTTTTCACTGCGTGAGAACATGATGTGTGTGTTAGAGCGAAGTAGCTTGTCGGACATAGCAACAGTAACTAACGGGGGCGGGGCTTTGTGAATGGTGGAAGTAATTTTCACCGTTTAAGCTGATTATACCCAAATTATGATGATTACTAAATTATGTGATGGGGAAAAAAATCTACAAGACACATTGCACAAACAAACACCACATGTTTGATGAGCATGAAATGCTTTCAGCATTTTTACAGTACTGAATAAGATATATTCACAACTGGCTCTTGTCTTGAATTATATGTCTCGTTTCTGTCTGATAACCATATCGCACACAATTCTAAACCAATGAACGACACATGAAAACAAAATGTTAATTTACAAGGATCCGCCTGGAATTAATGGTGAATTCTGCGTTGCAGCGTAAACTGAAATCTGAAACGTGGAGCTTGAAGAGATGAGTTGAATTACAGTGGATGAGGGCTCAGCGAGTCCGTACAGATATCAATATGCCTCTGATTCTGCTCAGAAGCGTAACTGGACTCTGAAAAGGAGAGAGAAAGAGGGGGTGGATCGGCCGTTTTGCTTACTGTTCTTGCTGACGTCGAGCTCCCTGAGATTGGTGAGGTTTGCGATGGCCGGTGGCAACACCGTTAGGTCATTGTCCGGTAGACTCAATCGGTAGAGCAAACTGCAGTTGAAAAGTTGCTGTAAAGGATTAGAAATGGAGAGGCAGAAGTTTGAGAAACATTCATGGAAAACTCTAAGAAAAATGAAACTTCATATTAATATTCCAGGCTTTTGCAGAGGAGTTGGATTCATTTAAAATTGATTTTTTTTGGTGAATTAGTTCTGCATAGGTGAAACAGTCAAAGCAAAATCTGGTTTAAAACTTGATCAGTTCTCGATGGGACTTCATGTAATCTAATTCCATCCGGTCTAAGGAAAACAACACAAGGACATTTTTGATGAAGGACAAGAAAGACGTGGATAAACAAAAAAATCCAGCCCAGTGGAAACGGTTTATATGATAAGTAGAGAAAATCTACTCGCTCCGAGACATCCCGCCAGTTAATATCTCGCAATTCAGACTTTCAGAGAACAGTGAGTTTATAACACAATTGTGTCTTTATTTCTCGCAGTTCTGAGTTTATATCTAACAATATATATATATATTACATTTCTGACATTTTTCTCAGAATTGTGAGTTTGTAACACATGCCAATTTCATAACATTTGGACGAATTGATGGTTGCTGAAAAATATTATCACAGATTTTAAACCATTTCAGATCAAATATGTGAATATTTCAATATATTTATATAGAATACAATCAAAAGGCAAAAAATTGCCCATATACAAGTAACACGAGTTAGGTAAACAGATTACTTTTTCATGTGAATTGTAAAGTAAAATTTACAACAAAATATCTGATTTTCTTTATCAAATAAGTGACGCAAGTTACTTTGTTTTCCCGTTTATTGACTGACAGCTCTCCTGTCCACATGTTAAGAGAAATCGTGAGTAAGCGCAGATGCGTTGAGTGTGTGCGCTGTGTGTGTGAACATGATGCTTATTGTAGCTTTTAACTAAATGTGAGCATTGACTCACAAAAAGTATTACTCAAAATGAATAAAAACTGTGAAATGCAAACTCAGAATATTACACAAAGTATATTTGTGTGATTTATCATTATTTAATTATAGCAGGTTTATGAATTTAATCTCACTTTATTAACCAATGTCTTTGCGGCCAGACCTTTGATGATCCAATTCAACCATTAGGATAAGCAAAAATGACTTTTGACTTGTGTTTCAGTTGTTGTTTTTAATGCTGAGGTAAGAGTGTTTCTGAGTTGCGCCCTCTACTATACAGACGTGGATTTGCATTTCCTTATTCTTTTCACTTTTGGTGTGAAGGGGCCTTTACATTTGCCCAAAATAGAATTTCTTTATTAAAATCAAACAAGCAAGCCCAGCCCAGATGAGAAAAAAGTAATGCATAAAATAAAAAGTAACTAAGTAATGCCATTAGTTACTTTTTTCGGGAGTAACACAATATTATAATGCAACTTTCCCCAATACTGCTGCCAACTAACAAAAAAGGTCAAGTTTCACCACCTAAGCACTAAACACACTTTTTGGAGACATGCAGTGCAAGCGTGTCAATGGTGCGAGTGCACTCGTACTTTGGGCAGCTCGTCGATCTGGTTGGCGTCGAGGTAGAGCTCCTCCAGGGTCTTCTCGAAGCTGAAGATCTCTTTGGGCACCTGCTCCAGGCTGCAGTGAGAGTAGTCCAGCGAGGTGACGGTCTCCTCCTCGCCCCGCAGGCAGCGGCACGGCACCAGCCGCACAAACAGACTCCGCTTGCTGCTCATCCTCACGACAGCTCAGGCACTGCACAAGAACAGGAGAACAAGATCAGCATCTCATCAACGTTAATTATTCAAGGAAATGAACACTGGGATACGCGACAGTGCTGCCAAAACAGCTTGGTTTACAGCTTAGTTAGTTACACACTGAGCAAGGAATCAGCTTTTTACGATTCGTAATTGATTTCAAATAGGTATGTCGCTGAAAATTATTATTTTTTTTTTTAATGATTTACAACACACGTGTCATTTTAGACAGTTTTAGTTGTTTTCTTTTGGCAAAAATGTCTAACTAATTTTTCTACAAAGCAACATTTTCAGTGACTGTATGTAATGTGTCATATAAAGCTCAAAACAAATATCAACACGACTTTATGTTTGATATACCAACAAACAATTCAGTGTGTGAAACATGTCTGCTTATGTGCGTTGTTGCATCAACATTCACACCCTAAACTACACATTTTGATCACAGTGTTACAGCTGAATTTTACATGTTCTTTTTTTCTAAAAACATTGCTAGTGCATTACTAGAAATTACACTAAAATCTGTCAATTATCATCATGATACATTTTTTTTACCCATTTTTGGCAGTTTGCTGTTGAAGGGTTTTTTGATTTTGTCAATGAACAAATGTTTCCTACCGTAATTTTGTTGGCGATATTAACACTCTTTTAGGCATAAACATACTGCGAATAAAGCCGACAATTACTCAATCTACAATAGCACTGGGAGGAGCACATTAACATTCATTAAAACCTTTATATCTGTTGGCCTGAAAAACAGCATCATTATACAAATGTCCTTTCATTCTGTTGAAATGGAAAAAAGTCCTCGATATGGCATCAAAAAGGGCGGCCCAAGGTTTGCTCATGAATCGACAGAGTGGTTTTCATGAGGTGCTGCTCTATTTATCCAAACCCAGTGGCAACAACAATTGCCTGCTGTACACACAAGTATTCTCTGGTGTTGTTTGTGTGTGGGCCGTCATGAAGAGCCCTTCAATCTGCATTTAAATAACGGCGACACAGCTAATGCTAATGCTAGTATGAGTGATTGAAGTTGGCTGACAGAAATCAGCTGAAAACTATCAAAAACATTTGTCGTCATAAAACCAGGGCCATTGAAACTCATCTTTCATCTTTCACAGGACGTCAGTCCCCATTGACTTTAAAGTCAAGGTGAATTGTTGGTCAACAATGTATTGAACTTCATGAATCTGACACAGGATATCAGACAAGAAAAATGCAGTATTGAACTTTTATCAAAATCAATTGGATCAGGAACAAAGAGCATACATGCTGTACCAGTAGCCAGACTGAATGAAAAAGTCACTTAAGCAATGCCTGAAAGTCTCTGGCTACTGGTTAGTGGTTAACATTATGCAATAGGCCACATCACATCAGCGTCACAGGAAAGCTGATTCACAGAAAATAGTTACTACACTTGAAGGCAAGATTACAAAGAAAAAATTTTCTTTCTAGGAATAACATCCATAATATATATATATATATATATATATATATATATAAAAAAAGTAAATCAATACATATGTTTTGATTTCCATAGCCTAATATTGATGTATTTATTTCAAAAACAGAAAGTAAACAATTACAATCTATTCTGAATATACCAGTTACTGAACAGTTGAATATAAAAATAACCTGTATCCATCATAAATCGGCAGCTAATCAATAGGATCGGCTCATCCCCTGCAATCCTTTGGTAAGAAGCCCAGATCTTTGAGCGCTAAGCTAGGCTACACTGCGCCAGACAACAGAAGCAGTTGGTTCGGTCATTAGATATTAAACACACTTGATACAGTAATACACTAGTCAAGGTCAGGCATACATGGGTAATGTTTGATGAAAATGACAGGACAACACTACTGGATAATAAATGAAGAGATTGGTGATCATATTGTGTGAATCATTTAGGGAAAGTAAAAACACAGGCCTCGAGCCTCCTCTTGGAGCAGGTCCAGGCGCACCATTGTGTTTCCACACACACACACACACACCGTGTCGTGATTACATGGAGTCCTGCGGTATTGTGACAGGGCGTCTAGAGTGTCTGCTTTTAGACATGGATTTCAGCGCACAAAAGAGACGCAAGCCCTCCCAGCCTCTGGCTGCATTGTAGCGCGTCAAAGGGAGAAGTGTGAGAAAAAGAGAGAAAGATTTCCGTTTCCAACCAGTTGTTGCGTGTGCCGTTTCGTGGCCATGTGATGAATGTGATGATGAAGAAGAGCGGGATTACATCACAGACACAGGAATGTGGCGGCATCAATGAGATCCTTGTGGAGGAGTGTGGAGAATGTGACCTTTCTCCTCCTCCTCCTCCTTCAACTGCACAACTCTTCATCACGTGTGCAGAAGTGTTTGGACCGAGGGCATCCAAACACTCACTCCTTCAATCAAAGTCACTGTGGGACACGACCAGTCAAACTCCATACACACACCTTCTGCTTCATTATATTTCACACGCTTTGAGGGAAAGGCTTAAATGCTTGAAATATGTTTTGTAGACAAATACACATTTTGCTCAAATATAGATTTCTTTATAATATGTTTTAAAAAAAAATGATTTTGAGCAGGTATGGGTCAATGACTAATAAAGTTTTCAAGATGAAGCAAAGTAAACATCTAGTTTAAAACTAATGCACTCTTGGTATTCAAGTTGGCTTTAAAAAACTACTACTTGCGTGATTTTTTTACTGCCTGAACTAACCTTGCCTTGTTACAAAAAGGTCAAACTATCTGATATTCTGAGAACTTCATAAAGCTTAACACACAGTTGTGAGAGTCCGCAGGGTCTGTGATATTTCCTGTTTGTTTCTTTGTACCGTACTTTACATATGGAAACTGCTCCTGATGAACAGAATAAAGATCATACAGTCTGCATGCAAATCCTTCCCAGCAAACACACGACGACGTGCCAGTTAACTGGTAGCTTTTGGAAATTTCATGATTTACTAATTGACATCATAACTACGACATTGCATGCTCGTAATTTCTTTTGCACTTTATTTATAATGAAGTGATATACAGCATTTGGGCTAGATTTGTGGTGCTTTTTATGTTGTATTTTGGCATTTCCAAGCTCAATATCCCCTTACTGTTGGCAAAGAAATGATGGAAAAGAACACCAGGAACTTTCTACAAGAAATCTCCTTACGGTTCACCTGAAAATAGTCAAACAGCACTTTCTGGAAGCCATGTTAAGAGTGCAAATGTGTAAGACTAGTGAAACCCTTGATAAGGCTTCGTGAGGTCATAACAGCCACAGCCGTTCAACTTTCACTCTGTGTGGCAGAAAGTTTGTGCGGAGAGTGATAGGGAATGAGAACACGCTGCTCTCCAGAGGCCTCCTCTTATCAGTCATAATAAACATGCGGCGGGTGACGTCCACTCGCGGAGGGAAACACTGATGCAATCAGCGTAGCCGACGAGAACACGACCAGTCGTGAGGAAGAGCTGAGATCATCCAGTCCAGGCGGAGCAACTGCACAACCGCTACTGCACATTTCTTTTACAAATTGCAATTTTTTGCTCTTTTCATTCGAGGCATTTACTCTCCTGAGGTTTAAACACAGGCATGCATAATTTAGCAATTTGTAGTGCGTGGGAAAATATGATTTTACTTCCTATTGGTGCTGACCGCATCATGTGACGCATGCCATGCGATACATCCCTCGGAGAGGATGAGAATGTCTCTAAGGAGCAATGCAGCTCACCAAGCCACTGGTAATGAACACCACATGGCCTCTACACGACGCAAAACACACTGAAGGAGGGGCCTGAGCCAAATCTAGAGACCAGGATAACAGAGATCCGGGGCCAACTAGCAACTAGAGATCAGCCAATATTACCTTTTTATGACCATTAGCAATGCAGATAAGAACCCCTGTGGCGAAAGCTTTCAATGTTGCTTATATGTCTATGTGGTGTTTTTAATCATCTTTAATACAAACCATGTGCAAATTCATCAGTCAACACCATTGAGGAGTAAGTGAACCAAAGACAGTCTCAAAAATACGTTTCGAAACCGCATGTAACCAATCCCATCAACGAGCAGGGCTTTTCTCACGGCTTTCTATGATGTTCAAAGTGTTTCTAAAGATCCTGATTTTTAGAAGGCTCTGTCTGACTCCGAGATGGCGAACAGGAATACGTTTTGTGTAACATTAGCATTATTAGCGGTTTAATAACAGTCAAGCCAAAAGCTTATCAGATCAAGTGTCATTCTGATACATCGTCTTGTAGACGAGCCTGTATAATTCACTCTTCCGCTTCTTCAGAATCAGTCTCTGGTTCAATCTTCAAACTTATTTGGCTGATTCAAACCAATATTTCCACTTGCCATTGTGTAGCGTTTACTACAGTTGAGCGAACGGATCAGGTAGTGCGAGCTGGTGTGAGTGAGTGGAGGCGGGACTAATTTGCATATTCATGGTTTCCGCATATGTTAAATGAAGCAAGGGTATGTTTTCTCAAAACCTGTCACAATCATTAGTCTACAAAAACACAAGCATTATGAATATTTGATTAATTATTACAACTGTAGCTAGTTATGCTTCATACGTTTGGATGTCAATTTTGGATGAATAAATCAATAGTAGGGATGTGCAATTAATAAAATCGCAATATGAACCATCTTCTGTGAATATTAATGCCCCTCCAAAAAATAAACCAGTAAACCTCTGCTGTGCTGCACTTTGTTTGGCAAACAATAAAAGGAATTGTTAGGCTAATTGTCAATTGATTACATTTTAAAAGATTAAATCATTAATGTTTTATGGCTTTCTTTGATTACGGTTTTCTTTGAATAACTTTTTTTTTATCAATTTGTATCAAATCAGTAGCCTGGTTAAAACCAGACCATTCTCAGTTGTAACTTGAGTTATGGTCTGGCAAAGCGTCATAGGCAAATCATTTCCAGAGGGGCGTCACCAACAGACCTAAACCCAATCAGAGCGATGAAGGAGATGACGTATGCAGAGCGGTGGAGAAACCTCTCCGAGT